CTCTGGAGCACAAGAAAACGAAATTAATCCGTAACAACTTCTACTCTCTGCGAAGTTCGATGGCGCGAACGGACCAAAACAAGCCAAAGTGTTGGTCTAATCATGCAAGAAATATGAAAAACTTTCGAGATTTCTTGTAGGAATGGAAAATTTCGCGTTTAAAGAGATGCACGTGGGCGAAATGTTGATAAGAAAATCGTAGCGTTTCTTTCTTCTGTTGTTTATTACTTTGGAGATTGCTAAAATCAACAAATATGGCTTTTATATGGCACAAGACATTCATTAGTCTATGATTTGATTGTTTATTATCATTATCGCACAGTTTACAATAAGGAAACTGTAACAGGAGAGGAGATTATAAAGTCACATGTCGCGTGCTCGTTGACGTACAAGTTCCTGTGTGAGTCGCAACTTCGGCTTTTCAGACCCTGGATGACGGGAAACTCTGCCCCCTTATTTTAAAAGAAATACCAATAGCCCCATGAAATTCATTAAATGCACCATGTTACTAGAAAATAAGACTGGAAATGTTGTTTCCGCTACCAAGAAATTCCACGTAGAAATACTATTGGTAGCGTGACTGCGTGACCTTTCTTGAGAAGTAAAAATTGTTTACCTTTTTTTTTTCAAGGTAACACTTATCGTTATTTTATTTGCCTATTTTTTGGCAAACTGCAAATGTCGTTTGCATTTGCCATCATTTTCGCTGAATGTCATGGCCTTTCCCGCGTGCACGTTCGAGCCAGTTGATACAAGCACTCTTTCGAGTTTCATTGCGTGGTGTCGGGTTTAGGTGTGTAGGTCTGGCTCAAAAGATGTTTGCACGCTGCCAAAGTGCAAGCAACACGGGTACCTATCTTTTCTCCTTTTCTTTATTTGTATTTTTTCTCTTTCTTGCATTATCACACATGAACGTTTTTTTTATTCCCTTAGCGCGTTCCCCCAGATTTGGAAGCAGGCTATAAAAATTCAATTTTGACCAGTACTGAAACCCTTTCTATCACTATTTGTTTTAAAGAACCTCTGTTATTCATAACTTTATTTCTCTAGAGAACGTGTTTTTATTTGCTATTTATTGCCATTGGAACATGAAACTATGTCCCGATAAGTTTTTTGTTTCGTGACTCCCAAAAACTGTGTTCGCAACAACATAAATTGAGAAACCAAAAGCAATTACGCTCGAGAAATTCGCTTTTAGCCTTTTAGTCGCAGAAGGCAAATCCATGTAATGAAGCATTCGAAGACCTTTGTAAACGTATCACGTGCGAATCACGTACCCGTACATGTACACGTACCCGAAAAATGTCACGCATGTAGAACACCGTAGGCGCATCTGACGAATTCCTTCCGCTGGCTTCAATAATAAAGATACAATTTATTTACTATTTGTATGTGAGCAAGCTTATTTACCCTACATGCAAAACTCCTTGACGAAGTCTGCTATTCCCAAACGATATGCGTGGGAGATAAATACAAGTTTTTAACTTCTAAGTTCGTGCTGTGATGTTCCGTCGAAAACGCATTTAATGCGAAGTCACGTCGACCTCGACAGAAAAATTAGGCTCACCCTGTCACACTCAATGGTTTGATACCGTAAGTATCGATTAAAGTACTTCATCTTCATCATGCGTCTTGACTCTGACCGACGATGCGGCCAGGTGAGCCCCAGAAATACTTGTTAATTGTGATAAAAACTTTGTCTACCCTTGGTTTGCACGCAAAAACAGAATGACAAATTTCGAACGGTATTTTAAAACAGTTATCCATTAGTCTATTTATGAACTGTTCTATAACAGCCCGAGAAATAAGCAAAATTGAAACAACCGACGTATTGGTCAAATTCCAATCTATTCAACAAGGAGTTTGGTAAGTTCATTTTTCCGAATAAATTTAAGAGAGGGTCGATGTTTTGTGACTGCCTAAGATATAGACATCTCTGAAACGTCACGTAACTTTCAAAGAGTGTACTTCTGGTAATATTTTCCTCCCTCTCGCAACAGTGCAACAGACATTGTTTATCCTATGTAGTGTACGGGTATCAGTTGTTCTGAGTCTTCATTGTGATGCCATATAAGTAATCGAGTGTCAAAGAACCCTTAATTCAACTCGAATTGATAGAGTCAAGGTAACGCAGTTGCCTTATTCATTTGCAACCAACTGTAGAACCAACTGTTACTTTTCTCGCGCTGGCCAGGAACGGCAACAGCTCATACCCCTAAATTCGTGAGTGTACGGTATAAAATAACATTCGAGAGACGTCAATGTATCCCAAACATACGTTTCGTCCGAGAAGAAGCTTATTCTAGCTCGTATTGGCTTGTATGGACGTTACGAAGGCCGCGATTTCACGATATGTCTTAAATATCGTGTACAATACGTTTCGACTGCATACTGCTAGTCTTCTTCAGGCGATGAGGTCGACTGGTTATGCGTGATCTTATAAGGCATGATGCTCTGCTGTAATTGGTTGTTTTTAAACAGCTCTGATAGGTGCATTTCGATCCTTGCTGATCAGTGATTTGCTCCCTCGGTGGTCCGCTGTCGAACAGCTCTCCTGTTTTTGTGTTTTTTGATCGTGGGCATCCACGCTTCTGGAATTTCTATTCCACTATCCCTGTTGATGTTGTTAGGGTGAAGTCCTATGTGAATTTCCTCTTTGACCCTACGCGTGAAGTAATAAGGGTCACGATCAATAAACTTTACTTCGTTCCAGAGTGGCTTGTGTCCGGTGTTGTGGGCATGCTCTGAAATGGCGGAGGTCTCGGTACGGGCGAGACGAATGTCTCGATCGTGCTCCTTAATTCTGTCCTGCATAGGTCTTCCAGTCTCTCCGATGTATACCTTGCCACATTTACAGGGAATCCTGTAAACTAAGCCATCTTGTTTAGCCGGGTCGACAGCGTCTTTTGGTCGTACTAACTGAGATCTTAGCGTAGTCTCCGACTTGAAAACTGGGCGTACGCCTTTTTGTTGTAGGCAACGGTGAAGCTGTTCGGACAGACCTTTGACATAAGATAAAACCGCAGTAGCTTTAAACTCGTTGGCGGGTTCGGCACTGTTGTTTGGTTTTCCGGTCTTGGTAAGTTTCTGCAAGAAAGAAGAAGGATGACCATCAGAGACCAAAACAGATGACAGATGTTTTTTCTCCTCGTAGATGACAGAGGATTTTGTTACGAGACGTTTGGCGCGCTCATAAGGCACTTAACAATACCGCGTTTTACTGATTGAGGGTGGTGTGAATCATACGCTAAGTATTGATCGGTGTGCGTGGACTTCGTGTATACGCTGGTGGTGAGGCGACCGTTAGGTTCTCTTAAAACTGCGGTGTCTAGAAAGGCAAGTTTGTTGTCTTTCTCTGTCTCCATGGTGAAGCGGATGGAAGGCTGCTGGTTGTTTAAATGCTGTAAGAAGTCATCTACGATCCAGGATGGTAAAGGTATCGTCCACGTAGCATTTCCAGATCCTAGGCTTGTAGGATGATGTAGTTACCGCCTGTTCTTTGAAACTCTCAATGTAGAGGTTAGCAATGACAGCGGAAACCGGACTCCCCATGGCGGCGCCGTCTTTTTGCTCGTAATTCGATCCGTTACACTGGAAGAAAAAAACATATACATATATATTTATATACATACAAGCTATATAAAAATGCATCACTATTGTAAAAAGGCCATTGACGGAAAAAAGCTGGTCTTAAAACGCTCCGTCCTGTATCTCGGCAACGATATACGGTGGCTAGACCTCAGGTTACGCTCATGGACAGCGTTACGCCGGGGGGGGGGAAACATTCGAAAATAAGCGCGAAGAGGGCTCGCATGCTTTCTCAAAGGTCTTAAGCACAACCTTCTTTCTGAAAGACTAGGGATGGAGCCTCTGCAAAGTGCTGTTTCATAGTCACTTCCTGTAAAAATAATCCTCAAGGCACGTTTTTGAACACGCTCTAGTTGCTGCTTGAGGTGTGACTGTACACTGCTACTCCAAACTTGGCAAGCGTACTCTAAAACTGATCGCACAAGGGCGCAATATATGGTGATAAGGTGATCTGGGGGACTCCAGCCCGTTTCAAAACCCTTAGCAGGTATAGACGTTTACACGCCTTGTCCACAATCTCCTTGGTGTTTTGGCCCCATTTTAAGTTGTCACAAAGAGTAATACCAAGCACTTTGTGCACGCTCACCTTTTCAAGATACGTATCATTGACGGTGAGCTGGAGTACGTTGAGATCTTTAGCAAGGAGGGAGAGGCGCATTTCTTTGCACTTCGGGTTAAGGTTCATACAATTTTCCTCCGCCCAGGCTGTAATGCTGTCAAGATCATCTTGTATAGTTGATGGAGAACCTAGGGGAACTACCTCAGAAATAGTAATGTCGTCGAAATACTTCCAGTAACTCGATCTACAAGCTAAATCGTTAACCATAACCAGAAAGAGAACTGAACCAAGCTTGGTCCCTTGTGGGACCCCGGCATGCGCCGGGGCCAATTCGGAAAGGAGCCCGTCAAGCTTTACAGCTTGTCGTCTCTGTGATAGAAAGCTGCAAATCCGCTCGAGGATAATGGGTCTAGCGCCCATTTTCAAAAGCTTGCATACGAGAATATTATGGTCAATATGGTCAAATGCTTTAGAGAAATCTGAAAAGCACACTCTCAGGTACGTACCAGGTGATTCAAGAGCTGATAGCCAGTTATGCAGCATATCAAGTAGACAAAAGGTGGTTGACACGCCTTTGAGAGAACCAAACTGATTTGGGTCAATGTGCTCCTTGATGTCCTCCATGAGCCACTGGACAACAAAATCCTCAAACACCTTTGAAAGGCATGCAGTTAGAGCTACTGGTCACAGGTCACTGTCACAGGTGACAGGTGACGCCTTTGGTATTGGTGATAAATAGGCATCTCTCCACACCGAGGGGAAGTCACCAGACGACAACGACCGGTTAAAGATAGTGGTCACGGGCTCAGAAAGCTCGGACGCAGATAACTTCAGAATTCGATTTGGAATCGCGTCAGAACCACAAGCTTTGAAAGGACCTAGCCTGAGCAGTTTTTTGTAGACTTCCGTGGGGCGGATGACAGGTAACTGGTCCGGTGCGGGTAGAAAAGGCAGGGAGTGTTAGGTAATCCAGGGCTGGAACATCAGATGTTACTGAAACAAAAAAGTTGTTAAGCCTATTTCCCAGCTCCAGGCCAGACAATACCTTATTGTCGACCTCATAACTGATAGCACTCGCGCCACTGGATTTACCGGAGAGCCTGTTAACGAGACTCCACCACTTCCGTGGGTCGGTATTTTTCAAATAGCTAACCTTCTCAGAGTAAAAGGCTTTTTCCCTGGCAGCAATCTCATCGCGTACACTGATGCGCAGCTCTTTCCATCTGCCATTCCTATCAGAATGGAACACACGCTGCCTTTCGAGGATGAGCTGCTTGATGCGAGATGTCATCCAGGGTATGTCGGTGGGATGGATTTTCACCGACTTTAGTGGGAAACGAATATCAATTGCTGTTTTCACATCAGTGTTAAACGACTCCGTTAAGCTGTCAACTGAAGCCACACTGTCTAGACCAGTGAACCAATGATGACTAGAAACCCACCTCCCGAAAGCATTAATAGCCGACTCCGGAAACCGTCGTACGCTGCGTTTCTGGGCCTTATGAGCGCGCACCATAATATCACGAGATGGTTTAGGTCTCCAAAACACAGCGCCGTGATCTGATGTACCCAGGTTTATCATAACGATTACAAATGTCCGTTAGAATAAGGTCCAAGATACTATTTCCACGGGTGGGATCGCGAACTATTTGCTTAAGGTTATGATGGGCGAGTACGTCACTAAAGTCTAAAGTGTTAAAATCACCGCAAATAATGACGCCGCAGTCCGGATGCGCAGACCTAACAGAGTCTAGTGTTTCTATCAGGTAGGACACTCGATCTCTATTTTCTTGCGCTAGCGCTTCAGGAAAGTAAACAATCCCGCATATAATGCCCGAGAGTGGACGTGGTAACCGGTTAGGCCGAAGCCATAACCATATGCATTCGAAAACAGGATGTTCCAGATCAGTTCTCCGCTTACACAGGATTCCTGTGGTGACAGAAGCGCAGACACCACCACCCTCTCTGTCAGGACGATCTCTCCGGTAAAGGACGTAGCCCGGAATACTTATATAAGCACTGTCGATGTAGCTGCGCAACCAGGACTCCGTAATAACACCGACATCCACACCGCTCGTCGTCATTTGTGCAGAAAATTCATCGAGCTTTTTCTTGATCGATCTGGCGTTAACCATGTAGAAACTCGGAAGTCGGCACGCTTTCGCGGTTTGACCCGCAGACTGGGGGACAATTCTTGTACATGCTCCTCCAAGTATAGGTTGAATTTGTACGTTATTTCGATTTCGAGTCATGCTGTTCTGTGATATTTTAACGGGTATGTTTTTTCTTTCACAATTAGGCGACTCATGAAGGTGTTGCCTATTACAAAAGGTGGGGGCAGGAGTTGTTGTTTGAGCGATCTGCCTGACTGCATCCAAGGTGTTGACTTAAATATTTAATGTTGTCCATGTAGAAATATTCAAATGTCCCCCATCTTGAGACAGAGAAATAAAATCCCGTTCGGATCTTAATGTACAGGAAGGTGGACCATTAGGTGTAGAAGATGCTAGTAGAATGGGCGGTCGTGGTAGTTGTTGTTTCCTGAGTCCAGCTCTACATCCCTGTCGCGTTGGCTTAGTTCTTGAAATTCCGAGTTTACACAACATTCCCCAAAGGTTCACATTAAGGCGATCTTTTTTAGAACAAGCTGAAATTGCTCTCAAAGCTTCACCCGAATATCTAGTTGCCATCAAGATAATTCTGCGTTCTTTAAGTAGAGGCGAAAGGTAAAAACTAGTGTAAATTTGCAGAGCGCCGAAATGTGCTGCTCATTTACATTGTCATCAAAATGACAAGGCAGAAGATAGGGTTAGGACCATGCAAAATTTAGACGAAGACTACAGGAGATGGTACAGCTGATATTAGAGGGTTTTCAATAGCGTTCTTCAATCCCGCAATCCAGACTAAATTTTTTTCTCAATCCCGTAGTCCCGATGGTTTATACTGGCCAATCCCGATCCCGATCATACAATTTTGTCTAAGTCCATTTCCTAAACTTAGGAGGGCCTTTTCGGTAGGCGATGATTTTCTCAACCTGCATTGATCTGTTGAAGTCTATGGTCAGCGTAAGGGGTAAGTTCATCTCTTTTCAACAAAATAAGGATATCGTTTATTTGAGAAGTTTTCAAAGTTTTGCACGAATAGCCTACGCTAGTCACGGTAACAACTTCCTTCCGTTAAACTTCGATCACGAACAAACGTATTAATACAGACAAGTATCAAAGAAACGAACAACAATGTCGACAAGTGCATAAAACACAAAAGATTACGGAAATCCCATAGTTTCATAACAAGGGAGATAAAAAAAACTCAGTTGAACATAATTCTGCTTGTAGCGGCCGACACTAGCGAAACAAATTTTCGACGACAACTATGAGCTTCGCAAATGAAGACAAACTATGAGGCGAGGATATGTTTTTGCGCACAAGCCTTGAATCGTTTTATTTAACGTAGTCGAGGAGACCAAGTACTTATCGTGAACTGAAATATGAAAATTATAAGGAAGAAGGTGAACTAAATTCCAAAAAGAATAAAAGAGAACCGCTTGAATACAAACTCTGACAAAAACTATAATAAAGTGGGAAAAACGTGTAGCGTTCTAACGAAGCGTGAACAACTTAAGCGACCTGTTACAAGGTTGCGAAAACGAGCGATAAGGAAACTTGTGTAAAAACTAGGCGAAACTATCAAAATATTAGATATTTAGACAAGCACAAAGAAAAGGAACAAAGGCACTTACATAACAGCCCCGCTTGTGAGAGCTTAACCAAAACGAACTTCAGGATAAGGTGGGCAAAAAGGCGCTCTTCCGATGAACACGTCTCATCGTTAGCCCAAAGCAAGATAACCAACTAAAATGCGATTCTGGGTAGGACTTAAAAAATACGTCCCTGATGGACAAACAGTCCATAGATACAAAGGGGGACTTCCAACTATTGCCATCCTTGTTTCCTGTCTGACTGAGCGCCGACGCACTGCTGCAACAAATGTTTACACCCAGTCCCTCATTTGTTATTGTCACCTGTAGAGGTGGTAACGGTTGAATTGCTGGTATGGCCGACAGGATCATGGCACGTCTAAGTACAGGATACCAAGAATTTAGATTTGTAAAATAGTATACCGCCCAACGGTTTGTCTTCTTTAAGCCATCTTTTGCTGCATTTCCAAAGTTTCTTGGGTAATCTAACACCGTGGGGGTTTTCGCGGCCGTTAAGCATTTCAACTGACGCAGCAGTCTAAAATGCCTTGTTATCCTTTGGGCCACTGAGGATTTTTGGCAAATTGGCAACTTCGCTTCTGATTTAATTTTCATTGCCGCGCAATAACTCAAGAGTGTCGCTGAACAGCTCGACCGCCTCCTGAATGCTAGAAAGCCTGTTCGCCTGATGCTTTTCGTGGAGTGAGAAAATAAATTCTCGTCAACGGACATCCCGGTTCTCGGTTCGTCAAAGTGATTGTTTCCCGAATCCTGCTCCTCAAAGTCGCCGATTTCCGAGTCCCGTTCATGATAGAAATCCTGCATCTCGCTCCCCTCTAACTTTAAATTCCCGGATCCCGGCCTTTAAATAAGCCCAATCACGGATCCCGAAAAACCTTTTTGGGGCCCTTATATTAGGCAACAAATAATACAGACCTTTGCATCTCACTTTTCTTTCAAATTTATTATCTTTTCCCACGAAAACAACTGGCTATGTCTTCGGCTTTTTCGTTAAGGGAGATTTGCGTAAGTATGTCATGTATGGGGAATTATATTGGACATTACTGTATGTATGTAAAGCATAGGGATATAAGATATATTGAGTAGATAATAATTCCCTATACATGACGTACCTACCAGCAGCCTGCTGGTCAAAACATTGCTGGCTCATTCTTTTATGAATTTTACAATTCACGCGATTAAACGCCGGCAACACTCGATCGGGAGAGATGTATATTTACATATAGAAATAGAATGCTTCAAAAAACATGCAAACACTTAAAGATCGAAGCAAGCAAATAAACAAAGAGATCTGCAGAATATTCTGAAATTGTTACGTAGCAGACAGCATGAGTAACGTGCTTGAATAATTCCTACAAAAAGCCGTCGGGTCACGTCACAGAAGTTAGTTTGGCGGAGTTCTGCACTACTTTAATTTTATTTTCGGAATAGTAGGATAGTTTTTAGTTTGATAGAGCTATTGATATTTCCTCTTAAGCGAGAGCGCAGAATTTCTCGTCTGTAAAAGCCGAAGTTGTCGCACACTGAAGCTTATAGTAATGTCAACCAATACGCAGCGTGAGACTTTAAATCTCCTCAAATGAACGATAACGATGATAAACAGTCAAATCATAGACTAGTTAAAGTATTGTGGAGGTCCTTTTTGGCGGGAAAGAGTCGGTTAGCCAAGTTCATCCTTCTGTCATTTTTCACTAAAGGAGAAGACGTTCCTTTAGTAGTTGGCAGATGTCCTTAATTTAAACTTAAACTCATAAAGCTGATTAAAAGGCATTGACTTGCCAGGAATCTTTACGCGTCATAGGCTTTATCCTATTTCAATATACGTCAAACTTGTGCCAGTGATCGCTTTCAGTGAAAGACAATTACGAGGACCAGTGTCATTAGACATCTGCTTTATTTTCGCTAAGAACACAGACAAAAGTTACGGAAGTTCATCGAAACACAGACGCCCATGCAATTTCGAACTGGTAGTAGTGCCCCCTTATTTGCAGAACGCGTTGCGCATTTACTTAGGTTTCCTCTTTTGATTTGTTTTTTTTTATGTTTTGTTTGTTTTCATTTTCTTCGTATCGACTCATACCTCAATATATCAACAAACTACAATAACTTATATCAAATGACGAAGGAAACACCGTTTTTGCATGCTTTTAACAGCAGGGGATTTATGATATTGTTAGGTGCCGCCAAGTTCTGTTGGCAAAGGACGTCAATGAAACACGTGTGAAGGCTGAAACTCGTGACATGTTTAATGGATGTTTTCTCTTTCAGAGACTTTCAATGAAGCAGGTAGAATTTACAATTCCTCTGATGAGCATGGCCAGAATACTCTCTTAGCTATATAAAAAACTACCTAGCGTGTCTGTAAATTCTGTTATCCTGTTTAAGATAACAGGAAATTACTTAAAAGTGCTTAAAAGTACTCTTGGGTTGCGAGACTGTCGGGTTTCCTATAAAAACAGACACAAGTGCCGACGGATCGACTTGTAGGAAACGTGGAAAGATAAAGGAAGATACTCTCAAAAATGTAGAGATCAGTGCTTTGTTATGCGTTTGTCTGCATCATTAATTGCATTTGTTAGTCTACATACTTAATTGCATTTGTTACCACTGTTGGGGGAAAGCCTTTCAGCTCTATTTCCCTTTGACGACTTTCCTTGGCACAGGAAGAAGATAACGCAAATAATTTCTTATTCGACACGTATAACTCTTTCTTTTCATTTGTACAACGGCGTTATGTTTAGGCTGGAATATTTTCGATATCATTTCAACACGCTCTGATTGGCTCTATTAACTAAAGTCACTCTTTCAACCAATCATATGCCAAAAAAACCTTATGTGATTGATATTCACCGGTTTTTTTGGGCAAATTATAGGCCATGTATGGTTTGTTTGACGCTCTCGTCGAGTCCATTGTTGTATTGTTATATTGTTTTCCATATCTTTGGTTAAACGAAACATATTCGTAAAGCACTCTTGTTTGAGGTTGTCAACTTAAAATTATCTTCATTAATAAATCACAAGCGAAGTTGAAGATTAAGTTGAAGCTTGTGTCTCTGCAACTGATGAAAAATAAACGATTAAGTGAAACATGGATAAAGAGAAATTAGAAAATTGCTTTTCGAAGCGTTGTTACAAGCGATAAGAGATTTACGAAACGTGAGAGCCTAAATCTTTTTTGTCTGGTTGAAAGGACTTGAAGCGTGGAACAACCTTGGTTTTCTAAGGAAGGAAGAGAATTCCAGCTACCGGCGCCATTTGTTGTTACATCCGCCAATGTTAAAACTAAGTTGTTCTTCGTCTAAAAGTCAATGGCGATCGACCTTTTGAAAATGTTATTAACGCAATTTGTTTCTCTGTGTTTGTTTATTGAGTTTATTTGGCAGATTTAATGGCGAGGGTCTGACTGTTGGAAGCTTACACCTTCTATCATAATAAACCACTCCTTTTTGGCCTCAATACAATTTATTATCACCATATCTACCACTTACACTATTTTATAGTTGACAAGATAACAAACTGAGTGTTAAAACTCATTTAGTTAGCTTCTACTTGATGTCTATACCGAAGCTCAAATGGCCAAAGTGACGAGGTTCGGTCAACACGGCCAAAAAATGCATTCTTACCGAGCTTGAGTTACTTTTTTCGACCCGCTCAGTGTGCTACAAAAAAATGGTGACGGTTAAATATTTAGTCACGTACATGGCAAACTTCGGACATTTGGAAGCTTCTTATAACTAAACAATTACTAAAACTTGGTTTGAACCAGACTCTAGGAGTCTATTTGAATTCTATCTTAATTTCTAGCGTCATCTGAAAACCAACTTTTTTTACTTTTCATAATGTGATCTGATATTGTGTGTGGTATGATTAACTTTTCTATCAAAAATCAATGGCTATTTTTTATTAAAAAAAATTTTTACCATTATGAAAATTGCCCATTGGACTAAATCTTAGTTACAACAAAAAGTCAATAGTAAAGATGTATTTTTTATTTTGCACAAGTTTTCACTTGTCGATGTCGTCCTTTAATAAATAAGTGCGTGAATCTAAGCAAGCAAGTTTTTAAATCTTACAGAAGCAAAGGTCATAGTAATTGGATGGAGTTTCTGTCTGAAATCAACTTACTGCCTACATATTTTGTTTTGAAACTCATATTTCTTTTTTGTTTACGAGTTGTTAGCGCCTTTCGGCGTGGAACAACTACAGATTTGATGGTTTAGAAGTTTATTTCTTACGGCAGCTCACTGCATTTCTTATTGCTTCAAACTCTTTCTCTAGATAGTGCCAGTGAAGGAAATGATCTCTAGCTACTTAAAACATTCTGGAGTAAGAATTGGAAAGTATCAGATATAAACTCCTAAATATTTATGTACCCTGAGTTATCATGTACTCTTCTGTACTATTACTTCTCTTGAAAAACTCATTTTCGTTACTTGATGTGGCTTCTCCAGCTGACTTTCCTATCTTTTGTAACTACATTGATTTCATTTCCCTACCATTTTTTATTTTTTAGCATGAGCTTAAAATTGCACTTGAAAAGGGCACTTAAAGAGAAGAAAAATGTAGACCTTTGAGGTATAAACAGCAATAATCATGCAATTTACATCGTTACTGCTAATGTAATTCAAATGTTTGCGATTTACTTCTTTGCGAGTTTTCCCTGCTTCAGAAAACGTAAATAAAGTCGTGTTTGCCTTGCTCGTAGATCGGCTCTCGCTAATTCCATGGACAAGATTCTGCATGAACTGATTCTGTAAGCAATCTAGTCTCCATGACAGCTGTTGTGTAGAAATACCAAAATAGCGTATGAACGCTGTAAACTTCCAAACGAATTTTCCAGTTTTATGCCCTCCTTCTTAAATCCAAAGGTGCTGCGTTGTGCTCCCAAGCAAATGGAAAGTGTGGTATTTTCTTAGTGTCAATAGCCTCAGCTAATTACATTAGCTTTTCAGTGTTCAGCATTAGACAGAAAGAGGACTGTTCCAGGTCAGGAACTCAAAGTCCTCGTGTTCTTCAGTGCTAAACTCACAGCTTGCGTATCTTTTCAAATGGCCCAACGCCTTTCTTCTTTGTCTCATTTCTTTCCTCAAAGAGGTTTTCTGGCAAACTTTCTGTATTACATGGGCTTTGACTGTCGATTTCTTTCGCCTTTCAAAGAAGCATAGTCCACATGCCCACCAAAAGTCTTCTTCGGCAGTTTTGAATCCATTTGCTCTTCTCCTTCCACCACTTGTGCAAGCTGGTGCCCGATGGCTCATAAGTTTTAACAGATTGGGAAGATCAGGTTGTTCAACGATGTATCGAGCTCGAACATCGCGGTTGTAGTGTACTGAAACCTGAAAAATGAACAGCAATTTAAATATCTTTACATCTTTGCGTTTTCCTAGAAAGACGAACCTGTAAGATCATCCGTTTTATCATCGAGAGAATGCGGCGGTGAAGTAAACTGTGCTCTTTTTCAAGTAATGGGTCTCAACAGATAGCTCGAGAAATTAAAGAGAACGGGTTTCCGATGAGACTTTTACGCGTTGGGTCTTCGTCCTATTTTGGAAGCCATTGATGAGGAGACAAAGTATACAATCAGGGTCTCGTTCGACGGAAACTTAACTGAGTTCAAAGAGATTGTTTTATGAACATTTTATGAGATTGTTTTCGGAACAACGACGTCTTACTTACTTTTCTCTTATCGAGTCTCGTGTCTGGTCGAAGAACAACTTTTCCGAGAACGAGTGGATTTGTTGATAGCGTCGTCGACGTTGATCGGGTAAATTCATCATTTAAATTAAGCTTCGAGAGTTCCTGGCGAAGCTTTAAAGCTACTCTGTTGACAACGGCGTTTGTGGCGTGTGATTCTGCTAAAGAAATGTTTGATAAAACTGCTATAAGACCAGTAATCAACCAAATTGCAGATGTGGTCTGTGGAAAGAAGCCTACCTGAAGACTGTGAAGTTTATAAGCTCGTTATTGAAATCTGTGGCGTTTCTACATTCTTCTTCAAAATTTATCGGTTATCGTGAAAAATATGATCTGAACAATACCTGATGATGAAAAAGTGCTTACCTACTCCGTCGTTTTCAATTTCGGAAAAGGTAAACTGCCTCGGCGAGTGGTCGGATGCAAGTTTGTGGTTAGGTACTTTACAGCATTGCGATGGTAGTCTCAAAGATTCTTTTCCAGCGATGGCTGAAAGAGAATAAGCGAATTATTATCCTGCAATTTCAATAATTTTTTTGCCGAAGAAAAAATACGCAAAACGCCCTCTTACAAGTGAAAGGAGAATGTATTAGACTTATCAATCGGCTCGCGAAAGACAGGAAAGGAAATTATTGCGTCAAGCGTAAATTGATTCATGTGGCTTTGCTTTCCAGTTGTCAGAATTTGCATCCAAGTTGGACAAATAGCTACTTTATAGATGAGATGAGACCTCAATGCCATGTGAATTACCACATTGGTTTTTCTACAAACATATTTTACGATTATACATTTAAATTTCAATACTGCTCGTATCGTAAAAGACGAAAAATTTCAAGTAAGTGTAGCTAACGTTGATGACTTTAACTTTGCAATTTCCACCTTTGGTTTGTTTTGGCTCACGCAGAAAGTGATGGAAGACAATGATAGATATAGGATTAGATGAACGCGGGTAAAAAGTGGAAGACGGAAGTAACAAACGCTTGCTGCTCTGCTGTCCCCCACGTTGGCGTCATTGGTGTGGGCCTTAGAACTTCCTACTAGCCCAAGCACACGTTTATTCATTTCAAGCTGATGAATTTGCTTTATCACAAAATCGCCTATTATGGAATGATCTTAATGCGTTTCATTAAAAATTTGCTCATTGCAAGACTCGAGTGCAGTGACCTACGTTAGCTCGTTATTAAGTGAGCACTTAACATATTTTCTCTCACGAAGATTTTTAGGCCCTTTCTCTTACATCCGTAAATTAGCATGCGAGGAGATGATGGGTTATTTTCCCACTAAGGCCGTATATCCTTCTGTTTGTCAGCCATTAAATACGCCGCTATACTATAACAACTTTCTGCTTCAAGTGATGAACATGTAACCTCTGCCCTCCTAGAAAGATGTAGAGACCATTTAGGAAACGATTGCTGGGTTTTCTCTGTCTAAGGACCCTTCAGTTAATTAAGGGACGTGTTTGCCTTTTTTCAGGAAGTGTACGTCTGCGGACACATATTAAGTGTTCTCCTTCTTTTTCCCGTCTATCATATCACACCATGTATGGATAAAATAGGAATAAAGTAATGCTTTTTTTATGCCGACTACTAAGACCAAAGGTGTGACCTACTTGATTCATCCTGTACTTCAAGGTTCTTGGCCTTCTGAGTTGCTCTTGTAGTGATCCTAAAAGGTTTTGACTTAATGGTTGTAACCAATCCTTCATGAAAACCCATCATTATGATGAGCTCCCACTTGTTTCTCTCCATAACATCAGCCTTCTCAAGTCGGTACACAGAGGATCCCTCTTCTGTTCTGTGCACAGAGCCCAAATCTACCGAAAGGACAGTCTGTGTCTGATCGTGTTGCTGAAAATTAACTTGCAGCTCGACGGGACCTGTGGGGACATTTCCAACAGATTGAAGACCGATAATTAGTAACCAGCTATAGCTAAAGAATCATGGCCTTAGGGTCTAGAATTCTAAAGCTAAATTCTCAGAAAACAACGCATGCGATAGATATTTTCTCCTAGTTTATTTTATTGCCGGAATATATCGTGGCTTCTATCTTAGATACTGGCCGTCCATGTTTCTTTGAAGCCCAGCAATGAATGATTTATTACATTAAAGAAATTGTCTCTTGCAAGAGAAGTGGAATCGTTTTCCAGCTTAACTCTGTTGAGAAACGAACCTGTTGTGTCGTGAGTTCTTATCGCAGCGTCAGGACATCTTTGAACGTAAACTCGTACTCTCTTAATTTCATCGGAAGCACGGGCCACAATCGTTACTTCTGACGATCCTAGTCCATATTCGTATTTTCCGGAGCATTTTTTTGTCTTCTTATCGTAGGTGTCCATTAGGTTCATAATTTGAACCTCTACCTCAGGTCTTGCATATTTTGGTTGATGTCCTTTAGAGGACAGGTTCGTCTTGGCGCCACAAGGAGGTAGAAAACTGTGATCGGCTGTTGAAAAAAGGAAGCGGACGTCAAGAAATTTTGCGAGCCCAAAATTCAGAGTAATTGCATCATGTGAACCATAGTAGGACTTTCAAATAGGGGTTTTGTTTTCTTGGACGTTGGTTTACTTCTTTTAAAAATCAGTGACGCATCAACTATTCAGAACACATCAGAGGTGGATTTTCCGCATCTGCTTTGTACGTGACAGAATTAAATTATTTAAAGTGACTTCACTGTTGTTTTGTGAAAGAATGTTTTGTACAGTCGGATATTGAATAGTTGTAGACAGATTATTTTAGGAGGCGGTCCTCGACCTTGACCCAAATTGTTGTTCTACAGTAGACAAATATCGGTCAAGTAACCGATCCATACGTAATTTGTTTAATCGCTGAGCTATATTTATAAGTCCCCCCAGGCACAGAAGCATTAGCAATTTATTTGAATGCAACGAAAGAATCACGCAAGAAGAATGATCAGTCTGAAGATAAAACTTAAAAGTAGAAGAGCAATCCTAAGAGGAAGTTGCGAGGGGAAACAGAGGTCACACCAGGCGACGAAGTTGCATTTTGACATAGTTCTTTATCATAACTAGCTGAACTAATACGGAAAAAAGTCTTGAAAACAACACCATAACCGGACGTAATTAAAATCGCGTGTCAGCTAAGCTTATGTGTATGGAGACAAACATATTTAAAACTGGCCAAGTAATCAATACATAATACGATACACCGATGTTGGTATAGGCCCACGCATGTTCTAAGAATGTATATTAAGCAGTTGAATAAAATGACTCCCTCTATCTCCTGCAGTATCGTTTAGAACGTTAACATATTCAACAGCCCTGTGCAAACACCTTGAATGTTATCACCTGCAGTTCTAAAGGAACAGGTTATTGAACTCATGCATTATCTGCAATAATGATGTTTCTTCCGCCGGGCGTGGACAAAAAACTTTTATGCTCAGAACGTTTTCCTCTCTCGTCGGTCAACAAAGATATCGATGAATCCTCTTTCTTCAATCTTACCATCACAAATGATGAAGTAACACCGCTGCTTCTTTTAGCTCCGATATCAAGCTGTTTTAGAAAATTAAGAGTCAGAAATCTTTTACTTGAAATGGTATTACATAGTGCTTTCAGGTTATTTAGTCGGTACTAGGTGAACCATTGAGTTGTTGAAGCGAAGAGGAACTTGTTAAGGTTAAATAAACAAAAAAGGAAAATGCTAATTCAGTCACGCTACAGATTTTAGGCATTATAGTAACAAAGAATAATACAGCAGTTTGACAGTAGTCTGAGAAGTGAATGTTGCACGCTGCTGCTGAATCACTCCATCCTTCACTATACTTTGGTTCTTTAATTACAGAAGTTCTTTGAATGTCAGTGGCGTTTATGAGTCAGTAGACTCATTGCAAATAACTTGAAGGGGTTTGTCATAAATCAGTTGCTACTTCGCTCGGTGACTGAATGTCCAAGAACGCTATTTGACTAACCTTTTCGGAATTTACGAGTGGGCAGAATGGAGCATGCGGACAAAATTTATCTTTATCCTAAATAGCCAAAGGGCTCTCGAAAACTTCCTGCTCAATATACGCTTAGAACAGATGATACATAACCTAGCTGTTAACATCAAATGTGCATCAACCATCCTGTTGTAATTAAACCAAATATGAAACTAGGAGACGTAATATAACGTAGATTTGTTCTTTGCTAAATATTAGGAGTCATTTTGAAATAATTTTTTCTCGAGATGATCGCGTACAACTTGCAAGAGGAATAAAATCGGTGTTGTTTGTGGTACGGTCCAACTGTAACTGTAACAGAATGACGCCCGTGGCTTGACAAGCCCCGTTGAATTACGCATTTTAAGATACAAGTCACGTTTTGAGCGCACATTTCCAGTAGAACGTTTGAAGTAGACCGTTGTCATTTCGCGATGTTTTGACGCTGTTCAGACGAAGTAAGGATGGAAAAGTTCTAGACAGATCGCTTTTCTCTTTTAAATTATTATTTGAAAAATAGGCTAACTAACGGTCGCAGAAAATCTTTTAAAATGCTAGAGCTGATAAAGACGATGTTCAAACTATTCACCTTGTACGTTCAATAAATTTATAGAAACTTTGCTAAGTAAATATTGGTGTTCTGCCCACCGAAATAATCTTGTCCGTTACGTAACAAACGACGTAGAACTTATGTCCTTCATTGCCAAAAACGGTTGCTGATACTCAGCAGGACTTTTTCGTTTTGCACATTCTTCGCGACCAAGCTACATCCTAAGAAAGACTTCCACTACCTTTTGGTATTGTCTAGGAAAAAATGTTCGGAGCATAACAAAGTAGTCTTGCTCGATGCTGCAAGTTTCCGTAAAAATCTACAGCAGATGTACTATTTTCATCGCGAAACTTGATCACCATGTTGGCATTGGCCTTAATTCTTTCGCCCTTTTTTAAGCGGATTTCGTTGAAAACGATTTCACTGCCTAAAATAGGGCTGTATCAGAGAAGAATCTTAGTGTCTAATATTAGTAGAAAGGCCGAAAAGAGGGAAGAAACTGAAAAATAAAGATAAGTTTGACAACAACCGCGGTAACTTGTCGGTGCTGGTAATGATTTCGTAAAGTAAAATGAAAGACGTAAGACGTTTCAAAGTCTTCAGTTTCAAGTTTGTGTTTTGTAAAATAAGGATAAAAGATGAGTCACATGACGGTGCTAAGAACATAATTGTACTTTTACTTTTCACTTGAAACTGATTAAAACGAAACTTGTAGTTCAAGGCATCGGCAGATGTTGGGATGTAATCGCAGAAAGTCTTAGTGAAGTCTTCTCTTTGTCGGGTGACTAATGTCACCCAAATCGGCGTCGTCATAAGTCTTTTCCATTCCAGTCTACTTCTTATGGAAGCTTACAAACTTTTTAGTTCTACAAATTTGAAACTTTGTGGAAAGACAGATATCCTCAAATGTATTATGAAATGAATGTTTTGTACTGGGTAAAATCTGAAATCTGTTAAACGGAAATAAAATTTATTTATCCAAACCTCAGCTACTCCTCAGGCCCTGTAATGTTGGGTCATTAAAATAGATGAAAATCAATGTTACGTTTAAAGTGCCAGATGGTGTACCTAAAACACCATAATTTTCATAAAAAATGTTCGTTGGTACCCTTGAAGGTCAAGTGATGTGGGTGTTAGAACGAAGAGAAGTTCCTACCTCTAGAGGTTAAAGACATCTTCCAGGGAACCTGCTTACTTGTAAATGCTATTAGTGGAACTGAATGAAATGTAGAGCCATCAACGCAATGGCTGGAAAAAAAACATCGCCCATTTCTTACTCAGTTTACAATTTTCAGAGAAGATTGCTCAACAGTTACAACACCCAACTTAAATATTTATCAAGAATGTATGAATGACCCACGCTTAAACCTGCAGGGCAAGAAAGCATTTTTTTGCCAGAAGTCACAAGTAGTAACTGTTAACTTTGGATATATTGGCAGTCATTGCCATTAATGCCATGCTCTGTTTGGTAATTTAAAAACAGTTGGGTCAGTTTCCTCTTTCCGGCTTCAGCTAACTTCAGTACGATTTACGGGGGTTTGACTTTGACAGAACAGATTCACATCTGCTTGGTGTCACCTAGATGAACACGACTTAGGTGTTAATTCTCATTTCACTAAACAAATCAAAGGGAGACGTGCATTGTTAGGTAAAAATCGAGTTAGCCTCACTTAACTAAGGAAATCAAAGAAAGTCGTGCATTGTTGGGTATAAATTTAGTTAGCTTCGTGTTGCTTTTCTTTACTTTACTCGACTGTAAGTTGCCTGCGGTCCTTTCAAGGGAATTTCTAGATTAGCATAAGCGGGAAAACAGCTGAAATTAAGTGAAAGTGAAATTGGGCCATTCGGAGGAGTAGTTTCTTATATGGTTATTGTAAAGCTCTGTTGAAAGAGTGTGGTCTCTTTATGTTACTAAAACCAAGTATGGTCATCAATATGATGTAGACGAGAAGGAAACAGGACTTAATTATACGCTAACACTCCGACAATATTTGACACCAACTAAAAAAAAAATTTTATTCCTTTACACTCAACACTTACTTGGAAATGTTTATGTAACATTGGTGTTTGATCTTAGATTGAGAAAATGTTTGAAATCCTATCTCAAACCATTAGCTTCGACTATGATCGCAAATTTTCGGTCGTCTTCAATATCGACCGACGCCGCTGCACACATCAAGGGTTGAATAAGACTCAAAGCGGAAAAGTTTGTTTAGTGTCAGTTCAACGATTTTCTTGTACAATCAGGGAAAATTATATTCACAAGCGGACGTTGAGAAGCACGTGGAAGAAAAAAGTGCGTTAAGTCCGTTACATGTACACATGTAAAAACCAATATAAAATCAAACGTTTCGGAATGGAAGTTAAAATAAATTAGTGAAGTTCATCACGAGAGAGAATGATGCCCCAATTTTCTTGCTTTTAAGTCGCTAACGAAGCAACCAAGGAGGGTTTGTTTGTTTTGATACTCGTCGCTCTCTAAGAGTCATTTGACAACATTTATTACCTTGTTATTTTAGTTGTATACCAGATGAAACAAAATTGTTCAAATCGTAAGTGCATTTGGTGATGCACGACCACCAGTCTCAGCTTTTTTGTTTTGTCTGTTACCTTTTGTTGGCCTCTCAAAGTACATGCTATTTTTTCAAACATATCATATTTTCTGCAGAAGAAATGAGTGTAAGACAGGAGGAAAGCGAGCTTGGGTTCGAATATGTCATTTTGATAATACCCGAAAGCAATGTCGACGCCTCGCAGCGAGTGTACTTCGTTGCTGTTTGCCACGTACAACATTCAAATTGTTTGGGTGGTATGCCATTCCATTACGTTCCGCCAAATCTAAAGTTTAGTCAAAAAAAAAAAAATAACAAAAAAACTCTGACGTACCCCTTACGTTCCAGAAGCTTGTCTGCATCGGGGCTTCCCCAGTTTGTGAAGGCAAAAGCCACTCGCTCTGGTTGAACCCGGCAGATAAATCGTCGCCATACTGTGCCCTGATAAATTCATCTATATCATTTAGCTGTTGCTCTAGCTCGGGATCTAAAGCGAAAAGACTCATCTTCTTCAACACCAATCAGTCGAAAGAAGCGTAACGACTCTGCAAGCGTTGTCTTATGCCCTGGGAGGAAGTCGTTCCTTAAATCTTTCTGAAGAGTGAACCAAACAGCTTTGACACTGAGTGGGAGTTGTTTCCGGCTAGGATGTCTATTAAACGGAAAATTGTGACGTATGTTCTTTGTTCCCAGGGTCGAGCGTGGTATCCGGGTAATTGTTATTCTAGCCAGGGCTGCTTTTATGCAGTGACTAATATTATTTGAAACTCAGTCTCGAAGCTATGATGTATTATAAGTTTATATTAATGCACTGAAGGTCGCAGATGGTTAAATTTTTTACCGGTGTTCGTGACATTGGGGGCAACAATTTTTTTAATTACGTCCAACTGTTTTCCTTTTTCGTCAAGTTTCTGTCTTGCCTACTTTAGAGCTTTAATGAAAAGGGCTAACTTAAAATTGTGTCTGAATAATATCATACTATACTTTACTTAGTCAAATTAAACTATTTTCCAAACATTTTCTAACAAAGTGAATTGCCCTTCATTAAAATGCCATGGAAATTTTTTGTCCGTTTCCTCTTGTAACCGCCTTGAGTTTTTGTGACCTTTTGAACTGCTACCTTTTAATACATTAAATCGCAATATTAACGCTTTCCACCCCTTTTCCTCAAAATCACGTTCCATTAAAATTGATTTACTAATGTATAATCGTCACACTGTGCCTAGAGGCGTTGCTCGCTGTCTTGTTAAAATCGTTATAATCTGATTTTTGTGATCTCAGGGCTACAAACAGATTTCGTTGTTCAAATGTTAACAATGAATCCGATCACCCTTTTATGAGGTTTTGAAAGACAAAAACATTTGCTTAATACCCTCATGGTATTGTGTTTAACCTCATTTGTTGAAACAAAAACAAAGAAGGTTGTATGGAATGTGCAAATGTTTTTCTTCAGGGTTAGCGTTGTACCTGAAACTCAGTTTTGGCCAAGTACCTTATTTGGATTGCTCTGTCTCTCAGTCACGTCGCGTTACGTTATTGACGTCTTCACATCAAACATTGCACAATTTTGGCTCGCAATGACGTAAATGCGTCACACCTTCCACGCATGCAGCATGTTGCGAAATCCAAAATGGCGGTTTTATGTCACGTCTCTGTATGGAGTCGCGTCATGTCGGTTTTGCAGTCAAAACAGGCTCAGCTGCCTCAGTTTCTCCTAATTCAGGCGCCAATAAGTTTTACTCATTGTCATTTTTAAACACCTGATAAAGGTGTGTGAATCAAATGCTAGTCTGTTCTCTAAAAGGTTGTAGTTGCGCTGCCTATCGATTGGCGCGAGAAGGCTGTCGATTTGCTCGGGAGGTTGTGGGACATAAAAGCTTTAAATAGTGATTGTAAATTACTCATATATCAATCCTACCTTTCTTTGTATTTTTACTTGCTATAACAAGTTTATAAGTTTATTTTTATTCCTGAAGTGAAGGCCACTGAGCTACAACGCCTTTCGTCGTTATTATTTTTATGAGGGCGAGGTTAAAGAACACGATAATTAAACAAAGTATGGAAATTTGCTTTATGTGGAGTGTGCCGGTCCTTTAGTGTACAAATTGATTAAGCAAGGTAATGAATAAATTTGACATGTCATAACGGATTAGTAATGTACCACGTTGTTAATCTTACTCCAGTTCTTTGTTTAACCTTCTAAATCTTTAATCCTACTTTGAATCCAAATGAACGTATTTTATGTGTTTATTCTATATCTTCGTTCTTTATGCTCTTTTATTTCGACTAAGGACAAAAGAGGGAAATAGATAGCACGAAACGTCGAAAGCAATGAACATCGTTAAGATTTATGACCTAACAGCTGTCAACGCCCCAAACAAAGTTTGAAGATATTTTCCTGGTAATATGATGCTCTAAAACTAACAACAGTCAATGATTAAATCAGTTTTCTCATTTTTTGTAACTTTCACCTTTAGATATTTCCTGCGATACACATCAGCAGGGTTTCTTACCAAAGATGGAAGTCACATATATATGTTGGCTTATTTCCGGCGTTGCAGTGACAACCTCCTTTTGAGCACAGCACGTACCTTTCCTGATGGTTAATTTAGTTAAGAACATTTTGAGTGGCCGTATATAGTAAACGGAAAATAGGAATAATGGCACGCAAGGGAAGTGTTTGCTGCAAGTCTGTGTCTGCTGTCGTTGCGGAACTCATTCTCTATGCATGTTGGCAATGATTGATAGCCTAGCCTATCGTACATGTAGGAGATCGTAAAAATATTGGATCCAACTTCCAATTTCTCAGAATCGACTTGACCTCCTTCAAGTGACACTCCATACTACGCGTTTATGACTTGTAGGTTTTCTAGTTTCGAACTTGCTTACTTGATCGTGGCTTAACTCTTCGCAATCCATCCACGGTCAGCCTTTGCTTTTGTCTTGCGTTATGAATTTTGTTTAGGTCGTTATGCAGTATTTTCTGTTGTCTGGGTTTTTGTTTTCAACATCCTCGTTTCATGCTTTCCAAACTCGGTGGGAAACTGTGACTGCCTTGCGTCTCTCAGTTAATACGTCTTGCGATTGTCGATTAAATTTTCACTCGCCTCTTTTATTGCAATTACAGTGATACTCGAGAAAATTCTTTACCTTCATCGCCCCTGTCGATAGACGTAACACAGTATTGTCTAGAATATTCCAACTGTAATGTGGTGTTTCGGTTGACATGATAACAAATTAAGAACTTTGAAATCCTAACTGCAGGTTTTTTTACACAAATAAAGATGCAAAAAAAGATCTAGGGTTTCCTCGTCAAAGACTCAGATATTTTTTGCTTTCCAACGCGTTACAAAAAGAATGACAACTTGTTTCACTGAACTCAAGTTGTTTATTTATTATGATTAAGGTAATCATGGTCACGCACATTGCCCAAAACCTCAGACACCCTTTTACCTAACTAAGATACGATGAAGATATCAAAACTCCATTGGGCTGGGGTCAGTTTTTGTTTTTCTCCCACGCTCGCGACAAAACTAATGACAACTTCATCACTGAACTCAAGTTGTGTAGTAATTCTACACCTTAGTCAGGCACGTTTCCCAAACCTAGGGGACTTAATTTTATTCAGCTAAAATTAGATAACTGAAGTAAATCAGTCTTCTTTTATTAAATGTGCCACAATAACTGGTGGATCCATACAACTATTTCTTACTGCTGAGTTATTTCACTGAGCCTGTTGTTGCTTTAAGGGCTTCCCGCAGCTCACTTTACTACAACATTTTCCTTATTGAAATTTACCTGCCTTGACACTCCATGTCACTTTATTATTTGGTTAATTATCTATGTTATGCCCCAATTCAGGCAGCTAAACACAGGTGGGTTTTGCTGCCTCAACCAGGATTTTAGTTGTGTTACGCACTGTTTAAAAACTGTAGAGTTTTGTCAACCAAATCTTAGAGAAATATGTGACCATATCTGTTATCTTCTGTAACCCATCCCTCATAAACATGACCTCGTTTACTTCGCTTGAGATAAAAAATATTTTTGGTAAATAAATTGCACCTTTTGTTTTACCAATTGAGAGGAGGAAGTTATGTTCTCATAAGAAAGTCAAAATTACAGTTATATATTGACGCTGTAGTTGTTTTAAATTTTGCTCGTAGACATCCGTTCCAAAATTCGCAAATATATCATTGAACTGTCAATGGTTATGTTTATGTCACAAAACTCCGAATCAATTACGTGTGACACGAATAGCGTTGCCAACTGGCTTTATCAGTAGAACTTCTTTCCTCACATACAGATAGTGCCATCGCTCTAAAAATGTAGGATTTATTTCTTATGTTCCTGTTACGTGTTCTGGACACCTCAAGTTTTTCAGAACAATTTAAGAAATGGCCACTACTATTAGAATATGAGTAAAAAAAAAACTAATTTCAAATTTTTCACCTCATGATTTTGAATGATTCTTGTTATTTTCAGTATCTGTCAGTCTTTTCGTGATGTTGAATTCCTGTGCTAGATAATGCGATCGCGGCATAGATTTGTAACTTAATTTTATTTGACGTTGAGAGAAAGTTTCTCATATTGCCATTGTTTCTGCGCCGGTCAACCATTGACGCGTGAAGTTTGTCGTTCCGCCGGCTGAATCTGGCTATTTTTTCACCACATCACGCAACACGAATTTATAGAAAACTTTTTTAAGAAGCATCAGAGAAAATTCACGGCCAGTTTTTTTAAATAACAGTAACAGCGAACACTAGGACTAAAACGTATTCCAACGATTAGAAATATAACTACGACAGTTGCAGTTCGCCTGTGAGTATCATTTTTGTTTTGGAGATCAAAATATATTTCAAGTTGAACGACTCACAATTTCATCAGCTGAATATCTAAGTCACAGTTCTAGCTCTCAGTGAGCCCAGAGGATATCATATGAACTTCTCGCCGGCGAGAGACTTCTCCGGTAGCGTATTGATGAATTTACAGCACACGCGTATAGCAGTCGAGACTCGATAATTCCATTTTCAAGAGTGTGCTCTTGAAACCATTGGCCTTTTGCGAGATACGGAGCTGAGAGTGGTCGTAATTATAAGGGGAGCACTAAAATACTTTTTTTTATGGATTAACACTAGTGTGGACCTAACGGAAAAAACTAGACTTGTAATCCATTGTGTGGCTACTAAACTCATGAAGAAAAACGAGAGGATGCTCTCATGTTTAATCTGACTGGTTACCTCAGTCACACACAGGCTCGGCGAATAGGTTTAAACAAAGGTTTCGTTGTCGAATATCAATGATTAAACTCTTAGACGTTTTAGAGGGGTCACCCTTGAAAATTATATCTTGAAAATACTTCAAGATTCTCGGCTTAAGGATTCAGTTGTTTCTCGGGAGTTTAGGGTTTCAATGAGTAATTAATTTTTCATAGTGGTTACCTCCGGATTGTCATCGCCAGAGGAGCCGAATAAATTTTTTGTAAATAGCAGGTGATATATTCAAATCTATTATTAGGTACTAATCGTAGAAAAAGAGCTTGAATTCCGAAAATAACTCATTAGAGAAAAATATGGGAACGCGGTTGTGGTGATTGATGTCCGCCACATGTGCTTTTTGCGGCCTTTGGGCTCGTGTGGTTAGTACCTCTGTTAAGTCACTTATTTCCGATCACAGAGTCCTCAGGTAGCGTGACAGCTGTCATTGAAATGTATGTAAAAGGGAATCCATAGTTAAAGTATTTGCTGCTATCATGATCATCATTGTGACCACAAAGTCATTTAATTTCAGTTTGAGTAATCACAGTCCTTCAGAATTTGATTGTCTACACGTTTGCAGAGTTAGTATCGTAGTTAGGATCGTGGTTTCCGTTAAGCATATGTTGGAGGTTGTTTCGGTTTATCTGCTAAATGTTAACTTCATTAATGATGGAAGCCTCGCTGCACCAGTCCCACTTACCCACCCATCAGTAACAATTCACAATAACGTCACTGGTATTCGCATTTGATTTAAAAATCAGTCCCCCACAATCGTCCACGAAGGATCCGAACCTTACTTTACAACCGTCAAACAGACCCGCTTCCTTCGTTGTCCTGTTGTAAATGGGACCGACGAACGTGCTTGAGATAATAAGAAAAAGGCGTAATAAATGTGAGGAGCAAAGAATACTGTGCTCGAACACAGTAAAACTCGCAAGAAAGCAACCACACAAATTTCCACGTTACTGGTCTCTGCTTTAGTTAAAAAGCGGGGAGTCGCTTACTAGAAGTTTCAATGCAGGTGGCGCAAGTCTCCATGAAGAATTAAAAAAAAAAAGCACAAGGACACTTACGTAAATTGCTTACGTAAATCAGCTGGCACCCTACTATCGCGTTTAATTTGATTTTGACGCTAAACTTCCACCGAAAAAATTATTTGCTGTCTCTCCCTTTAACTTATTTTGCTTTATCCCACCTCCTTTCTCTTTTCAGTCGTGTTTATCAGAGACCCTCTCTCCCGGTAGAACACTGGCATGGCCTATCTTTACTTTGAAAATGGGCTTTCTGTGGTCGTTGTTAGGTCGTCATGTACAATGACGTATAGCATATTATCTGTCAGTCTAAGGGCAAATAGTCGAGTAATGCTTATTGTTTTATATTTACTTAGAAATATAGTATAGAGAGCGTCAAAAGAATTTAAAAAGTTTCGTGTAGTGGACTGATTCCTTTCACAATATGCGATTAGAAAGGAAACATACCTTTCGGATTGAAAAAATCGCCCAGGTGACCCGACTTGTAATATTGACGCAATTTCGGAACCTTTCAGCAACTGAAATCTTAATCTATCCGGAAGCCAGGACTGTTAAGCTTCCCACTGAAACTCATGATCGATATTAACGAAAGTAAACCTTGTTTGGTTATTTCGGAACACTCGGTTCAAATTGCGATAGCGAGGTTTAGCTTCAGCCTTCAGACTTTCCTTAAACGTGCTCTTTTAAGTTCGCTCACAAATAAGACAAGGTCCAGCTGTTGTTCCAGCAAAACTTGAAAAAATTAGAGCCGCCTGTAAATAACAATGAAGTCTTCAAGTCCCAACAACAGTACTATTGGCGATTTGACTGAACCCTCTGGATTCAATTTGTAATACCTGTGGTGCGGCTTCGCCTTAGCTTAAGCGCTGGTGAAATGTCAACTTGACGGAAACTTTCCCTGGGACTTATAACGGTTTGTAATTGCCATTTATTGAGTGAAATTTTTTGTCTTGGGATTTGAAGAAGTTTTGTATGCATTTGTATCTCAGTGCAGTCGCTTCATTCCATTTACACTGTATAGCCGCATGACTGTACATGAACGAAAAACCACTTTAGGATGTTTTTTTTTTTAACAACGACATCGGACGGAAGGACGTGTTGAGCTTACATTTGGTTAATTGACGAAAGAACCATTCAGTTTCAGCGCCATAGAGATATCCATCTGTTGGGAAAGAAACGCGCTCTAAGACGTCAAACACGTATTTAGTTATTTGCTTTTATTTAGATCGCATGTTTTTTCATTACAACGACACACTTGTATTTATCCTTTGATCACAGTGTGGCCACACAACAGCCTTTATAACCTCATGACTTAAATACAACCACTCAGAGGTATTTTAGTGACAGCAACTGATATAATGCGATTTGGTAGAAAGCCATGTAAAGCTTACACTCAATTCAGTTTCAGATCGCGAGAGAGCAATTTGTTTCGATATCAATCTAGTGTGTATAATCATACAAATACTATAAATCGGTTACGTTTGTGTTCTTGTTTGTCTTTAGTGCGGTTGGGCAATGAATGAGGATAGTTGTCTCAGTTGTGCATATGGTACCTTGCAACACAGCATAAACTATAGCCTCATGACTCAACTGCGAACCACTATTATTGTCTCCGCCATAATGACTGAAACGTTAATTTTGGCTGGAAGTCAAGCTCAGTCGCAGCGAAATAGCTGAAGTATGCACGTTTCGAGGCAAATGCTAAATCAACTCTTTGTAGTAAATTTTCTATGCTGTGCAAAAGTTTTTTGAACTTTTGCCTTTCTTAACATTACAGCAAGGATCTTAAATTTCCCCACTGAGCATTTCTGGTAATTAGTTGACGAGTGTATATAGTCACTGGAAGGAAAAATGAAATCTTTAAAATTTGCCATCACCAAATGATTGTTCCATTACAGTTTAAACCGTTATTTTTTTTTTCAGCTACCCTGGAAAAGGGTCGAGCAGACATGTTCAACAGGAACTGTTAAAACCTCTTAAATAAAAGCAAGAGCATTACTTTCGGATTAAGAAGGAATTTCTTCGTTGGTACTAGAGCACGGACAGACTTGGCTTGGGCAAAGAAACCACCACTTACAATTCCCTTTGTATTATGGAACGTCCCAAACCCGTCAGTAAATAATGGGCCATCACGGGAAATTTCATTTGGTTCCTTTTGTTTTGGGATTTAAAATATTTGCTTCACCTTGTCTCGTTTTCTGCATTGTGGAGTTGTAGTGGAGCTAGTTTCAGTCATATATTTGATTACTTTTAGTTTACATCGTTCTAAGGCCAAATAAATTTTCCTCCGTTTTCAAAATGGTAATTTAGGGAGATACTAAACCCAAAAAGGCGGTGCAAGTTTGCTTATAGTTCATAAACTTATCTTTGCAGTGGCTAACAGAAACAGAGCTGTTGACCTACCTAATGATGCTTCTCTGATTTGTGCGGTCAAAATTCGGTTGGTGTTGTTATACTCAACTGCAACATCGTTTCCACTCTGCTCCATGATAAATTCGTCAATATCGTTTAACTTTCGGTCTAATTCAGGATCAATAAAGGACAGACTCATCTTCTTCAGGACTTTTAGTCCAGATGATAAGAATTTTACTCGGGCCATTTATTAATGATTTCCTGGCAAGAAACTCGATATGTTATCTCAACGCTTCCGTTACGCACTAGAATGGGTTTCCGGTTTAAGGAACTTCGAAATCGAGAGGACGTGATATTATTCTTGCTATTTGCTATACCTCACTTGACTCCTTTTTTGGGAAACCTTTCCTTCTCCTTTTTTTATACCAGTTTTGATGTATATCGGCCGTATTTCAGGATGGTCCTGACCGATCATTTCTCAAGTTAATTACTTGAAATATCGAAATAACAGTGCTAGTTGACTGAGGGGGTTTCAAAAACTTACCCTCTCCACTCCCTGAAATTTCCACACAGAGCCATTTGTAACCCACCCTTGGATAGGTCGGTGGCTGAGCTGCATGCGGGCACTAGCTATGACGTTAAGCCCCATGCATTTTCTTCAGCCAGCCTGGCTTGAAGAGGAGTAATGCCCGCCTTCAAGCAAAAACCCAGCCATCAGTTTTTGCAATGTCAAATGAGCCCCTCCTAGGCATGTTTCTTTGGACGTTCCACCACCTTTCAACCACAGAATGTTCACACACTGCCCGAGCTCTCTAACAGGGTTTGAACCTGAGTGTCAATCTTGTAAAATAGCGGGCCTGTTTTTGCAAATCCAATCAGACATACTTGCTCAATAAACATCCCGGATCAATATCAGTATCTGGGCAACTGCCCATCTACCCCTCCCCTAACCCAACATTAACCTTAACTTGTTGTCAATTGAGTTAGGGGAGGGGTAGGTGGGCAGTTACCCAGATACTGATATTGATCCAACATCCCATGTGACCGCATATACAGCGAGGTCAATGATAACAGAGAGGGCCCATACTTGCTGACAAAAGTTGAAATTGTCTTAAGAGGTTATCAGAATTTACCACATCACATATGCGAGGAAGTAGGTGCACATCTTGGATTCATGGAAAATACTTCAAAGAACAGGCAAACGTAATAAGCAATTATGTTTTAAATAATAATGGTAATAGAAACGAGTGGAGTCCAGTTTTGACTGTAATCGACCGACCGCGATCGCGAAGCGGGGGTCCGATTTGTGACTATGAAAACAGACCGAATTGAACGACACGAAGTCGTGTTATCAATTGATCATAACCAATACAGATTCCGAACCGAACAAATACCTCTATTTAAGAAAATATCTCTGGTAGAGACATTACCCAATGCAAAAACTTCTGTTTAAATTCTGGCCACATTACGTTAAAGTTATACTATATGATGTTGAAAGACGCCAGGCCAAAAGTGCTTGTTAACAGGTCATTTAAAAGCTTAACTTTTCAACACTTTCATAGCACTTTTATGTTTTATCTCATTAGAGATTTGAATGCTTCAATCAACTTCCTTGAAACCTGAAACTGGGTCAGTGTAGCAAATCAACTCTTGGGTTGACTGAAGCACACACGACATGATGGACATCAAAATTACAAGCTCCCTTTTCTTGCGAACGAAAATCTGATAATACATGCCTAGTGCTACTATGATTGGCTGGTTTACTCAAGAAAATCTTCTTGTGGCAGTTCGCTCTCGCACGGGTCTCCTATTGTTGCTTTCCTCGACAGTGAGTATCCATGCCTCTGCGTTTTCAATTCCACTATTCCTGCTGATTTATTGTAGGGGGTTAAGTCTTATATGATTGACCCCATATACCAAAGTTTGTAACGCAAGGGATCACGATTGACAAACTTGACTTCGCTCCAAATCTGGCGGTGTCTGTTGTTGTGTATGTGTTCTGAAATGGCAGAGGTCTGCGTGTCGCAAGGGGAATGTCCCGCTGATGCGAAAACCTGGCTACCATCGTAAACAACTAGTCAACGAAGTAGAGTACGCTAGTTTGGAATATTTACCGAGCTGGGACGCGGCGAGGTAAATTTCTACTGCTAGCCTCTCACATTGTGGTGAAAAGCTATTTGATGTAATAGCGGACTTCAAAATCAAAATCAAAAATGAAACAACTCATTTTTCTTGCAACGATTGCAACATTTTTGGGCGAAAATCCCGCGCACGTTGCTTGGAGGTGAATAGCAAAGGTCATTTGGAGTTTGAGCAGACTATCAAGGCGCGCCTTCAACACAAACCACTGTTTTAGTACAAGCTAATACCGCATACTCCAAATGCTGTATCGTTTCAGTGTTGGGCTAGGCTTCAGAGTTTGACTCTAGTCAAGCAAAATGAAAGCAATGATACAATTGCTGTTAAAACATTGCCCTTCCCTTTTTGGTCAGAAACTACACATCAGAATGTACTTTTGCCCATATTCCTTTTAAAAGTGTGTGCCATGAAAATAGGTACATCGTGGGCTGAGTATTCGTCACACTTGTCCAAAACATACAAATAGATTCCATAGAATAAACGAGATTTTCCCACGGAATGAGAAAACTTCTACTTGTAACACCTTCCAAGATTACTGAAATTCATAACACGAAAGGGTACCGGAAGTTTGACGAAAATCAGGTAGGGTACAGGTGTTGACCGATGGACTTCATCGGAATCCATTTGTCTGATGGAGTTGGATGGAATCCATCGGATTCCAATGAAGTCCATCAGAAGTACCCGAAGTCCAATAGTAAAATATACTATAAGACCCCAACTCAGACAAGTGCAGGAAATGTGAAATATGCCGCGCTTTTTAAGCCACGAAGCGAAACTGTTAATTTCAAGCGAGGAACACTTGAAATATATCTCGTTCTCCAAGCCATGATGCGAAACGGCGCTTAACACAGACAAGTACAGCATACGAGAAATATGCCTTGTTTTGGAAGCGATTAAGCGAGACAATTCTTTGCTAGGACGGATCACGTCAAATGTTTTCTCGTCTTTTCGAGCTATGACTACAGCTTGCTACAAGCGCACAATGTAGACAAGCGTGATGTACAAGTGATATGTCACGTTCTCGAAGTTAGAAAGCCAAACCGCTCACTCCAAGCGCACGACGCAGACAGTGAGGATGCAATGCTTCCACAAGCAAACACCTATCGTCCTATTTTTCCTATATACGGTGTGATGTTAGTATGTGTACTGCACAAAGAAGCGGGCTACTCATGTAGTATAACTGGTTTCGTGAAGATGCCTTGAGGCGCTGTTGCTCGTTCGAAGCGTGCTATACTGATAAGTATATCAATCGTATACAATAAGATAGTTCGGGATTTAGCAACGAAGCGAGAACCATAATTACTGGCGACATACGCATTAACTACCTCACTCCTCTCATCACCAAACAACAGTTAAACTACAAAGTCGTAAGCATAATTTCCTGTTATTTGATTACGCTTAGAGCCTGGTGTGTTACAATTGTAATCAAGCAGTGAGTAATGTGCGTTAAATGTAGGGATATACTAGTTTGTAATTGAGGAAGTTCATTTCATTCGTATTCCTCTCGCGTATCGATTGAGACATCTTACAGTGTATTGGCTTATGACTGACTGGAAACGAGTTCGCAGATCAGCATGTTAGTTACTCCAAACTCTTGCGGATGTCTTCAAGAAAACAGTTGCACTGGAAAGAGTACTACTCCAATAAACTTGAGAAATTATGAATTAGAACTTCCCGTTGGAAACTGTCTATAATTGCTTACTTTGGTTTTTGAAACTTTGAGAACTTTTCGCTTACCTGATTTTATTATCAAAATAATCAGTAATCAATTTTTATTGAATTGTTGAATTGAAGTGTCGATAATAGTGACTCAATTTGTCTGAAACGATCTATTTGGCTTGTTTGGCTTAGTAATAAAAGGAATGGGATAGCAGCTTTGAATTTGGAGAGCGACTCAGGAATCGTGGCTATACCGAGAGGATACGTAGTCCTCATATATTAATGTGTGATTGCTTTCTTTAAAATAAATGTAGCAATAGGGAGTTTTATACCGTCTATACACGAAACCAATTACGTTTTGTTTTTCTGTCTTGGTAGTCCCTTAGGACTACCAATTATTCAGGACTTTTGTTTGATGCTTAATGGAAAAGTTGACCCGGAACTATGGACCATTTCTTGATACGTTGCGAAATAAAATCCACCCACATAGTTTGGATTATATCATTAGCGGTTTTCCCTTAGGATATGTAATTAAAGCAAACATTCCTACACCTCAAAAGGGCGTAGGAACTTATTAAAATTCATTACCTGCATGGCATTTGATTTTAATTACTCCAACAGTTGAAGATTTTCAAAGTTTGATCTCTACTCATGAGAATATTATGAGAGACTGTTTTTTCATCTTTTGTTGACCTGTTTTTTCATTTCTTGATGGCGACTATGGAAGAAATTGTATGTAATGATTCATTAGATTATTGTTCAGAGTAAGATCGTTATCGTTTCCTGTATTTAAAAGAAATAAATCAAAGTCATATATGAGCTGGATAATTCATGTAGGAATGCTGTGGTCTACACTATATTTAACTAACAATGGTAAACGGTACTTAAAGGTCTCCCTTAAGTTTTAGTAATTGAAAGGATACCTTTCCGTATTTTGACATGAGCTTTTTTCTTACAGCTAAGTCATGTAGAAGATCAGCAGCTGCAGATCACTTAACCCTTTAACTCTTATGAGTGACCAAGAAAGAATTTCTCCTTACAATATCAAGCGTAGAAGTGATAAGAATAAAGAAAAATATCAATTAGGGGATTATTAGTTGATCCAACACTAAATTATCCAAAATTACATTATAGGAATTGTACGGCAGACAGTAAAGATAATTACTAATGAGATCTTGGAAGTGAAAGGGTTAAACAAGATGCTTACTTGTGCCCCTATTTAAAGGAATGGAATTGGTTCATTTTTTTATCCCTGGGTCATCCAGATCCTCTTTCGTTTCAGTGTAATTTGATTACTGTGGAGCCTTCCATTTACGCAGAAAGATCATTTACTCAATTTAGTAGCTCCAGTAGACGTATAGTGAAATAGCTGAATGTAGCGATTCCCCAACTTCAATCGGGGAGAGTAAGCAAATTGCATCCGCTATAAGTGGGTTTATGTTATACCTGATCGCCATATAAGGGCCATCCTCTCAACAACTTTGAAATTGAAATGTTGCTGTCGCTGACCACGCTCTGAATTTCACAGGGAAACTCTGTAGGCATTATCAGTCTGTCATGTACCCTGAAAAAATTCTGAGGCAAAGCTTCACTGTTTTCCTGTGGAATCACAAACAAAGATCTTGTATTGGTAACCATCAGTCAAAATGTTGTTAATCGCCTTTAACGAATTGGACTCCACACTGTCCAGTCTACTTTCTATCTTCTGGAAACTTCTGGCGTTCTTTGAATATTTCTGCTTTTTGTAGCAGACATAACTGAGATTCTAGAAATCGTGTACACTAGGTAATTCGCATTAGCTTGTCAATAGTTTGGCGCCATTTCTTCATAGGACCTATGAAAGTCCACCAAAATACTCTAACCTTAGCCTTTGAGCTCTTCATTTCCCCTTTTTCGATGAGTTTTAAATTCCCTCCCATTTTGAAAAACTTTTTCACAATTTACAGTGGTTTACCCAAGATTTTGGGCAAATTTAAGTTATTTGACCGCAGAACCACATTGCTGCATGCGTCGTACATCATCTTCAAAGTAAGTTGCCCAAAGCAAAACATTTTTGAAATCTTCTAGTGCATTTGTGATATTGCTACAATTTCGCCTGACTAGAATCAAACTGTGTTCACTTACTTAAAATTCCTTCAAATCGTCCTTCTGGAGTTTATTAAGGACATGATGGCGCCCAAATTCCCAAAGAAGTGTTGACAAGGCTAATGTTCACAGTGGGCTCCAGAGAAAATTAAGCAATATGAAAACTTCGATGGAAACGGCGAGACTTTCCCTTAGCATTCTTAATGTTACAGAAGCTAAAATACCATTCTCTGATATCGATATTGCCCACGGAGTTTAGTTAAGCAATTCAGATAGTGACCGGCCACAGCAACATATAATGCGGCAAAGAACAAATCAAATTAACTTACAGCGGATGCTCTCGGCCCACTCACTTCTATAAACATTAGGTTAACCAGTACAGTCCGCCTTTTATCTTCTCGCCCGCTGGAACTACCATCCTTAGCGAGAGACACCTAACATAAGCTACATTTACAAGTGGTTTCGGCCGTGGAATTTGTGGAATCAATCTTCTGCGTAAAAAGGAAGACTCCTAAGCAATGACATTACAATCAAAGAGGTTATGGATAACCTGAGGATGAAAGAATTAATCAACCATCTCCACTGCTCCAAATGACAACCCCGGAATGGATGAGTATCTTGTTTGATCTATAGCTAGATTGTGTAACTCTTTTAAATGACTCAGTGCCAAGAGACGTTTAGGTCAAAATTCACTTAAGAATCCTCACAAGAATTGCTTATCTTAAACTTTAAGGAAGTTCTAACTGTTTATCATGCTCTGTTACCAGTAGTAAGACCAAAACTCCATGGACAAATTATCCAGCTTAAGTGACTTTTATTTATCTAACTTGAATTCAAAGATACATGATGATCTTAACCCAGTTTAAAAATAAATTTATTGATTCATTATATAACAAAGCTGATATTTTCCTCCTTCCGGCTCTCAAGAAATTGTACACAAGTTAAATGAGGAAGACATCGATGGCAGTATCTTGATATTCCATAATAATGTGATATACCTTTATGTATAATACTTCGATATCTTAAGAACTATCAAATTCATTCATAGGTTGAACTAAGTCTCATATTCAGACAACTCGACTCTTCAGACTATTTTGATGAAAGTATTGAAAGATTTTCGTCAATCTTAAACGACTCTTTTATAATAGCAGTCTTCCGATATTGCATAATAATATCAAAAGTAGAGAGAGTACATTGAAATTCTTCAAACTCATTTCTTGGATGAACTAAATTCCTTTTTTAATATTTGTAGTGTTACGGAAACGCAAACTGCCATTTTAAATCAAATACCAGGTTAAGAATTAGAATAATTTCTTACGCCCTCTAAACGAGAAGGAATGTTTGTTGATAAAACGTTTAACTACATATTTTCAGAGGAAATATCTAATGGTGCATTCCAAGCTATGTGGGTTGGTATTTTTTTTTTGCTAAAAAAACAAACAAACCTTAAACAAACGTCTAACGTGGTGTGGTGTGTGTGTGCGTTTATATTTTAATAGAAGTACAGAAAACGATCTATTCAGTAGATCATGCTACCCTTCTTGACAAACCCGGACTTAAACAACATTTTTGGTTCACATATTTCGAGAATAACTTTGGCGACCCGTGCTGCACCACAAGGTTTCAATAAATTTTCAGCTTATATGATTTATTAAACTTGACTGGAAGACATGATGATTATCTTTACTTTAAACATTAAAGTAAACGTTAACTAATTCAAATCCTGTAAATTGCTCTCCAACAATGCCATGTTTTGAATTTGAGAAGCCCTGTGAAGAAGGAATGTTTATCGATGAAATTCCTTGTTAAACAGTCTTTCAGACAAAAGCATTCCAATGTATGTGGGCCGGAATATCATTAGTCACAAAAAAAACATAATTTATGGGTCCACGTGCAGACAACTCGACTCTTTGGACCGTTTCAAAGCATTGGAAAGTTTTGTCAACCCAAAACAACCCCGTATATCTCAAGAGATTCTATCTATCTATCGATCTATTCAAATTTAAGACCACGGTATTGCTTGGATTTCTTGTTGGCTCGCCAAAGCGACTATTTTATTCCTACAACTGATTAGCCTCATATCGATAGTATTTTTGTAAACAATTCTGAACAAGTGAAAATACAGTGGACATTAACAATTATCTCGTTCAGTTTTGCATTATTAGCTTCGTTAGGGAACATTATACTGAGTTTCAAACAACCAATGGGTTTGTGGGTTTCAATAACCCACAGTTTTCAGTGGAAATTTTAATTTTGACTTTTCTCACTCTACCCACGCTCATATGGACTTCAAAACATTAGCGAAATCAACCGTGACTTTACCCAGTATTCTGGAGGCACACTTCTGCGGGGAATAAATAAAACAAACGAATTACCTACAACTCCAAACTCTTTCAACAATTTCTTAATCTAATGTAAAGCATCCAACTCATTCTTCTTTTTTCAACCCATCATTCTAGCCTGCAGAGCAGGCGTAATTTAGGCTAGCCAGTGCTAAGTAATTTCATAACAAATATTATGGCTGCCATCTTTGATTTTGATGGCAGCGGAAGGCTGGGGAGAGGAAAAATTTATACCAAGGGGGCGGTCGACGGTCAAACTGCAAATTAAAAATGGCCGGTGGAACAAACGATCGCGAGCTTTTAGCGTTAGGTTGCACTAACAAGAAGCCTGCACTGCAGGCTACCCATCATTCCGGCTAAAAGTCAATTGGAACTTTTTTTCTTTCCAAACCATGCATCGCACAGCCTCAACTCCTGTCTCACGGGAGTATTGAATTATGAAAGTGATGTCTTAGGAAGCGTCTCAGCAGATATCTTAAATTTATTTGCTTTACTTAGACCACATTCAGCAAAACCAAAAACGCATACATTACCCACGTTTAAGGCAGATGATGAAACTGAGACATAACAACAAACCAATAAATTTATTTTCTAACTTTAACATAATTTTTTGCAAAATTGATGTACATTGCACAGTACTGTACTTTATCAATAATGAGGATATACTTAACGTTCTCAGTATGGGCCTCGAGGAAAACACTCAACTCAACATGGAAGTGTTTGCATAGAAAATACCATTCAGAGAAATATAGACAAATGTCTTATTTAGTGTGGTGTGTTTTTATATAGTGCGTAAAGGATACTTTTGATTCAGTATGTCATGCTATCCTACTTGACGAACTTAACCATTATGTACCATGCATTCTGCAAAATAACAAACGACTGGCTTTCAACCTGCAAGACCGGATTCAAACGTACAACACGTTTTGGTTCATATATCTCTGGAATAACCCTAGTGACTTGTGGTGAATCATACACAAGCTTCCGCATTAAGCCCGTTGTTGTTATTATTGCTATAGTAGACAAGTATCATAATTTACATTTTTATCCAGAAGTTCATATTTCAGAGGTTTTATACGCTTCCCTTACCATGATTTTGACCGCCCTTTGTGTTTTTCGAGGTCAGAATTTTCCAAGCCATTACTTAAAAGACGCCCTCTTGCTGAAAAGGAACGGCGTTTCTTTGACTTTTGTCTATATAATCTTGATCTTTGACAAACTCCTTGGATCAAATGCGCCCTAATTGTTGATTTCTTGCGACGTTCGAAAAAACAGTATCCACAAGCCCATGCGTAGTTTGCATCGAGTAAAGACTTCTTCCTCCTGGTTTTCTTTTCTTGTTTAGTGGTTGCACTCTCTCCAGTAGTTCGCTTTCTCACCAGCTTTAGCAAACCACTAAGCTCAGGTTGTTCCACAATGCAACTGATCTCTGATTTCTGACCGAAATATGATGCAAGCTAAAAATGTAACAAACGCATTCGATCATCAACTTTTGCAAACTAATGAACAATTGAAACTTTAAGAATTATTTTTATGCTCTTTAAAAAAATTAAAAAAAGCTTAAGTTTTCAAATTTTTTCTTTAGTTTTCCGTCAGTACACACACCCTTAGTGCTTTCCGGCCTTTGAAAACACTCAACAGTCAAGCATCTTTTTGCATTATCCCCTTCCCCACAGAAGAACAAAACAAACAAAAACAAACAAACCAAAAATTAAATGAGGCTTTCTTAAACACGAAATGACACAATATATCGACTTTAAAATAAACACATCTTCGGGGCCAAAGTTTGTTTTCCATCATCGCAGGGTGTCCCCTGGTATAGGTAACCAAAATAGAGATTGTCAACCGAAATTCAACAAGTTTGGTGAAGGGTTTCGGAAGCATATTAAGATTTCTTAATGTTTCCTGACCGATGTCTAAGCTATGAATTTTTGCGTTAACAATTAACATAATAAACATAATTTAACAGTATGTTAACATAATTTTGGTAACAAGAAATAAACTTTTGATTCGTAAGTGAAAAGTGTCTCTGGTACCACCAGGTTTCCCTTCCAGGTTTTTATTTCTAATTCAGAAGTAACTCAAGGTACAAGTGTTGTTGCAACTATTGTCCTTAGAACTTTTAAGCTAAATGAATGTAATCAAGGCTTACACTTGGAACCGTTCAATATTCTCTACATTTCGAACATGCAAACTGTTAGACCATGGTTCAAATGGTTCGAAATTTTCCCAAAAATAATGATTAAATATAGAAATTGAAAATAAAATTTTTCTTGAGCCATAAAGTTGCCTTCTCTGGTAAGGAAACCCTATTGCCTATTGATACCTTTCACTTCTTACCGTGGGTCTCTGTAGAATTGTGTTTGGTTGCAGAATTATTCTTTCATGTGCTAGAGGGCTTAGCACTGAGCTTGAGTCATTCACATTGTTCGAAGAAGCTATCGACCACCAGTCATCTGTTTCATCGAGTTTAAAACACAATAGATTGTGAGTCAACAGATTATCGCCGTTATCATCCGCCATTGCTCTTGTGTCTTGCATTTGCCTGAAATGATCTGAAAAAGTGCATGGACCGGAGAGATTTATACAGGTAGCTATGTTATTACTTAAATCAACCTCCCAATTATGGTATTGCGGACTCAGTATTATGGAGAAATTTATATTTCACTTCAACTTCCCCAATTATTTCATAATGCATTATCCAAAGAGTAAAGTGTAGCTTCCGCAAATCGCGATCACCTGGATACGCTTAGCAAAGAGATCACTAGTATAAGGAAAAAAATGGTTGAAGCCAATCTATTACAAACAAGTGGCCTTAGCTTCTAGGACCTTTTTCATCTTTCTAGAAGGTCACAGATAGACATTACAACCGAGGAGAAAAAGACAAAACGCTGGTTAATTTAGGGAATGTTTACAAGGAAAATCATTCTTCATGCAGTAAAGGAGACCAGCGAAGCATTGTCAAGTTCAAACTGAAGGAGTCAGGAGTTGCTGTGTCTTTGGCTAAGGCCTCCCTCCCTGGCTACAACAAAAGTCAATTAAAATTTCCTTCGTGGTTGTTTTCTTCTCAGGTATGGTATATTAGTAAAAGATCACTGTGAAATATCAGTAAAACGGGTTTTCTACTCATAGGTAATTGAAAAAAATTTCCTCTTCAACCTACTCTTTTCCATTTCATTGCTTTCAAGGAATACATCATCATTAACATGATCATTGTCTGACGAAGTCTGGTTTGATCTCATGACATTGCAAATCAGGTTTTGCACTTTACCCACGCTGGAATAATCTGGCAATTGAAGAGAAAATATACCGATTAGTTTTTCTTGAGCTCACTGAAATGCATCACCACTGGTAAGAAAGCATGTTGGAATTTTTGTCTATGAATTTACGATAGAATGGGGTCAGGAACATCAACAATAAAATTGAAATTTTTGTAACGCTTTCTCTCATAGTAATAACTGCTTCACAGCTCTAACTGATATACTTTGAAGAACACCTGTCCTAAGTTTGGGCCCCTAATTGTCATGAATAAAACTTGCAGTAGTATCAAAGTATCATGCACATTCTGACTCTAACAGGTATATAGTACTTACTAGATTAACACTAATCATGAGATATATAGACAGTAGAGGATGCCAAATTGTTCAGTTACCTTGGATGTTTCTCTTGTAGTTCACTTTCGTCGTTACTCGAAATGGTCGGGATGTCACACTTGCTGTCAGTCCAGAAACTAAATCTATCTTAAGAGTTACTTCCCATTTGTTCCGTTCAGTGACATCTGCCTTCTCCAACCAATAAAAATTGTCTCCATCTTGGTTCTTGTAGACTGAACCGAGATCTACAGAAATGACTTGTCGCTTCTTCTCCTTTTCCAAAACACTGACTGTAAGTTTAACAGCACCTGATTTTCGTTTGAAGTTAAACAAGGGTGTAATGCTCAGTGAACAAAGTATTTTTGCTGGAATGGCAAAAGAACTAAACAAAATTTTCAAGTCTCAGAAAAATATATGCATCTCATGAAATACACATCAAATAATACTTATTCGGATCCAATTTCCAAAAAATGCAAGAAAATATGATGATTCTTACTTTAGATCAATAAACCATATTCATTTGAGAGGTCTTCCAAAGCTAGCCCTGCCGAGAAATCGAATACAAATTTTCGCGGCCAATCATCCTAAAATTACAAAATAAATATCCGGCTTTGAATATGATTTCATGGTGAATAATCATTCTAGAATCTGCGTCTCATGACCTTTACTTTCCATGCTTTCAACCATATCTTATTAATCATGCAGAAATATTTTAATAAGTGCGTGATCATGCTCGAGCAAGTAATTATCTTTAAATTAATGAACACAATGTATTCTTTGAAAAGCCTTAAGGCTTCCGCAAACCCTTGCCAATATATCGAAGAAGTACGAGCATACATTTCGCACGTAGGCGAACGAATCCTTAGCAATGTTTAGTGCAATGTTGCAATGTCGGTCGATGAAAAATTGATGGATTTATCAATAGATCGAGTGATATTGTCTTGATGTACTTTTTCAACGAGTGAGGAATAAGTATAAGAGTTACAGTTCTTCTTTGGTTGAAACAACATTATAATAATTTGGAAAGACCATAATCTATCCCTATTAAATCATGTTACTGATTTTTTCCGCAAAACTCAACTTAAGAGCAGTCCATTCTCTTCCACTATTTTTGTTCTTTGTATTCAAACATATTAAAGCCGCTGCTCCAAGTCATTGAATCAGCGTTGCATGTATCTTCTACAATGGCTTTTGTGGAAATGCAAACGTAATCATTTCTCGTAAACAGCATAAGGGTATATACTTAGTGGAGTGGCCGAGGAACATATGATGTTTAAAATCTTACATATTAGCCATAAAATTGATCTTACCTCTATTGTCGTGGGTTCTCATGGCAGCTCTGGCGCACCTCTTTACAAATGCACATACTTCAGAAATTTCCAGGTCGGCGTGCACCTTTACCATTACTTTTGGGTTTTCAAGGCGATATTCCAGGCCTTTGGGTCCTTTCTTAGTTTTCTTTTCATAAACATCCCTGAGATCCAAAATTTGCACTTCCACAATGTCCTCATTGTTGTTGTTCACATGTCCAGTAGCCTTGGCTGCAGTGGACTTCTGAGGAGCATGAACGATCTTATTCATATTGCCTGAGGATTTTTAAAGAGTTGAAAGGTTTTTAATAGATTGGTGACTAGTTAACTATAGTTGATGTTTAGCTGAAGACTGATTTGGGGATGGAATTCTCCCTCATATTAATACTGTTTTTCTCTTCCAAATTAGCTAGGAGAGTTATGGAGAGTTCAATATGGGGTCTGATCTTATTATTTGATCCTCTGTTTGATTCAGAGCGTTTACTTAGGCAGAAAAAAAATAGTGATGTTAACGTAGTAAATAAGTTACTGCATATCATGTGAAAAGATCTATTGAAATTGATTGCAAAAGGAAATCAATTTAGTCAATTTAAGAATACTAAAGTTAATGTAAACATATGGATACATTTACAAGTTAACAAAAAAAATTGAGTATGTCAAATCACAAACTACTTTCATCAATGTCAACAGATGTTAATGTCAAGCTAGAGTCGTGGGCAATAGGGTTTTCAATCACAGAAATGGTTTTCCTAAAACCTTTTAGGTTTTCCCAAAAGGCATGGCTCTCAACTGAATTGATAGATCATTGGAAATGGAGCTGGCTCTTCTGTTAAGCAAGTAACCTGTATAGTGCTTTAGATACAGGGCAAATAAGTTCAAATTTCGAGCTCTATTTTCTGTTGCATATATTGTGAAGAGACTTTGCATAATATTTTATGAAGAAAGTTTAAAATATGACTAGTGTAAATTTATCATAAGCTTGGTGGTCACAACTTTTTTTGTTGTGTCTAAATTGTAGAGTTCCAATTGGTCTTGCTCGTTGCTTCACACTTTGTGACAGAGGAATCTTTCGTGATCAATGTGGCAACTCGGATTTATGAAGCTTGAGGATATTCTTATAAGTAAGAGAACATCAGAAGAGAAATTTAGTACACCGAAACACTTGTGAGGATGCCTTTGAAGTATATACATGCCTATAATAAAAGAAAGGGTTGATTCAAGCTCTTCTTCTCTTGGAAATTAGTGATCTCGAGTAAGGTAGAGTAGTTGGGGAAAGAAATATAGCTCTTATCTTAACAGGTTCAACAAAAACAAGATGAGGGTTTTAGCAGTTAAGCATCTGTTGCAACTGTTGCTATCGATTTTGAATTTTGACAGAGCCGACCGATTTATCGACTGATAATATAAATCTATTCTTTGTGAATGAGAAGGGGCGCAAGTCTTCGGCCGAGCTAAGGATACTTTTATTCGACTAAGCCTTTGAAGGATCAACAAATGTGTCTGTGACACTTACGAAAAGCTTTGCTCGCCGTTAAAGCAATGGTTCTGACTCTCATTTAGGGAGTTCCATTTCACCGAATGGTGCGAGCTCTTTCTAAAATTTACTTTTACCTAGAAAATTTCTATCGCTTGCACGTTGTTGCGTAATTTTGTGATATAAATTTATTTAAGATATCGCGATAAGTTACTTCCCGAAAGGAAACCCTACGATCTAATCTGATCCAGTCTCTTCATTCAAAGGCGTCTGGGCTTCCATTGACGTCAGCCTCGCTAAATTTGTGACCTCGTCTACAGCGACAACATAAATAGAAAAAGCCCTCGGCGCTCGGTGGATTCCTACTATCCACTCTTGTCTGCTTCTTCTCGACACTTCCTTATTGCAAATAAACTCATGTACTTATTTGAAATTTTCCTTTGCTACAAAACTTTATCATTACTAGACATTCGCCTTTTATATGAGTGATCAGTGATCTTTCAATCGGAAAATGTGACGTGCATCTGTTGTGTGAGTTAATAAACCTAAAGACGCAGCAAATGCAGTTTTTCGATCATTCTTTGCAGCATGTGGTTCCCGGTCAAATTGAGCAATAAAAGTTATTTCTGATCACATTGGTTGGACTATCCAGCAACAGTTAATTCAACCGTGCCGTTACAGATGGGTTATTTATTATTTCTTTTAGAAAAGAAGAACAACAGAACCGTACGGCTCATCCATGCGTTCATGAATGATGAAGGTGTATTCATATTGCTGATATAAACTTGTGAGCAAGTGGCTTCAAGAGATGGAAATTACTTTCAAGGAGATTCATAAAGTTTTTTGGGCTAAATTAAAACTATTTCAAGTTGAAAATCGAAAAAATTTTCCCGAACAGTTCTAGTCAGAGAAGTAAACAGTAGTCACCTTCCTATGACCGGCAATCCCACAAACTTGCATGCGGTGATTTCTTCAGCCGATGAGGCAGAACGTACTGTTTGACAAATTTGCTAATGACTTTTAAAGTGACAAACTTACCTGAGAGATTCCATTTCGAGGGGTCGCTCGAGCTCGTCTTGGTCTTAAATTGCGTATAACTTTCTCGCGATTCAATCTTGTTTGAAAGATGTGCTACATCATACGGAGAAAGGCCTGACAGTGAGCATCCTAGCTCAGACTGTATCAGCTCGTCGATGTCATTTAGGGTTTCTTCCCAATCTGAATTAAACTGCATTGGGCCTAATTGCGCTGTCTGGTGCTTCCAGCTGTTGTGAGCTCTCTGAAAAGCTGTTTCTAGAAAGAACTCTCTGTATAAAATTCTTGGCTCGTTGATAGTTTCCATGGTTTAAAGGGAGGATTTATTGCGGTCAGGCGGAGAATTTAAATTTATGGAGGAGGAGTTAACAACCGCTGATCCAGACCCTGACATTGCTGGTATTCACGTGCGAAGCGTTGTCACCGAGTCCTTGGTAAAAAAGCTCGTTAATGCTAAATCGTCGAAGGACCAAGATCGTAAGATACTCTGGAATTAGGCATGAAAACGGTTTGAAGCTGTTAGTCGGAACTGTGATTTTATCAACTTAGTTCAAGCTAGACACGTGCGTCGGATTGTACAGAGTTCAAACACTTATAGGTACATGAAATGCATCTCTTGCTCTCAATAACATGACACTTGATCAATTTTTTTAATACCGAGCAAGTTTGTTTCATTAGTGTGCGATTGAAATGTCCGAAATGCTCCTACACAATCACGGCGGGTGTTACCGGAAATTGTGCTTACCTGCTCACTCAAATTGATCAATTTACTGAGGTTGATTATGGTCAACCCACGCGCTTTGTTTGGTAATCCTGTTCAGGTAAGTAATGTGGATCATTGATTACACGGTCTAATTTTGGCCATAATGCTGCGTTTGATGTGATCTTTGTCCATTTATTTATCGTGGGAAGGTAATCTTCAAATCGAATTGGTTGCGAAACTTGGCGGCTCAAACGATTATTACATTTGCAATCTTAGACGGTATGACGTTTCTCATCGGGAAACAATTGAGATAATTCGTCTCCGTTTACGACTCAAAACCTGACGCCAGCTTGCCGTAAAGTCACTTTCTGACAAGGCCGCAAGTTGACTTCCTATTGTGATTCATTGTTGAAAAATTATGACCTCTCTGTACATAATCTAGATATTATTTACCATCACGCAACCCCGAGTGCAGGGTCTCAAGTATGGACCCTCTCTGGAAGATTACTGATTTATTTATAGAATCTGATAGTTTTTGCTGCTCATGAATTGCCATTTGCTGCACCCGCTCCTCTGATGAAAACTCGGGATAACATTGAAACATGAATAGAACTAAATAAACAATGTAACTATTTATTACACTCATACTGATCTATTTCAGTTATTTATAGCTACCAACGTAGTATGTACTTGACTCTTGACATCTTCAGCTAAAAATAATCTTTCATCCCTCCGTGTCTTATCAATCTTATATCGGAAAATTGCGCAAGAAGTATATTTGTTTAGTCCATTACAAAGGACTTTTTCACTAAACCTATGATCTTTTTATCGAGACCTTGTTAAACTGTATTTCTTGTCCAGGCCCCACATAGACGTGATTATGAAGTGATCATACGTGCATGCCGCAAAATGTTTGTTTTGATTTTCAACTTACGATAAGAGAGACTATTTACATTTGCACGCTGCTTGAAACAATTACTTCTGTTCTGTTATTTCACAACTCCTGACTCCTACACATTTGCACGTCTCTTAGAGAGCGCCTCTGCCTTTTTTTTTTTCAAATTTTGAGGCTATGGCAGATGTATATCATAAAAAGTGTATCTCTGAGATGACCTAAGCCTCGGGGTTTTAAACCGTTAGTGAGTGGGAAGCCTTTGTTTTAAGCATAATTATTTTGTAATTCTCATGCACAAAGCGCAATTTTACAAAGAAGCAATTGAGTTTTTGAACTTACTGAAACTGACTATTCAGCTTTGTACCTCGTACTTTTAACTGAAGTGACAAGAATCGTGTTGAAACCTGTTTGGCAAAGTATAAAGTCATATTCTTTAGTAATGTTATAATATTAGAAACCAAGGATTAGGAGATGGGTTAAACTGGGTAATACCTGTGAGGTAAGCCCATAAGAATTTCTTTCATTTTTTTTAATGAAAAAGATCACGAAAAAATGACCAAAAATGATATGCCAAACTAAAACCGTTTTTGAGACACTGAAAAAACGATCAACCACAATAGATTATGTTTCAGCCTACGTTTTCGATACTTTTTTTTTCTGCATGCTTTTAATCTGTTCGTTGTTTTAGGAAACAGCCCAGGAAAATTATTTTCCAGAAAGTATCCAGTCTTCATCGACTGCTTTCAGTGTACAAAATAAAATGGGTAAAGTGGCAATCAGAAATTTGACTGCGAAATGTTGAGGTTCTCAGTGGGTTCACTGTTAGCCGTAAAACGGCTAAAAAATTGAGCTGTTAGTCGTGTTGACAAATGTTAACCTTAAGTCGTAAAAAAATGTAACTGAAAAAGTTTTTTTGGCGACAACAAGAGAAAGATATTATTCGTGAGCCGTAAATCAGCCATCAGTTTTAACAATTAGCCGTAAAAGCCATCAACCCATTCAAACCTTCTATATTGCCTTTAGTTTGACTTCAATTATATTTCATTAACCTCTGGCGGGAACAGTAGACTTCTTTTACCATAAGCTCTCAGATTAGTTTCTCAGAAGTTCAACTAAGCTGAAAATGAATTTCACTGTGGTTGATCACTTTTCAAACTGACGAAAACTTGCCCGATTTGGCAGCCTGAGAACATGGTTGACAAGTTGAATCACTCATGGTGCTTTGTGAAGTTTGACTGGTCAGTAAAGTTTTGATGTCCCATTCTGTCGAATTCTGAATTAAAAAGTTAACGAATATTATTGCCAATGTGAAAGTATCTTTTTACGCCGAAAACATCTCGGAGAAACTGGTTACGTTTGGGAAAAATTTGAGAGCCAAAACACTGCAAACAAATGTGACATAGTTTGGTGTGCATTTTCGAGAACATTTTAAAACAAACATCAAAAGGAATTTCTTGCAGAAGATTTTATTGCAATACTCAAAAGTGAAACTTTTTTATGGAAAATGTTTATTGTACATTTTATTGCAGACTCTGTCCTCTTTGCTCGAGCTAGAAGGGGGTCCTCCTGCTTAACCCTAAACAAAAAATCAGCTAATTTTTCTTCATTTCTAATATTTGTTATTTGAACTTAAAATTGCGAAAGCTTTGAGTTTCAAATATTTCCAAATTGTGCCCACAGACACAAAAAGTATGAAGTCACAACTGTGTTCTAAAGTCTCCAGTTGACCAATAAGAGTGCACGTACTATCTGGATTATTTCATAATAAAGATTTAATGCGCGTAATTAAATCTGATTCGTAATTAAGGCTTTATATACCCTAATAAGTGTGTGCAAAGTGACTGATGTGTCCGGGAATCCCACCAGTAAGGAGAATAAGAGCAATATGGCCGGTAAACCCTTCTTGACGTGAGTTAATTCAACTGATGCGACCCACATTCCCGCCGGTACAAAAGAGGATAGTCTTGACCTGTTAGAGGACCTCACTAGGAGATTAGTGAATACGACTGATAGGGAAAAACATTTCTACCTTTTTGACAGAAAAGCCTCTTTTACTCAGTTTAGTATATAGGAAGTATTTGAAAAATTAACTAACAAGGTAACTTGCATTATCAATACTTGCAGACCAGTGCTGATGACCATATTATGGTACAAAATCCAAATGACCCAATACAAGCAGCTGCGGAAATCAAAGGTGGGTTCAAATTTTCTAAACCATTTATTAAAGTTTCTCAAAGTTTCTAGGATTCTTTTTTTTTTTTAAACTGTATAAATACCTTTGAAATTCATTCAACTGGTATAATACTTTCTAAAATATACGCCAGCTAATTTCTATAGGCTTGTTTCTACTTTACATAAAATTATCATTCGTGATCATAAGAAAACACGTCACTTAATTAGTTTATAACAGAGAACCTTTTCAGGATAAAATGGCATTGACGTTGAAGCTGGCTATGTTTAAAATCCAAGGAACTCGTTAGAGACCCGTTGCAAAAAAAATTAGAAAAATTTACTTTCCAATCTTAGAAGCAGTAAACTTGTTCAAGCTTCTAATGATTTGCCCTCAATAAAGGAATCTTTAGTAATCGCCCTCTATTTAGATAGCTCATTCTCTGGAGACTTCTGAGCGTGTGCAATGTAGTTTTTGGCGTAAATATTCATAATGCTTAACTGACTGGTATATTTTCCAACCTGCGTGGGGCTTATCTTGATAGAAATAAACAGCAGAGCAGTTACTGTTTACAACGAAAATAATTGGACCACAAATCTGTTCGTTGTTCGAAATGCCGGAAACTGGAGCGGATAGCTTGATTACTCCGCCATAGGCACAGCGATCCACGTTTAGATAGTAATGGTGCTTTCCAGGCACTCCTGAAATCACAAAAATCATTGACAGTTAATTACATTCAATTTGCGTTTCTACATCATGGTTGTCAACTCAAGTTTGAATGTATGCGCCGTAATGGCTGTAGTCACGTTTTTGGTACTCCTCAATGTTCTTATTTTGTCAAATAAAACCGTTTTGGCTTCTTACGGAAGCTCTCTAACAGACAATGATTTAAGGTCTTCATCTAGTTTTCAACTTCAAGTTCCTTCGTCAAATATGAAAACTAATGGAGACCGAGCATTCTCTTTATGTCCCCGCAAGTTTTGGAACTGTCCTCCCAGATATATTAAGCGTTGCTCCAGTGTTACTCATCTCTGAAAACTTATCTTTTTAAACGATATCTTATACCTTAAGTTATTTTAAGTTTTATTATTTTTTTAAAATCATAGTGAAGTGCTTTGGAACTTTTGTATAAAGCGTTACATAAATAATTTTATTATTGTTATTATAATTTTCCTACGTTTCCAGGGAATTCACTTTGACATGATTGTGTAAAGCCCCCCCCCCCCCTTAGTTCGCTAGCATTAGGGTGGCGAGCCAGTCACAGAGGATGAATGATGTAGTAGCTTGTTAAGTGTGTTGCCTTTAATCAATTAAAAATTTTGAACTTAATTAAATTTGACATCACTGGGCTGGTTTCATTGGGTTTACGTTCGACCCGTCTGATTTTTGTCCATATTTCCCATTGCTGCAAAACTTTTGGCTTTCCAGTATTTATTTCTGAGTTTTTCCTCAATTATAAACCATTTTTTATCAGGACAATTGAATCCAAGATCAGTTGCAATGGCCACTGCTTTAATCCTTGCACTCCCGAGATTGGAGAAATAATTGTTCCTCCCGAATGCGACATAGTCTTTCTGAATAATTTAGGAGAAGTTTTGTCTAATCGGGCTGACAACAGATACGCTCGCTAGACTACTTGCGTGGCCTATTTATTAGATCATGATGATATAGATAATTTCGAAGAGTTGAGAGGACATCCTATGGGGAGACACTTATAAAAGCTCCTCTTGAGAGCACTGAGCAACAGAACAGCTAGCATAAAACCGCTCACGCAAACGTTGCTCCAGTCGGACAAGTGGCCTTAAGAACGTGTAAGATTGTTGTACTTACTCTTTGAATCCAATTCGGGAATGTCATCCAAATGCGGCTTCATTCTTTCTTTAAGTCTATCCCACGTAAATTCAAGGCCAATTGTTGTGCAACGCTGTAATAAAAAATTCAACGAACGTTTCAATAACATTTCTTTTAGGTCTCTGGTTATACAGATATAGTTGCCTGAATTTTTTTTGTTTTTGCAGAGGAATTTTCCATAATAAAAACTCGGCGAAAAACCATTTGATTTAATGACAAAGCCTGTTTACGAATCTGAAAGACTCGCTGACTAGCTTATTGATTGAGTAACTGAGTGTATTTGACTGCCTTGTGACTGACTTGATGGATGACGGATGGACATACACTTTCATACGAGTGGTTTAACCCGTTTGAAATATATATAAGCCACATATATACCTGTGCCGTGTCACGTTCGGGAATAAATGTGAAATTGCATTTAGAATCTCCTAAGGAACCATGCTCGCATATCCAATATCGTAGAGCACTTCCCGGATATAAGAATTGGTACATCCAGAAAGCGGTTAACGCAAGCGCAGTTAAAAGGCCACACACAATCATGCGCCGCACTTTGGAGGGAAAAGAACAAATAAACAAAGTTAAAAAAAATTAGTAAAATAAGACACTCGCCTCGCCTCATTGTTTGACCTGAACGACTAAGCTATTAATAATAACCATGTGCGTTCTGGAGTTTTTAGTCTGTTTACTACAAAGTCAACTGGTTAGTCAGTCGGTAAGTCAGTAAGTCAGTTGGTCAGTCAGTTTTCAGTCAGTGAGTCAGTTATTCGATCGTTTGTTCAGTCAGCCAGTTAATCGCATGGGCCAGCTGGCCGCGAAGCAGTCCACAGCCACTTGGTCAGTCAGTCAATCAAGTTAGTCAGGCATGTGGGACGTCTGTCTCCTGGTTTGTCTGACAGTTTTTAAAAGGAGTGTGTCACTTAATTTAGGTAAAGAAATTAGCTTTCTTTTCTCATGATATAATGTTATACTGATGCCACTACAACTGGATCGCCGATGCGTTCTGATATAAAGAGGATCGGAACTGAAGTCGTAGACTTGAATCAGCGACCCTTTAAAAGTCGCCACATATATAAAGTTTCTTGTACTTACTTCGGCTCGCCTTTCTTCTCTCTTTTCGCAGCTTTGCAGCCACTTCCACGTCGAATCGATTATACATGTTTCCTATTTCTGATTTGATTTCTTTATCGCTTACTCCAAGAACCATGCACACAAAACTCTGAACCAAGTTAATGTCATTGAGCTTAGATGCTTCCTTTTCTTCCATTGACATCCCCAATAGAACACTGCCGCCACCCAAGATCACACACGGAGGCAAATGGGACTCTGGGATAGCAGTGCCAGGATGATCTGGGCTCACATTAGTATAAATTCGTTCTCCAGCCCGGACAGATCCCATACACTTTACTTTGATAATTCCAATTACGCAAATAACATCAGTGGGATCTATAACAGAAGAGTTACACGAAGAAGGAAGAGAAAAACAAAATAAACAAAGAAAAAAACGTGATCTAATTTAAAAGGAACTTTTGGACTACAGTGACTTTGCTTTTATTGAACATGATTTTAGCCTGACGTTTGGGTAACGCAGGCGAAAGTGGCATTTTTTGGGTGAAATATGCGCACAACGTTCCTGAGAGAACCCAAGCCACGATTAAAGTAACAGTAAAATAAAACAAACCGTTTTGACTTATGGCCGGAGTGGCCTCTAGGTAGGCTGACCGGCTGATGACTCCTGCCATGAAAGCTTGCTTTCCATTTTGGCTGTCTAAAAGCTGTACGCATGCTGTTCCATCGTCACTTTTGAAGAACCCAAGCACATCACCTTCCTCAAATTCTTTGTACAATTTAGGATCCTTCACCTTAAAGTGATATCCAATATCGGCTCTTCCTTCATTTACCGTCAAGTTGTCATATTTTAAACTTCCAATGTAAGCACTTTTCGCTTCCAAGTGTTCAATCACCCGAAGGTTTTGAAAGGAACTAGGAACTAAAGTCATTAACAAAGAGATTTTTTATATGATAGTTTAGGTTGAACTTATGTGCGCGCGTATTAGTTCAAAGGAATCTATAATTTCGACATTTCAGTTTTTCTAGATTTGAGGGTAGTATAATGGTAGCAAACAGTAGAACCTGTATTTGACGAACCTCTATATAACGAAGTCCTCGGCATAACGAACCATACTCTACAGCCACGGCTAAAGTTACAGTGAAATGTATGGGACAGAACCTCGATATAACGAACCTCAAAATAACGAACCTCGATATCACGAAATTCTCGTTATAACGAACACAATCCAGAAGCCCAAACATGTAATATACCCCGATATGGCGAACAAATGTCAACACGTGACAATTTTTTGAAAAAGGATTTAAGAAACTAAACTAGTGAGCAGCACTCTGCGGACAGTAGTTGTAAAACTTCCTTATTCTACGACGCTTTTCGTCTAACTGTTGTCGACTTCTTCAGGAAGTTTTACAAGTTAACATTAAACTAAACCGTGGCCCCTTAATATTTTTCTCACCCTGCTTAAAAATTTTCAAAATTTTTCACAACTTTGCCTGTTTCTGTTCGATTGTAAGTCCAGCCAAGCCTATATGGTTATCTGCCCCCGCAATAGCCACTAACTGTGGCTTATAAATACAGGCGTCTAAATTAATTTTTTTCGAAAACATATCTTCATATAGACATTAAAGCACAAATGTTATTTACAGTAATCGTTCCGATCCCAAAAGGCTAAGTAGCGCAACGTCACACCACAAAGAAAAAAAAAAAGAAAAAGAAACAGATAAAATCAAACTCACCTTTCTTTGGGGTTGAGCCTTCTGAAGTGGATTCCACTGAAGAGGAATCTGTTAAGTTTAAAAAGTGATGGGTATAAAGCATCTTTGTTTACTTATTTACTTTTTGCAATTTTTCGTATCACTTTGCTTTCAGTTTTGAATGAAACACGGAGATACACAGTTTGGTGGGTTTAAGAAAGTGAACTAAATACAAAATCAAATGTTAGGCAACTAAACGAGAAAGACCCCCCCTCCCCCAGCTTCTGTGAAGGATAAAAGGTATAGAAAGTACAAGTAAAGTTGAATAATGAACGGGAATGCATATTCTCCTAATTCTGCGAAACTAGCCATTTTTCCTTGAGATTTTAATCCTTCATCACGGCATGACTTGGTTCTTCTTTCTCACTTTTTTTGCTTAAGGAGAGAAGGAGAAGAAAGGTCCCAAGTGAATTTTCTGTTCGTGCTTGTGGGATCGACTTAACAAAAAATGTCAACTTACTGTGTGTATTCCACTAACCTTCACTGGATTTCCTCTTCTTAGGTAAGCCAGTTTTAGGTTTACTTCTTAGCAGGAATGGTTTACTATAGAACTCTTGAGTCTCTCCAGACTGTGCGGGCAGCTCCACCAAAAGCTGAAAAACGTTTTTCTTCTTCATGTCTCCTTTTTCCAATTTATACAATGGAGGACTCCAGGGGTTCGGGCCATCGTATTTAGAATCCAGATCAACTGAGAATAATTGCTGTACAAATCATGTAATAAAAGCGTCAATATCATCCACTTCACTGTGTGTAATTGGCTCGTTTGTGTCATAGCAACTATGATGACCCAAAACCTAAGTGACGGATCTATATGTCTGCCTCTGGCCTTAATATCATTTCAACGATCTGACTTATTGTAAGTAAAGCGGATCGATAGACTCCAATGAAAACCTTGGTGGTTTCTAGTTTCCTATTGGGTTCTAACTATGTCTGTTTTAACAAGTGTCTGGAGATGAGGGAAAATCGGGGACCAGACCAGAGCTTTCAGCACTCGTTCTTAGTGGTAAAGAAGGCTCCAAGGGCGAGAGCGCTGCCTGTCGTCTGCTGTCAAAAGCATTCACCAGAAAATCGGTTCAAACAGAACATTTCACCTTTAAAACCATTCACAGATGGCAAGTGCACGCACAGACTGTACATGCAAACGGTGTTGTTGTTGTTTTTTTTTTATAGAAGTATTACTGGAGAATTACTTGTAAAAACAGTGACCACGGGTTCACTTGTATCCCTATAGCTATCTACAATATCTAGTTGGATCCTTTTGCTTTTGTCGTGATTAATGAACTCCTTGTGTAAGGAGCGAGGAGAATTTAAATTCACTAAGATTTAGTTGAGTTAGCTTCCCAATGAACTATGTATAAGTTGATTTAAGAAGAATTTATTTATGTGTGCATAACCTCATCTGAGACACAACGGAATAATTTGCCACAGCTGCGCACTTAGACGCAATATGAGAATTTTTAACCCTTCCTCGCCAGGTGGACCTATGTAAACATAGAAAAGTCCTAAATTTCATTTGTGAAATAATTTTCAGTTACCCACGATCCTTACATATCAAAATCATATTTCCATACAGACGCCTCAACAATTCTATGCACTCACAGCGTGCATAGATGAGTGTTTACTGCGTAAGTGTAGCAGTTATTTTGTGATGCAAAATGTAAAAGCAACACCAATCATAATAGAAAAAGAGACAAAAGAAATATTTAAAACGAGTTGAATGATGAAATTTAACTTACCCTTGCGCCTTTATGTCCCTCAAACTTAACTGGCAAACTTACTGGTCCATTCCTGTCGTCGCAAAGTTCAGCAGCTTGCTTTTCACGCATTACCCAAACACGTATAGAGGTGACATCGAGGATTTTCACGGGAGACCAAGCTTCCATTTGGATGACACCATCCTCCACGCGCTGTCTTGCTCTTCCTCCTTTTCGTGATTCTATTTTATCAAACACGTCCTTTTTTTCCAGAGTGACGAAGCGAACGTCTGGTTTGTCTTGGAAAACCTCGCTTTCAGTGGAATTGAAGAACTCTGCTACCGTTTCCGCGACTGTGGATGAGAAAACAGTAGTTTTATGTTGGGTAATTTTAGGGTAGTCCTTTAGTGCACATATGCCACAAACTATTGGTAATAACAATATCATTTCATTTTGTGGCTCTGTCAATAGGATCAAGTTATGAATGCTGCTTCAATTTCCTTCGTCCCTATTTATCGTGTGTAAATGATACGGCTCAACATAATATTTTATCTCTGGAATTACCTTTTAGGGTACAACACGGCCTATTTGTGAACATGAGAGCGCACCTATACCCTTCAGAGGTCTTCATTGACTGCACCTGATCCTAAACTGAGTTGAATTGATTCTCACATTTTTCATCATCAGGCCCCGATCACTTGAACAGATGACAAGCTCTCCAAGCTTGCCAAACGATACAAAAAGGGAAATTTACAATATGCATGTTAGTTTACTGTTATAATTAGTTTCGTTTACTCATACATGTTCAGTCGTTGAAATATGATCAAGAAATCGCATCAATCAGATGAAATGAACGAAAAAAAATTGATATGAGAAGAAAGAGCGCAAATCATCCTTTAAAATGAAACACTAATCCCACCATATTTTTTTGACGGGCAGTCTGCACAAAAGATTGGTGAAAAACAGGAAAGCACATTTGTTTAAAATATTCTACAGACTAATTCGGATTAATTCATGGGATTTGTTATTCGTTCATCTAGATTGCTGAAATGCTCACGGTTAATAATTAATAATCAATCAATCCCCCAAATGTACCACGCAAAGGCGCGATTCATGCGGAAATCGGTTGTCCACCAATATCTGAGCGTAATTAACTGCCTGCCCTACGATTAGGAAATAAATATTGTTCTGCCTTTTTTTCACAAAGGGATAGGATTATAATAAGTCCAAAATACAACGAGCAACTAAGACGTGACGGTGACCCAAACATTCAGACTGAATTAGTCGTCTTTGTTAAAGGGAGCTGGTACTGAATCATTAAATCTTCATTTCCACAGTAAACAAAGGTAGGTTCAAGTATAGGCCTCATGCATCATACATTGAACCTGAGTAAGCTGTTGTTTTCAATTCACTGGCAACTTAAAACAAGCGTTAACACACAAAAGCTCTTACTTTGCATTTATTGACATCTGAGTAAGCGAAGATCACGTTTGAGGCGCAAAAGCACCGAACACTTTAAAATTATCTAACTTTCATGCGCGGACGGTGGAACGCCACAAGCTACTATAAGGTAGTGAGGAAGTATTGTTTTCAAACAGTATGATCGTATTGGCAAACAATAAGACCACTTACCAAACTGATCGTCGTGTCCACCGGGTAGGAGAGGCTGTGTCAGTTCTACCAAGTCTTGTCTTGTGTTACCGTCCATGGTTGTCTAAGAGCCTTTTGCCTTTTTTCTTTCTTTTATTCGACAAAAATGAAAAATTTGCACTTTCCCTGTCAACTGTTAATCGACTGCCCTTACCAAACAGGAATCTTAACAACCCGAAAGTCTCAGATGTAGTGACGAACTGTGTCTTTGAGCTAAATTCGGGTTCCCCCTTCTGCTCGGAAACGAGGCTTTTAACTTCCTGTTTTGTTGCTTTGGATACGCTGACCTTGATATCATGATAGCCATATGACAAATTGTAACGCTAAACCTGGCTATGCTTAGCCAAGAATTGCCTATTAACTTTCATAGATGCCATTGGAAGACATTTGTGGTAAGTTAGAGCTCATTCTCAGTTAGAAGAGACGGCATATCAAGGTCGAGAACACTTGCGTGACTGAACAATAGCTTATTATATTGCAAGCCACGCGTCAGAAATGTGGAGAAACTGGACTTGTGGTTGGTTCGCATACTCCCGAGGAGGCATGATTTACTTTGTTTGACACTCTCCTTTAAGGAAAATTGCAATTAATTTTTTTCCACTCCTTCTTTCATAGTTCCCAGGTGCCTTCGATTAGGGATATGAACTTAGGCCACAGCCCATTATCACTACGGCAATGGACTCCTACCAGAACTAAATAACTGTGGTGAGGGGTTGACAAATATGGGCCACCAAAATTGATCATTATGGCGTCCAGTGCCAAATTAAAAAATCCTCAGAAGGCGTAAGTCAAGTGAATAACAACAACTAAATCTTATGTATATTTAGGTTTTTCCTTCTGCCTAGAATCGGGCTCGAGGCGTGTCAAATATCAGGAATGCGAAGAAAACTGATTTGGTTCGAATACTTACGGGAAACCATGATTTCCTTGATATCAGCCTGTTCCAGGCTTTCAGTAAGTAAAACAAAGTGCGATAGTAAACAACACTTAACTATTAGAGGAGTGAAAAAACGAGACAAGTTTATGGTGGCGTCGTGAAACATCCCTCGATTTACCGCCACTCACTCTTGTACCTCGTTCTACGTCTGGAACAGGCTACCTTTATATTACCCTAGATAAAATTGGTGTTGTTTTGTTTGTTTGTCATGCTTCATTGCTGTCTCCGGTTAGGAATAAAGATAAAGCTCGAAGAAAATATAGGGACATTATTAATAAAGCCAATTAATTGTGGATTAAAACAGTAATTAGGGGCACCAAAATAGATTATTATGCTGCCTTAGCGTCACCTTTAAAGTGTTGCCAAACGCCAAAGATATTTAGAAAATTATGACTAAAAAAAAGTGACTAAACTGAAAACCTGTATTTCCAAAGTTAAATTTTATTGGTTTACACACTCGAAAATAACGGAATGATCAAGGGATATAGATGAACACAATTATACAACATTCCAGTTTTAACTGAATAAAACTAGCAGGTCGTCTGAAAAAAAAAATAGGGAAGTGGTTGTTGATACGAAGAAGGAAATATCCTCACGAGGTGTGATTTTTTTATCTTTTAAATATCAAAGGTATTAAACATATGCTTAGCATATGAGTAAATAAGTGGTGACAAATTTTTTGCCTACGAAAATTTAAAAGCAAGAAGCATGAATATTCAGGTACCTATACTTATCTACATCTTACATCACAACTTTAATCGAATTACTACCCAATACCATGGTGATTTGAACTTTGGTTTGGCTTTTATCAACTAGATATACAGCTCAAGACCCCTTCCAAAACGCTTTGACCATTTCATGCTGAAGGGATGTCATTTTGTTGTTTGTGAGGCCTCCAACATAAACTTTGATGAAAAGTAGCAATGCTCACGAAAACCTCAATAGCTAACCGAAGAAAGATGAAAGAAACCTTCAAGTGAAAATAAGCTCCTGAACAAGAATATTTTTCCATGGAAATTTTCGAATGGCTTGCACAGTAAATAATATATGGAATATAAAGGTCAATCAGATTTAGCTCCAATTCCAAAGGAGAGGTATGCCTCATAAATAGTTTAGTTCTTATCTCCATTTTATAAACGTACCATAAAAAGATTACCACGTAGCGCGTTGAGGTTCCAAAGAGTAATCTAAGCGTTTAAATGTCGTTTTCTAATGTGATAAAAAATTTTATATCTATCTATGGACGATAGAATTTTGGAAAGAAGTCAGTTTCTGGCTACCAAAACACGCAGAACTACGACAAGCCAACCACAACTAACTGCTTGTCTGGTTGTCACGAATCGAATGGAATTTTAAAATGCAGTCTACGTCTTGATTATTTTCATAGCTACTTATAACCAGCAGAGAGGAAAACAAATGTTCTCTAGAATATCTCTTCTCATTTAGAGGAGTCACGTCACGGTCTGTTAATCTTTTAAAATTTACCCTTAATATTTACAAATTGCTCATCTACAAAATCCACATCAATCGTCTCCATCCTCAACTATTTTCGTTCTTCTTTAGTTTCCATGTTCGTGTTGTTCTAGAGACCTTTACATCTGAGCGTCGAAAATCATACGGGATTAATTTGGTTTTGCTTTACTTCGCTGATTGATCTAGAAAACTCGCAGCAACAAATCATCCAATCAGATGCAGAGCTAAAACAAATCCTAACTTGGTCACACGCGTTTTCCCGCGCTTTAAGAAGGTTGCCTGTTGTTGCTTTGAGTTCTATTGGTTGATGATGGTGTTAACCTTCGTTCTGATTGGTAGTTGTGATTACTTTGGTGTTGGATTTTCGAACCTCAATTGAAAACTGCTCTAGTTAACCCGAAATTCATTTTGTGGTTTTGTGAAATTGAAGGTATTTTGCTCCTTACACGTTCAAATCATGACCTCAACTTCGTGTCTCTCTTATATTTTAAATTCCTCTGCAGGTATACATTTAAGATAATCTCGCAGATCTTTGTTTTCTACCGACGTATAATTCTTCCAGCCATCGTCAGGCTTATCCTGGTAGTAATAAACAATGGAGCAGTTAAAATTTATGGCAAAAATAATCGGCCCGCAAATCTGTTTGTTGTTAGAAATTCCCTGGACTTGAGCAGACAGCTTGTTCGCCCCACCATGAGCGCATCGATCCCAGTTTAGATAGTAATGGTGCTCACCAGGTACCGCTGAAATCAAATTCATAAATCAAATGAAGTACTTATCATGTGAAAAGATTGAATTAATGGTAAAAGACAATTTGGTATTATAAACAGAGTTGATAATGTAAATTGGCCACCGCAAATGATTTCCAAGGCTAACATTTCGAGTGATGATCTTCCTTCAGAGCGAAACATCAGCTGTAAACCTTTGCAAGGGCCAATCAATGTTATCAACTCAGTTGATAAAACCAAATTATTTTGTAATATCCCAACAAACCCAGAACCACAGTTTCTTTAGAAACATATTCCTTCTATTCAAAGGCTTGCAACTTTCAGACATCCCCGTAGAAATATTCATTGTTTAAAAAATACCTCCCTCGTCGCCGTGAGCGGTTTGATCCATCACCATTTCCGCATGACACTTTTTTTTTTTGTACACAGAAAAAAACAATTCAAGGAATTTAAACTCAGCTAACTTGACTAATACTTACCAAACTATCAAATCTGTTCTATTTTCCTTATCCTAAGTTGACTCAAGCCAGGCATTACACGGGTGTTGTTACAGGTGGGCTTACCTGTAGAATTTAGCGGAGGAATACCGTCCAAATGCGGCGACATTTTTTGTTCAAGTCCATCCCAAGTGAATTCAATACCACGGGCATCACAACGCTGCAATTGCAGTTGGATATATTACTTGGAATGTAATCCAGAATTGTTTCAGTTTTGCTTCACCATTTACTGTGATTGGTCTACAGTATTCCTTAAACCACTTTTAACCAATGTCATGCCGATATTTAACCGATTGCGACTGGCTCGATCACGTTTTAATTGACTACTCATACCACTCCAATCTAATTGCGCATTTTACAAAGTGTATCGTGGTTTCCGTGGTATAAAACAACTAGCACGGTGAGCTATCCCGAGCATTTCGTTAGTCCACCGCAGTACCATACCCAGACCTTTTCAGTTCAGAGCATCCACTTTACAGATTACAGAGTCTGTTACAAGGTTCATCTTAGACTGAACGGACCATGAAAAGTTACCTCCATATTTTATTTTTTTGAGCCATTCTGTTTTAATTGAAATAGTTACTTGCATGTAATGTAAATTGGCCACCGTAAAAAAGTTCTAAAGCTGATGTTTAACTTAAGCTTTACGCCACATCGAAGAGTCGAAGGGCTAACTTTCGCTTTAGAAACTTCTTACGCTGGCCACATTATCGACTCAGTTGACAAAACCCCGCAATAATCGACGCAGTATCATACTTTCTTCATAAACTTACCTTCTTTAATCAATACGTAGATCATTTACTTACGTACCTGATGTATTTGGGACGAGGGAATATATCTAAATGAAGCCCTGTGACCTGGAATGGATCCCTGTTTGCATATCCAGTATCGTAATGCACTTCCCGGATACAAGTACTCGTACATAAAAACAGCAACCAAAATGAGCAGAATGACGAAGCCCCACCCCATCACGCACATCACTGAGTAAGAGAAATATAAAATCACGCTTAAAAAGCTAGATAGGAAGACGATTCAACAAAATCAGTCGATTAGCCAAAGGATCAACATTAAAAGCAAGCAAGACATTGATCGAGCGATTAATCGATCGATGGTTTAATCAGTTAGTTATGCTTGTATGTGTATGTTTGAAGCCTCAGATGATCACTTCCCTGATGAAGCTTTTCAGGGCCAATACGAACAAATCGAAACATTAATACTAAACTAATAATAAATGTTTAAAAGCCCCTTTTGGTCGGAGGAAAACCAATTGGCTATACATCAAGTGCAGCCAAGGAGTTGAACTTGGGGCAACTGAAAACGAATCCATTGATAAGCAGAGCGAAGGGCTTAAACCTGGGACTACCAGATTACAAGTCCAGCGTCCTAACCACTCGGCCACACTGTTTCATGTAAGGAGGTCTCTACAGAAAAAAAGGAAAATATTACTTACGTCTTCTAGTCTTCTTCCTCTCTCTTCGCAGTCTAATAGCCAAATCCATCTCAAAGTGGTGGTACATGCTTTCTATTTCCGATGCAATTTCTTTATCACACACTCCCAGCACTATGCACACAAAGCACTGAACCAAATGTACATCATCCAGCTTGGAGGCTTTCTTTTCTTCCATTGCCATGCCAAGTAATGTACTTGTTTTGCCGAGGAGCACACTGGGAGGCAGATGGGACTCTGGGATGGCTGTTCCAGGATTGTCCAAGTCCACAGAAGCGTAAATTCGTTCTCCCGCCCGGACAGAACCCACACACTTCACTTTGATGACTCCGATAACGCAAACAACATCAGTGGGATCTAAGAAGGAACATTACCTCCAGTAAATTCCCTACCAATTTTGGCAAGCTAGTCATATACATAGCTAGTTAAAAAAAACTCACAGCTCACAACTATAGCATCCAACGTGATTGCAACCCTGCATAAAAAATTCAGATCTGTTTTAATAAATATGAAATTCTGCTACATGCACTTTTGTTGCCCTTTAAACTTTACTGGATTGTAATGTGGAAATAACAAGATTAGTTAGGAACAAACCGTCTTCACTAATAGAAGGTGTGGCTTCAAGGTACGCTGATCGGCTTACGACGCCCGCCATGACGGCATCTTTTCCATTTTTGTTGTTCAGCAGCTGTATGGATGCTCTCCCATCGTCACCTTTAAAGAAGCCGACCACATCTCCTTCTTCAAAGTCTTCACACAGGTCAGGATCTTTTAGTTTAAAGTGATATCCAATGTCGGCCTTCCTCGCACCTGCATTAGAGACTACAAACGACAGGTGTTCGATGTGCGCACGCTTGGCTTCCAAGTGGTCAATTACTCGTAGATTTTGAAACTCGACCGATCCTCCTGAAGAAGGCAACGAAAAGATGCTCAGATATTAAATATAGCAACATTTTCCAAACAACAATGTCTTGATGGCTCGATGAGCAAGGGAACATTGTGCAATCCAATATCTGCTTGACGCTGATGAGACGGGTTCTGAAGGCCTTAGAGCAATTTCAATGGAATGTCGAAAGTAATGCGGGATTGCTTTGTATTTTCTTCACTTCGCTCTGTGATTGGTACCAAAGACTTGTGCCTCGCTCTCGACCAATCAGACGCAAAACTAAAACCATCTTGACTCAAAATCTTGACTTGGTCGCGTGCTTTTTACCGCGCTTTAGGCAGTTTGGTCGTTCGTACTATGAGTTCGCATTGCCTCTTGAAGGAATTTACTTTTATTCTTCTTGGTAGTTGTGATTTCTTTGGTTTTGGTTTTACGACACTCAACGGAAAATACTTTACTTCGTTTCTATTTTCTTTTACGTTCGAATTGAAGCCAGACGAGCACTGCAAACTTGCTTAGGGGTTAGCGTAGTAATGAATCAAAAAATTTCATGGATTGAGGTGCAGGGAGATTTCAACTCTTGAAATAAATGTTTGGCTCAGTGAACTCAATTTACTCAGTTACCATGTTGAGTGCCCTTGAGTTGATAAAAACTTTTATTTACAATCAGTGTTTTACTGATTGTGCGTTTGCGCGAAGGGAAACCCTGCTTCGTGGCCATAAGCTTCACGTCCGAAGAGACAGGGCGGGGCTGGGGGAGGGGATTATTCACAACAACTTACTTACCTGTCATGCTAACAGAACTGTCTGGACTGAAATGAACAGGTGAGTCTGCAAATTTAAAAATGTAAAAGAGAAACAATTGTAGCTGGTGGATATTATAAAAAAAAATTGGCTGACAATTATAATAACTATGTACAGTGACCTTACACCCTTGTTTTGATGAAAATGACATATCTTGCGCCGCTCCTATTTTAAACTTAATTGGCGAGACAGTGATGAGTAGTAAGTTATATGAAGGTATTTAAAATTCTTTCTATCCACCTGTCTTCATCACTCATACATAGTTTTCTTCCACTTTTTAACTTGGCGGATCCATCGTAAAAAGTCGCCGGCTCACCGCGCGAGCAGAGAATGATTATTCATTCATGTAAACTTAAGCTTTTATAACTAACTTTCTCTAACTTCTCCGTTAATGAAGAGAGGTTTGACCACTAACCTTCTCCTTCTTCTTCTTCTCCTGTGCTGTCTGTTTAAATAAAGATACCAAAAATAAGTGGAGTGAAGCCTAGGTCATAACGTTTATTAGGTACTGCAAGTAAATTTAATTGGGTGAAAACATAAAACGAAGTATCAAAAGTTATACTTGCTGACGGTGTTCCTTGATTTTATCATGTTTTAGGGAAAACAGATATATTGAGAGAAATAGAACTGTTATTAAAGCTTCCACTTCCTACTTTTACTCAACTGCCTTTCTTGAAATCAAGTTTTGTTCTGTTGTTGTTTGTTTTTGTTCATGCCCTTTTTGATCATACAAGTATACCCTGATCAAACCACTCCCTCTAGAAAAGACTCATTGTAAAACCCTATTTTGCTTAGTGCACAATATTTCTTTTATCCAAAATTGCTTGGAAGCTATTTTACAACTGCTTCAAAAGTTTTGCCGTTTTGAGTATAGCTTCCTTGCTTACGAGGAGCATTTGCATGTTTCTTTGCTTAACGCACATGAATGGGTGGGTAGTTTGGCAAACACTTGTCAAGTCTTCAATATTCAAAAATAAATACAAACAACAGCTTCGAAAGTTATCACAACCAACGACTTGAGACTATTGTCTGGCATACATTTTCAAATTCTTAAGTAAACCAAAATATACCACACAACTTTTTATTTACTAACATTGGAGGAAACAAAATAATTAACGAAATCTCAGGCTACCTGGAACGATTCTCGGCCTTTTCATCCCAGGTTTTGCCTTGCTGGGATTATTTCTGGGCCTGCTCCTGATCAAGAATGGCTTACTATAAAAAGGACTGTGACTCTTCTGCCGCTCCATTGTGAAAAGACAGCTCAACTATTAGTTGAAAAAGATTCCTCTTGTCCATCTCTACTTTGGCCAGTTCGTACACTGGTGCGATGGGGCCATCGTAAACTGAGTCCAGGTTCACTGAGAAGAATTGCTACACCAAGGAGAAAGGTTTTGTGTGGATCGTGAGATTTGCCTTTGTTCTGTTCATGTCGATTTTTAACATTGTTTCAAGACCTTCCTTAAATCTCTATGGGTACTACATAAACTAACGAAGAAAAATACCTTTTCTATATTGTGTTGTCCATATGTAACTTGAAGTTCCACCGGTCCGTTTTTGTCTTTGTGGAGTTGCGCGGCGTTTGGCTCTCGAAATACCCATGTTCTAATGCTTAGGATCTGACCCACTGGAGAAATTGCCTCCATCTGGATGACTCCATCGTGAACGCGCTGTTTCGCTACGTTTCCACTTCGTGATTGCACTTTGTCAAACACCGGTTTGTTTTCCAAGGTTATGAACCGAACTTCTGCCCCGCCGCGAAAATCATCGCTTCCAGTGGAGCCAATAAACACTGGCAAAGCATCTAAAGATATCACCAATAATAATTTGTTAAAGAGAATTTTAGGGATGAGTATTATCGTTGAATTAATTTATCATGTTCTACAGGATGGAAAAAAAAAGCAACGTGTCGTAAAAAAGCAAGAGATGACTCTTGAAAAAGTCATGAGGGAGGAGTGGGTTAGCTTGAAAGCAGTCCAGCATGGGATAAGTGCAAGTGTAAATAACTTTATGCGTCACACAATCACCATGTATCACTGATTCCAAAGAACCATCCATGAGACTTATATTTACATTTAAAAGAATGTGTTCTTCCAGAACTAGATTTTGACAAGGTTCTCGTGTCGCTCGCGTCATTAGGCAATTTTTAGGTGATGACGGTGTCATCAGAGTTATATATCGGCAACGTAAATACAATCTTGCAGTGCTATCATTGGTATCCTTTGACCATGAATAAATCATTTGCAAAAGATTCACTATTTACACCACTTTGCTTCCCTTTTTTATTCTTTTTGAAGGGGGTAATCTATTTACTTCGGGAATAAATTTTTGCTAACATTCAGCAATTTGTAACTTTGCATGGCGCCTTGGGGTTAAATTGGCTATTCTGACGTACACACAGCCTACTTGGGGGTATTTCTTTCTATTACTTCTGAAGAACATTAATGCCATAATTTGTCAACTGTTACTGCCGATACTTAATCAATACGTTTGATTTGAGGCTAAACACGGAGTTAAAATAATGGATGGGTTACTTGAAAGACAAATCCGAGCCGGTAGTCGTAATTATGATAGTGATAGCCAGCGTTATTTTGTGCGAGATTGTTTCTGAAATAGAAATTTAGTCATTCAAGCAGCTGGCGTTGAACAATTGTGTTGAATATTATGACGTTCATATCGTCTCCTGATGATATGAGTTTTCGTTGTGATATTTTTGAAATCGGCTTTTCTGCGTGTGGATTTGATGTTCCAGATTAAACCGGTAAACACTTCAAATCCCCAAATTCAAACTTATCGTAATAGAAAAATCATTTCCGTAATAGTGGAGGGCAAATTCTAATTGGCTTTGATTGACTGTCATGTAATCTTTCAGTCAAAGCAAACATGAATATATCAACGGAGAAAGGACAGTCTGAAAAGTTAACATTAACAGCAGTTTAATATTAATTTTGTTGGGTTGGAATGACCCCTCGCAAGAATTGTTTACGTGCTAGGATGAACTTCCTCGGTGCCTATTCTATGTTAAACCATTTAGTGATTTTCACATTCAGACATTTGACATTTTAAGGCAACTCAAAAGAAAAAGAACTCTACAAAAAAAGGAAAAAACCGCTCTTCTCCTTCAGTATTATGTTGAGAAATTAAATGAAATTTTTGTCACAATACCTTGGCTCAAATGATAGAGCTTTACATGATCTTTTGCATTTGTTTGCTCTGTTTGATTCACTTCGAAAGAAAGTCTCAAATTAAAGTTGATAGATAACACATTTAGGAGAAGATAGAGAGAACTTGTCGATCGCGATTTGGAGGTTTATTTCGTGGTTGCCGAACAATACCTTTTCTACGAGGAAGCTTCTGGTATCTCGAGCTCACTGCCATGATGATTCCACCTAATACAACTGAAGACTAAACCAGCACTGAATATAGAAATGTAAAGAAAAATGAAAATGTTCAAAAAGAAACCAAAAAATTATTCAAAGCCATCTGTTTCCGTAAAAGCTGGTAGCCTCGTCAGTTATGGCAGACCTTGGATAATTGGATCATCTCTACCAAATATGGTTGGAAACAGCAAAATCTTTACGGAGCTCTTTCCCTTTCCCAAGTTGTGAAAACATGCCAATACAGTCCTGCGAAAAATGTTACTGATACTGTTATCTACGTTTCTCTTTTAGATTTTTCTAGGGTCCTTTCCGTTTCTTTCCGCAACAACTATATTCCCAGGAGCATGAAGGGGACATAATTGATTTTGTGCACAAAGGGCTTTTTGACCTCAAGGTTTCGAAACCGTAGTCAAGCAAGAAACTCAGTTAACTCACAGCGCAAATATAAAATCAAAGAACAAATGCCGGTGTCAAAGCTTCATGATTACTTATTAGGCTTTACTATTAACCTTTAGCACAGAAGGTAGCGATGTTTCCGTGATGGTCAGAAATCTAAACATGGCAGTCAAAAATAGACCCACCGTTCACATTCCTTCATGTATGAACTGTCAATACTCTTCTACATTTTCGCTGAAGCCGAAACGATGTGGAAAAATATACACCATTTATCGCTCATTTCGATCAAACAGTGAGGAATTAGATGAACAAAAATACGTGTAAGGCGAGAACGTTCTTGTTAAAGGAGTAATGCAGTGCCCTCGACTGTTTTTAATATTATCCAAAATATCTAGCGCGATATGTGTTAAGTATGATGTCAATACGACAGAAATATACAAAGAAACGCAACTTCATCGGCCGAAACTGAAACTAAAAAAGTTCCCGATGAAAAAGAATTCATTCTTGTTCGATCCCACGATTGATGGCTGATTGTTTGGCGCAGCTCGTTTATCATTAACGCAACGAGAAAACAACTCGCCAAGCCTACAATTACATTATTTACCACACTTAAACTATTTGAATATTCAGATTAAATAGTGGCTTGTTGAAGAAAAAAAATAAGGTGACTGAACACGCAAAGGATTAAGACCACAAATAATGAAGTTATTTTACCGTAAGGATCTTCGTCGCTAGACAGCAATGGCTGTGTCAGCTCTTCATCAGCTTGTTTCTGACGGTTAGCCATCTTTCCCGGCTGAACGACGTTGTTTTCTTTCCACTGACAATGGAATCAGCTTTACGAGTTTACAGCATCGGTAGACAACAATACGTTGAGTGTCCTTTTCCAAACACGCCACAAGCTTGGCTAAAACAGTTGTGTGGGTTTTGCGCGGTGAAAAAAGAATCTAGGATGATAGAATGTTAATAACTAATTATTTCGTTTGGTGAGCTGATTTTGACACCCTGTTTAGATATAGTGGGGCTTTCCCTTTATCATTCTCAGAAACGAGGCTACAAACTTCCTGTTTACTCATGGACATGCGCCCTAAAAAAAAGCATGATCTTAAAGATTGGAAAGCGAAAACCTGTGTGTATTTCCAGAGCGAAGAAACAATGTTTTATTTCATGTAAATCTGTTGCCTCTTTGAATTTAAATAGTCGTCAATAGGCAAAGAGCAAAATTCGTGGTTAAGTCCAATACTGACTTTGTCACGTAATTCTTTTGTTGCGTGACACTATAAAAGTCTAAGTAGCTGAGATTACATCGTAACATTGATAATATAGAAATTCTAACCGGAAATAAAAAGCATTGTTAAACTCAATATTCTGCAAGAAGGCTCCCTATGGCGTTGCTGCATTTGGCATCTCGCGGGCTTCTTGCTAGATCAACGAGAGTCGAGCCGGATTCTTCGCAAGCCTCCCGCTTGCTCGACACTCAAGCCTGCGAGATAATCGAACAGCAGCATCGACAAGAGCGCTCTCGCGAGCTATTACAATAGAAGCAAAGGCCACTTCGATTTGTACTTTACAAAACTCCATGTGAACCATCATCAAACGTCCTTGGGAGTGGGGGGAGGGAGGGGGTGGATTTAAAAATTTTAGTAGGCAGGGGTACGTCGCCAGATTCTCAAAATCCTTGATCCTCTACCTGTTTTCAAACGAAGCTTTTTTTTTTAAATTCATTGCCATCTTCAAGCCTGGTAACATTTACTTTGTTTTGTTATGGATGTCCTTTCGTAACAGTGCTAAAGGCAAGGACTGATCAAACTCGCCTGAAAACATAGTCAAAATTTCTTAAACTTTGGTTCCTTCTATTACTTTATGACATACGTTAAAATTAAATTGAAAAGAACGTTACGTCCATACACTGTGTGCTCATATCTAATCTAAATCTTGATCGTTTTCGTATCAAACCGGCTCCATATTCACGCCTACAGGGCGAAACATGCCTACAAAGTTTTTATTGGGGAGCGCTTCCCTCTCTCGGAGACACAAAAGTATCCAAATTCGTACACTGTTTCCATTTTACCTAAGACGAATTACTGTTGTCATAGAGAAACTGAAAAAAGCTTTTAGCAAAGAGATTATGGTTAGAATACCAATAGAAAATATTAATTTATCTTTATTATTCAACGATATTAAACATGTAAGTTGTGGCCAAATGAATAAAAACCTGCGGCGCATCTCTTGGTTTTTTAGGGCAATACTTTTGTTCTCCTTTTTAAGAACAGCTCTGTCTAGTAATGATTTTAGTGAAAGGTATCTTTGAATTTTGCATTGAAAGAGGGTGATTAGACAATAACTGAAAAAAAAATAAAAAAATAGCGATATTTATACTAAAGCCGTATAAAGTGAAACTAAAAGTGCATTTGAGAAGGTTTAAGACTTGATTAAGACAATAGCTAAATGAACCGTTGACGTCGCTGATTGTGCTGTTTCCGTCTCATACTTGGCTTTGCACTAAACCAATCAGTGCCAAACATTTTTATTTATTTGTCTATGGCTCGTACCAACTTTACGAAAGTTTCGTGGGTAAGCAAATTCGTCTTTGCGCTGCGAAAACAAAACAAAACAACATAAACAAGGGAAAGCTGGTGGAGACTTGGTTAATGGCCTGAAACGGGAAATTAATTTCAGAGACTATGAGTTCGCTACGAGAAAGACTGCTCCCTCAGCATCCAAACAACGGTAAGGGGTTAATAACTGACACATTCCAATTTTATCTTTCGTTAAGTTTAAAAAAAATCAATTTGTCTAGCTTTAGCGATGTTGCTTTTTAAATGAGAACTTTTTTCAAGCCGATACAACGGAAATTGTAGTAGTATCGATGTTATTTCCTTTTTCATCAGTGAACTAGCCTACTGTTACCTCTAGATCAGTATCCAGTGATGGCAAATCATCAAAATAGAGGTTTTTGGTTCGTGAATTACGCTTAGTTTGACCTTTTAACGCCTTGGCAAATAAAGAGAACAAAATTTTTGACTAGAGATGAGACGCTGTAGTTACGAACCACACGAGATAAAAGATCATTAATTCGACAGAGCTTTACACTCGTTATTTGGGCTCACTTCTATTTAAGGGCAAATCTAAATACTTAACAACCACTTTTTAATGAGAGTAAAGCTGATTCTTTTCTAGGAAAGGGACTTGTCGACTTTTCCTGCTTTTGATTGTAATAAGACACGCTTAGTTAGAATTATGACTTGAAGACACCTGCTTAGGGAGTTTCGAAACCTCAAATCAAATATTCACCTTTCAAAGAAGAAAATTTGGGAAGCATTTCCTGTAAGACCTTTTCACTTCCTTTAATAATATTTCAGCCTTCAGTTGTAGCACACAAAAAATTAGAACAAGACTTTGAATTCATTATTGACCATATTTGTCGTGTCAGTAATCTGTATTCAAACTGGTTCATTATTTAGAATTACTCCTTCAGCAGTTAGATGATAATATTCGTTACATTCGTTTTGAGAAGAATGAACAACTGAAAGACAGCTTACATCAGTTAAAAATTAAAGCTTAATTTAAAATAGCTCAAGTACTTGATTTTTCACTCAATTGAAATAATGGCTTGTCTTTAAACCTTCCAAACGTCATCGTATATTTGTTTACAGAACCTCAATTTTCCGGCTCAATGCATCGTCAGGGTGACTCATTCTTGGGGAATAATGATGAGGTTTCTGTTCAGCAACAAACCAACTATCTGCGAAACTTAGCTGAAAACATCCATACTGAAGGTAATGGACAGAACGTGCCACTCAGCATATCTCCAGTTCAAGTGAGCAGTATCCTCGCTGAAATAACACAGGGGCAAGAGTTTCCTTGTCATTCACCTACCCTTGATTATTCTTCCGGCTTCTTTGAAAGCTCTGGTAGTACGGATGTACGGTCGTCATCTTCAGCGTTGAGTATCGGAAACACTTCGGGTAGTTCCGCTATGACATCGAGCGTCCCGAGAATCTTCGGGACGGGCAGCCAACAGGACAGGCCTCCGTTTCCTTATAGTCAAAACGCTGGCCAAATAATATCCTCGCCGAATTTTCTGACTAGTGACGGTGGTGGAACTTCTCCCTTTGGCTTTGCACAAAGTGATCGAATTAGAGGCTATCCTCGACAAGATGTGTCGAGTGACTTGGCTGGAATCACGCCGTTTAATTCCGGCTCCAAGATCGATATTGATCAATATTTGCGTCCAGATCTGGAAGTAAAGTTTTGTGATCTGGAAGATCGTGTATTTGAGAAACAACAGAGCCGTAAAGACAAGAAAGCACGCCAGAGAATCATTAATGGAAAGGTGAAGTTTCTAGTACGATCTGAGCGTCCGATTAAAAAGGTGAAGGCCTGGGTAAGAAGAGAGGAAAATGCTGCAAAGTTAGAAAAGGATGCTAATGGTATGGTTGAGATTGAAACTGACTTTCTGAGGAAAGTTAAGGAAAGCGGTCATATATATGTAAGTGAAACTGTGTAAATTTTTTGCTTTTCGTCATTTTATCGAAAAAAACTAATTGACCCAGCTTTTATCAGCATTTGTGTCGCTCAACATCAAAGTCGATATCCTACAGTCACTGTTTATCATGAAATATCTGAGATACTACGCACACTCTGATTGGTCAAAGCCCCATGGTGGGGTAAACCCAAATTTACCTATAGAAACAGTATCGGTCAGCCTTCCTTCGAATTAACTGGGATCTTTGATGAACACTAGAAAAGTTTGTTAGGCACGCTTTGCCCATGTCTTGAGGTTTGCAAACTTTTAACGTGTTCCAACATTCTGCGTGAGTTGAATGTCAGTAAATCAGATGCAAAGAGTGAGAAATGCACCTAGCAATCCACGTGAATGGAGATGATGAAGGTGATTATAATGACAGAGTTTTCAAAAATCAAGAAAACCTTATTCCAAGAGGTATTCGGAGAATCAATGCTTAGATAACTGTGCTGTTTAAAGAATACCATAATAACGTGTTAGAAACACTTTTTCTATCCGAGTTTCTCCTCTTCGATCCAGTTACCTGTTTTATTTTATCAACAACTTAAACGAAGTGTATGTTATTTGTCCCATCATCCCGTGATTTTCAGCAGGAATATCAGGTAGATCTGGACTCAGTTTACAAGATGGAGGGTTCTGAAAGACCAGTCTACAAATTAGCAAAAGTTCACACACAGGAGAGGAACCTGTTTGAACTGTTGGTCCAAGTTGTCTTTGGTGACAGCGAAGCCAGTGAGCAAATCAAGTCCAAGCCTTTCTTGATAAAGACTAAGAGATTGAATGATGAGCTGCCAGGTATGTCAATTATGAATCATGTGCGACCTCAGTTCTCATAGAAGAATTTTTTTAATAATGGGAAAGGAGACCCAGTGGGTTTCTGTATTAAAAATACATTTTCTAAAAGTTGCGGCAGGACTGATCCATTCATATCGCTGCTTTTATGAAGATTCATCACGTTAGCATCGTATCATTCAAGAGCACCTCGGTAGCCTGGAATATTCGATGTCAAATATATTCGAGGCACCGTTTCCCCAGAGCTCCTTTGTTAATCAACTACAACATTCATTACCTCACAGAACCTGATCCTCATTCCAAACGCATGAGGCCAAGCACTTGTCCAACCAGCTCATCAAGATGGAACCGAGGAAAACAATCTGCAAAATACATCCCTTTGCGAAATGAGGCAGATTCAACAGGTTAGCATTACGTTATAAGGGCCTCCAGGGGAAGACTCTTATAAATTGTAGAGGAATGAAGGGGGTGTGCCAGGCCTTTTGAGACTCAAAAAAAATTTCTTTCCTCGCTATAATTTAGACCTAAAAACGATCAAAAAGTAGCGTCTTCTAGAAAAGAAGAGGCATTTCAAACTCTGTTCCAGAGTGTTAAAAGCCACACCCATTTTCAGACCTCTATGATCAAATCTAACTTGTGACCACTAGGCTAAAAAAAAACACAGAAGCAGTCTTTGTGAACATTCAACATAGTCACGTAGCTTATTTAAGAGACTTTTTCTTAGGTATAAAGGTAAAACGCCGCATGCTTTATCATATGTAAATTTCCTAAGTTATCCAAGCCTCAAATTGATTTGTGTTTCTTTTCGTCTTAGATGTAACGTCTCCATTATCGCTGAGTTCTGCGGCCTCCAGGAACTCTCCTTCAAGTTCGGAAGGTAATTTTTATAATTTTTTTTTATGATCAAATGACACCCAAGGGTAGCTAGGGATAAAAATTGCTAACATCGATATCCTCTTCTTTATCAAGGTGAAACCAACCATGTGGATGATCTTGTGGTGAATCATTTGAAAGCCCAACAAGCAAACATTGACAACCTGACAGTCACCTTTCTGTTGCAAACACGAAGAGGCGATATCGCGTACCATTTACGACTAACCAAACCGAGCTTGTACCAGACCCTAGACGAAGGGGTAGTGGTGGGTTTTTTCCCCAACGATGAGGGAATGGCTCAGATTGAACCGCTGAGCAGTGAGAATGCGACGCGAGCGGTAATGGCCGGGGTGATCAGCAGGTCAGCATACGTAGAAGCACATGCTCCGACGGAAAAAGAAATAGGTTAGTACTTTAATTCATGATCGGATATTATTTCAGAAGTTGATTGAGGAATATGCTTTCACTTAGAAACCAGTCAATATTTTGCCGGAGGAGGGGGGAGGGGGTCGAAGGATTTTCTTTTCTTTGGGAGGGGGCATGGTTATCAGGGAGAACGGGGGGCAAACCGGGCGATCAGTTGTCGTCAACAGAGAATGAGGGGGAGGCTGTAGAAAATTGACTACCAATTAATTGCCAATGACGGGGGAAGGGGGCGGGGTGGGGATCATCACAGTATAACAGAGCCTTATGAGGGGAACAGGTAAATCGTATCATGACACGAAGAAAATCATCCGACCCCCGAGGCGATGAGTAATGAGCATTTCTTTGGGCGCGTGGTATTTTAAAGCCAGAGACTAATACCTGAAATGACAGTTCTGAAAAGAAACATTCAGTAAAATAAGACCTAAAGCATTCGTACAAACATTCAGAGTCCAAATTAAGTGGTGGGATAGAGAGCTGATGTGGAAAAATCACATTCAACAAACCTTGGGCCCCTAACATTTGCAATAGTGAAGCCAATGCCGCCATATCGCCTACCGACGTTTAAGCTATAAGAAGTCTATTTACATTCTTTGTCATTACCATTAACAGTTTTTCTCCACCAGAAAGCATTTACATTTTATTTGATGCTTGAATGACTCCTGAGCCTATTTTTGCTTTACGAAATCGATAAACTTCCATTTACTTGCAGGAGAAACAGATATTATATGTGTCATTGGAATGGTAAAGGTACTGATTGTTGGGTCTGCGCAAACTGGTGAACGCATCTATGCTTCCACAGACAACCCAGGAACAGGGATCGCTGAGTCCCATTTGCCCCTGGGGGCTCACATCTTTAGGGATCACACCCTTCTGGGCATGGCTATGGAGCCATGCAAGCCTCGCTACCACGATGAAGCAAACCTGGTCAAGTGTTTTGTGTGTATTGTGCTGGGAATCAACAGTCAGCAGCTGTCCAGCGAGGTAGAGAACATCATGGAAAATGTCGACATGGACATCAAAGCGGCCATTGGAAAGTCTAACAAGAGAAACTGCCGACGTAAGTATTGTTTTATTTTTAGTACAAAGCATCATTCACAAACAAACATTAGCAAACGCCTTGTTCGAAAATATTAGATTATTCTAGATTCCAAAGAAATTTTTGTTCAAGTAGTTTCTCTTTCTAATCTTAAACAAGGTTTAGGGCACTAGAAAATCTGTGAAAATCTCGTTATGCTTTTCAAGGGTTGTTCTTTTTCATCGCTGGCTTCATCATTTTCCTTGGACTCCTGGGATTTTTACTGTACGAAGTACTCACTCCGGGAACTCGCTTCCGCTACTTCCTGTGTCAGACTGGGTCTAATCGTAAGCAACCAAACCTGGAGTGTACTTATGAAGATGCCTATGTGGTACGTTAATTATTTTGATATATCTTCCAGCTAGATGGAGAAATATTATTGATGATTGAGGGTCGAAAGAGGCAATCGATAAAAGGGAATTTTTGAAGGAAGTTTCAAAACTTGACCCAGCTCTTTCCGTATTGCTTAATTGTTGTGCCAGTCACACCGTTACGTACGTGATAGCTTTAGTACATACTGAGATTGAGACTCTTTAGAATTGACTTAGACTAAACGATTACACTGGATTTTCTTGTAAGCTTTCGGATCTGAAACAAAAATTTTACACTTATCCTGGGTCACCTGGAATAATTGCGTATCTTCTCCTTTTGTCCATAGAAAATTCAAGACGTTTACATACCTTTTGACCTTGATAACCTCAAGACGAAAATACCATATGGCGAGAGAAAGCCTGAGAAACTTAATCCGAATATTACAAGTAAGTTTGTATTACGAAATAACAGTTTATTGTCGTGGGAAAGGGGGTTGAGAATAAAAGCCTTCGAGTGGACAGTTTTATGTTTGATTTAAATTTCTTACTAGAGGTCTCCAGAATGTGAGAAATGTCATCATACGTTCCTTAAAATCGATTCACAAAAAATATTGATATTTGATTCTTGATATTTTGATGATACATAACATAAATGTTACCAGCATTGTGCAGTTTCCGAGGTGATTTCTTTTGTGTTGCTCTTAGATCTCGCAGGGCCACCAATCTATTTTCTGAACTTCGACCGCTGTGCGTATGGCGGGCGCCATGACAGTAGCATGTACACACCGGAACATGCCAAACCGGTTTGTGGACCTCCGTACCTGGCATCGTCCGGCAACTGCTCAGAAGTGTTTACATTCAGTTGGGGAGTGTGGAAAGTTATGAGAAAAACGAGGAGAAACGGCACTGACAATGATAGATCTATTATCAAGTGCTCGTGTAATGGAAGCAGAATTGTAGTCATCCAGTGGATTGTCCTTCTTTCGCTATCCTTCAGCGCTTGTTCTCTAGTCGCGAACTTTTGAAGAGTTGAGGCATTTCTTTTAGTTTCGTGAACGAATTTCGAGCCAAAATTTCTCTTCCCCTCTGCTAATGACAATTGTTTTTTGTTCTCACGCCCAACGCACGTGATCTGAGTAATTTTAAAATCATGTGTAGTCTGTGAAAGTTGAGATAACGTGAGGTCTTGAATTTGGGGTTGAAGTGGAAGGGTAATTTTCGATTGAATTTCGAAAGTAAGCCGCATAACTTTGGTTTTGATTTACTTCGCTTTAGTGATTGGCATAGGAAACTCGCGCCATGCTCAAAAAAAATCAGACGTTAAACAAAATTCAGTTGCGACTTTGTCGCTCGCGTTTTCCCGAACTTTTGTTTTTTTGCCTCTCTTTACTTGAGTTTTCACTGACTATTTATGATGCAAACCCTTGTTAAGATTATCCGTTGCGATTACTATGGTTTTAGTTTTTGGACAGTCAGTTGAAAACTGATTAGTAAAGGTGAACTTGTTTTAGAGTCCTCTGATTTCATAAATTTTTCGCTTGCTTTTGTTAGGAGGTTAGGACTTTTTGAAGGCTTCATTTAAAGTCGATGTTATATTTAACTTGAAACAGTTATAACAACTTTATTTAGGGAGACTGGACTGTAGCCTCTTTATCGGAAAAGGTTTTGAGCATTACGAGTTCAAGAGACCTCTTTTCTGATTATAATATCGCCGGTTTGACTAACACAGTTTACAAGATAAAAAATCCAGTGTTTCAAACAAAGCAACAATTTCCAGCGACTTAGATAAATGGGATGTAGAAGTAAACATTCCCAAGGCGGCCTTCTTGAACAGGTCAAATTAAAATTTATAATGTTGGTTTTCTGATACTTTCTAGTATAAAGATTCAAATAACATACAAATACAACAGGTTACCATAAAGAGTTGAATTGCTGACTGTGGCTGACATAACAGCTGTAGTAAGACGCAATGACCGCTAAAATTGCGCAATAATAACGAATTTGCCTATCGGAGGCGCGGTTCTTTGATCACGTTGTTTAGGAAATTTCTTCCTTGTATGTTTGAAGCAATTGTTTCTGTTCGTTTTTATTTTTTTTTTCCGAGGTAGTTAGGTAGATTTCCCATATATTGAAATGTGAGCAGTTTTATAGAGTCAACTTTCTCCATTACAAAGTTTCTATTCTTGTAAATTAAAATGAACGCAACTTGTATTTCTTATTGAGCTCGGAAAATGTCAGTATTGCCAATGAGAAGGGTGAGGTTATTTTAACTATATCACCTGCTTATTCGTAACTTCTATAGGTGAATTGTCACTAATCCTAGCCATAAACAACGATTATTGTAGCTGAAATAAAAAAAGAAAAAATGAAAAAGTGATCGACTGTTACTTTCCGCTTCACAGAGCCTGAGACGACTCAGAAAAAAAACGGATATCTTTTGACTTACTGTTTTCTTCCCTGAAAGGTGTTCATTTTCCCTTCTGTTTAACCCTTTATTTCCTAACATCAATATTTACATTCTCCTTACTGTCCTTTATACATTTCCGATGGTACAAATCAGGAGAATTTGTTTAACATGCGATCGCAAGCTTCTTTAGTAAGCGTTCATTAATTTTTCTTTTATCTCGTGACCTGAGACTCGGCAGTGATATTGTGAGGAGAAATGAGAAGCTCGGTTACTCTTGGGGGTTAAAAGTTTCAAATTTCAATGATTACTAAGGAACCTGTATTAATTTATTTCTTTTTGCCTGCTATAATTCGGATAATTTGGTTCCCATTTGATATTTTTCTTGCCCCGCTAGTAACCTATACCTCTCTACTTGATCGTGTTTATTGTAAGGTAGCCTACAAGATCTGGCAGATGTGGCGTGTTAGCGTTTTTCAGGCGAGCAGGTAAGCGTGAGGCGAGTGCGAGAGACGCTTCATGCGTTAAAGGAAGAGAACGGAAAATTGATTTGAAAAGCACAAATGAGGTCTGCTCTGCGGGGTAATCGTAAGGATGTTATGACTTTTCGATAAATAGATTGGATTATGAATTAATTAATATCGCGAACAAAGCTTTGGAGAGATCAAAACGCCTTTATTTCGTCCTCTCCCTTCTACCACTATTATATTTTCTAACATTCGCTTACTCAAGAAGAAGAGCAACACGATCGAATCGGCGAAAATTGGTGAAAATAACGAGGTTTGAACTGAGTTTTTGTCCTGATAGTTACACTTGGCGTAGTTACACACGTATTCTACAAAGGAGTCAATTGAACCGCAGTGCACAAATTTTGCGGGCGTGTATTTGCGCTTTGTTCTTAATAGGAAACAGTACGAACTGATGTCGAGTACTTTATACTATTTATTTGCGAAAAAGTGTACATTTGCAAGATATATCCCCTCTTCCTAAAGAATCTGTTACATCGAAATGTCATCAGTGATTTCGTTCCTGTCGTGGACGGCCACTATCGCAACAGTTGGATTTTTCATCTCAGGCGTGTGAGTAAATTATGTGCGACTCTGCCCTTAAACTTCTTATTGTAATATTCCTCATGAACTTTCTTTTCCCAAGCTAAAGGGATGGGAAACAATACGTCTGTAGAACTACATAAATTTTACCTAACTGAGACTAAAATTATCTATGGTGGTGCAACGATTTTGTTCAAATAAGAGGCAAGATTTCCGTATGACCCCAATACGTTAACATTTACGTATGCATACAGCTCATGGATGAAAGAAAACACAGGCAAAGTAATAGATTCCTTAAAAGACAATGTTTTTGTCTTGGAAAAGTATGATGTTATATGGAAATCTTCCCGAAATGTGAGCACACGCATACACTGAAGTGAAGAGAAAGGATTCAGAACACGTAGCTCGATAACTTCTAATCATTAATTGCCAGCAAAAGTAAATCTTTGGTATAAATATTGGTATATGAGGCAAGGATTTCCATTTCTTGTCAACTTTATGTTCCTTTATGTTCCACAAACTTTTCATATCTGATTGTACACTTCAAGATGAAACTTTTCCTGACATTAGACTCTAGTTGTTGCTTGGGGGGGCTTGTATTTTTAGTTCTTTGATTGGGTAATTGATTTTTTAATGGCACTGTTGCTGAGAGAACAATTTTCTTGTCCTGATATTCAATTGATTGGGTGGCAATCATTTGCATAATTTGATAAATGTGATTACTTTATAAATATGTAGTAGGCCAGCCTAGTGAGAACATCAGTGAAGGGATAAACTTAGGTTAGTTTCTGGAGAAACTATAGGGGGTATTATGGGAAAATTTGGTTTCAACAACTGAGTTGATGATGTGAATTAGCCACTGAGAAGAATTTCCCGAGCCCTTCATCAACTCATTTGATAACACCAATCTATCTTGGTTGAGAACATAGCATTAAACTAATGCTACGATACAACTTCAATTCATGTTTTTAAATCATGTTTGTAGTTTTAACTGTATAATAAAGTTTTATTTTTACCAGCCTTTAATACAGAAATAAAAAGTGTACAGCCATAATTCATGTCATTTTGGCCTTTTGGACAGGTTGACATGTCAGAAAATAGTCCAGAATGGAAGCACTGATAATGTGCCTCTCCTGCCATTTGTCACAACATTTCTTAAGTAAGTAATTTCTGCTTTGTGGTCAGTAATGAGCAATTTACTCGATATGCTGGTTTTGCTTAAAAGCCTGTCCAGATAAGTAGACCTTGTGGCATAAATTTTGCCTCCCTTGTTCATCAGAAATTTCAGTCAGCTTGTTACCAAAGATAAGATTTAAGTCTGTTTGCTGTAAACAGGGTGTGAAATTAATTTTTTTTTCTGATAGTCACTTGGCTCCTAAATTCTTCAAAGTGGTAGCCAATTCAAAAAAAGTTGGTCGCCATTTTCAAAGACAAACAAAAGCTTTTTTTTATGCTGTCATCGTTCTAGAAATTAAGTTAGAAAAAGATCTTTAACTTGCTACAAAGTGGACACTAGGATGGATGATATGCAATGTTCAAGCTCACCTAAATCCAAGATGGCGTCTAGTTATCGATCGAGATGCATGTGCTGCATTTTGGAAACAAACCTAATGTGGAAATTTGCTGCGGATTTATCTTTGCAAATCTTTTTAATTCACTATATCTCTAGGTAAGGTCATGATGAAACATTCTAGTTGCCAATTTGGCAACTAACTTTCAGGATTTGGTCGCCAAAGTGAAAAATTTAGTTGCATTGGCACCTGTATTAGGTGCAATTTCACGCCCTGTGTGAAGTAGAGGAAGCCTTTCAAAGTTTCATCCTTGGAACTTAATTGAGAGTGGAAAATTTCCATAGCTCAGTTACAAAGATATTGTCAACAATTTAGTTCATTCTGGATACAGTAGAATGTACATTATTTAACCTTTTAACTCCCAAGATCTCATTATTAATTCTCCTTACCATTTGCTAAATGATTCTCATTGTGTTAGTTTGGAGAATTTGGCATCGGATCAATTGGTAATCTCATAATTGATATTTTTCTCTATTCTCATCACTTGTCTGCATGATACTGTAGAGTTATAGTAAGGAGAAATTCTGTCTTGGTCACTCACGGGAGTTAAAAGGTTAATTTTACAATGTATTGTAAAATGTTTGCTTAGCCAAGATGTATTGCTATTTCCTTTGTGTACAGCTGTATGATGTGGGCAAGCTATGGTATTCTTAAGAATGATTCTGCACTAATTCCAGTCAATTTAAGTGGAATGATGTTACAAGTACTTTACATTTTGTGTTTCCTTTACTACTGTAAACAGAAGGTAAGGTCATTGATAATAAATCCACACACACCAATCTAAGTGAGGTCTCAAGTAGAGTTTGTATTTCTTCTTCATAGATCATTTGCTTGTTTTTTTATTTGTTTGACTGTCTTAATCCTATCAATTAGATAGATACAAACTATAATATGTGCTGATATTTTGTGAGTTGCATTGTATTTTCCAACCTGCATAAGGACAAGGAAAAAATATGAGCAATTAGTTAACCATTTGCTTGTATGATATGTTAAACCATTTAAATGTAAAAACAGAAGTTGGGATCTTTTAGTGTGGTCTTTTAATTGTTCTGTTTTCTGTTGGTTTTTTTTGCCCTGTTCTAAAGAGTAGTATTAAGTAGCATTAATTTTGCTTGAATGTTCCAATGCCCTAGTATCAAATGATAAAATGGCATATACAGGACTTAAAAAGCAGGATAAATTTACATTAAGTAATACTTTAAACGAATTATTTTGGGCTTACCATTTTATAGATGGACCCTTGCTGCAGACCGAAAAAGTTTTTAAGGAAAGGGGGTACTGTAAACTGTTCATCACTCAGTATACCAAATCTTATGGAGTTCTCTTCTACCTAAGGGAAAAGAACTCAAGATCATTTTATATGCTGCACTTGTATCACTGGCATTATACTTTTACATAATGCAATATATTACAGAGGAAACCCAGCGGGTTGCACATCTTGGATTTGCATGCATCATCTTTACTGTTACAATGCAAGCCTCACCATTAGCAGCAGTGGTAAGCAAAATGTACTTGATTATCATGTTTTAATATGTGTCTCAGCCAGAGTTCCCAGTAACCATGAGATGTTATTTGTAGAAGTCTGCTGGAACAAGTTCAGCTTTCAAGCTGATCAAAATGTCTTATAAAATGAACTCACATTACATTAAATAAACAGCAAGCACCAAAATGTACAAAATTTTGTAATAAGAATAAGCAATTTTGGTATTTGATTTTCCCTGCCATGGGCCAATTGGGATTGTATGGGCATTGACTACCTGTAGGAGTTTGTCAAGGGTCAAGGGTAAATGGTCGGGGGTCAAAAAGTTATTTTAAATTATCAGGAAAATTATTTATGAATGTCTCACAACTCATTCAAATCAAATTTCACTGACTCATGCTTTCATGACTTTCTAGTACATGCTTTTGCCATGTTTTTGCCATATTTGTGTCTGTGACTGTAACCCATGTTGTCTTAAACTTTTTCATTACCATCATCTGTCTGTTATACTGATCACTGCTTTCTTCTTTTGTGGATTTCTTTGGACATAGTTTTTCCATTCAAACTCAAATTACAGCAGAAAAAAATGTAAACACTAAGGATGCTGTTTTGTCAACAGCTGGTGACACATGTATGATTTGTATGAAAGTATTGTTTTATATCTCAATTAAACTATGAAATGATGATATTCAAGTGATGCAGCTTGTCACCCATGCTGTGCATTTGGAGAAATCAAATGTTTTAGAGAAAGAAATCTTGATTGCAAAATTCTTTGAAAAAAAGAAAATTAAAAGGAAATTAGAATAAATACTATTTAATATATTCACTGCAATGGTTATCCCATTTCTCCTGCAGGCTAAAGTTGTAAGGACCAAAAGTACAGAGTCCATGCAATTTATATTCTCATTTATGATGGTTCTGGTGTCTTTTCTTTGGCTCTGTTATGGGATTGCTGTGGACGACATCAACATTAAGGTGCAAATGAAGTCTTAATTTTATATTTGTATGAGTTATTGGGATCGACATCAGTATCTGAACAACTGCACACCTACCCCTCCCCTAACCCAACATTAACCTTAATGTGATATTGGTTGACTGTGGTTTGGTTAGGGGAGGGGTAGGTGTGCAGTTGCTCAGATACTGACATTGATCCATTTATTGTAATTGGTGTTGTTATTATGCTAAAAAAAAGCACGATATGACCACTGGATTATTTGCTGTAAATCCCCCTGGATGGGTTACCCAGGGGTCTTTCATGTGTGAACCTCACCACCACCCTTCCCTCTCCCAGTATTTAAATAATCAGGTTTCCACAATGTAGCACTTCATGTTAATCAGCTTTTAAATTGAAATAACAAAGTTTGGCATGGTGACAGAGAAGATGAAGGGTGAAGACAATATTGTACAAAAGTTTTTGATGCAGCTCATTGTTTTCTGCCTGACTTAACAGGCCTTCAAGCTGGTTCACAAGTGTACATTATAAATTTGTTTATTTTTTTTTATTTTTCTTCTTGGTTGGCAGGTCCCAAATGCAAGTGGAGTAATATTGGGTCTCATTCAATTGAGTTTGTTCTGTATTTATCCTTCCAAACCTCCTAGACAGCAGTGACTTTGTAATAATTTATTTATGTTTGTGAAACTGTTGCCTGAAGTCGTCAATTCTTGTCTTTCAAGTCTTGACGTAAAATAGGTCATTTTTTAAGCGTGATGTTTCAGCAGGGAGTCCAAATACTGAGGGTCAGTCGGTGGGAATTCTATATGACATCGTGTTATTTCGCGATATTTCGCGTTTCAACTCCGTTGATTAACAAAAATAAAGTACGATGTATTCTGCCATTCGTTTTGGTAAAAATACACAATCATCAGTGGTTTTTTGGCAGTTTCCCAAGTGTCTCAAACTTAATTTACGAATGAACGACTGTTTTATTTATGATGTCTGGTCAAAGCACGCCTGTGTACTAAGGCCTAGTTCAAACGTCGATCTTTACATGCACCGAACCTAACGTTTCTATTAAGTACATGTAAAGATCGACGTTTGAATCAATTAGGATCGGTAGATTTGTATTCGGATCGACAGTGCCGTTCTATCCGACTCGGCTAGTCGGATAGAACGGTAAAAGATCGGCATTGATTCATACGTCGTACTTTACATGTACCGAACTTAATGCATACATTATACATACGTTAAAATAATTATGTTTTACCCACAATTCAAGAAAGTTCGCTTACGTGCCATGCGCGAAAGCCTGCGAACCATTCAAACAATATGGCGGGAAAGGAGGAAGGCTAGTGCTCCTCTTGTTTTATAACCACAAAATATACCTGTCTTACGTGTAAGACACGAACGAACTGGACGAGGAACTGTGATGTTCCTTTGGGAAATAAGCAATAATAGAAGGCAAGCCAAATTCAAAACTCGTCTTCTCCTGGCAGCAAGGTTGTTTAATGCTAACTGCATCTTGAGTCGCCTTTTTCTACCCTCCTTAATCGCATTTGCAAGAAAAACAAGCTCTTCATTTCCACAAGTTGTGCTTTCCGCATTTTTTTCCGCCATTTTGGTAGGCATTAACCGCTGACTACAATGGAGTTATGTTCAGTTTTGCAATTAGGATCGACTAAATTCGGATCGACGTTTGAATCAACTGCCGCTCTTAATTATTCGAGTCGACCCAAATTGCAATTAGGTTCGGTACATGTAAAGATCGACGTTTGAACTAGGCCTAAGACTAATTGTTGACCCTGTCGTTTACACAAAACGTTATTGCTTTCTGAGTATTTTGATAACATTGACTTCGAGAAGGCATTTGACACACTGAATTTTGATTTTTCAATAAGACCTTGGCATTAATTAAACTTTGTTCCTTCTTTCATACATAACATTCGAGCGCTGTTACTAAAGTATAAAAATGTATCATGTGAAGTTATGAATGATGGATTTGCTACTGCCGGGGTGCTTTTCTCTAGAAAGAAGCGTCAGACACGGTGACCGCTTTTCTCTGTATTTATTTATTACTGTTGTCGACATTTTGGCTGTAAAAAGGAAATGGAGAATGTAGGTAGTAGTATTCAGGCTTTTAAAATCGAGCACGAAACACTCAAACTATTTTCATTTACGGATGACATTTTCTAAAAGATAAATCTTCCTACACTAGTTTTAAAGCTAATCACGAGAAAAGAAAAAAAAAATTTTCGGAAACGGTACTTTATAGATTGTAGATATTCCAAAACACAATACTTGCGTCACCATTAAAAGTTTGGGGGTGTAGTTTTAGCTATGATAACAAAGGGAAGCCTTTATATTTAGACGAACGTAAAAGGATATTAAAAGATAAATACAAGGAAATGGGTCGGACTTTCATTAGTAGGAAGAATAGTTAAAACATTTACTATCCCTTAATTATGTTCTAAAGAGCAACACGAATGAAACATAGCCTAGTTTGAATTACAATCGTATGTAGATAAGCCTCTCTTACTCTGAGTCAGATTCGACTGTCACACAAGGAGTAAAGGGGATATGTTTCTTAAGAAACTGTAATGCTGCGTCGCTGGGTAAGTTTAACAAGGTAATTTGATATCAACTGAGTTCATAGCGTAAATTGGCCAATGTGAAGAGTTTCAAAGCTGAATTTTCGAGTGTTAGCTCTTCGTCCTAGCGAATTGAGGAATTGTAGGTTTTGTGTGTGTGTTTATATGCAGAAAATGGAGCTATCCTATTGGTGGGAGTATGGTAAAAAGAAAAACAAGAAAAACAAGAATAAATTAGTTGTATGAAAAGTTTTTGTTGATACCGTAGGGATTAAAAGTGCCGATTTAAAAGCCAAATTGTGGTCTAGAGTTTTGCGGCTTTCTTAACTACCTGGATGTAGGGAAAGGTCGCAAACTGCAGTATGCTGCTCAGAATGATTAGGAAAGTTGAAGTGTCAAGCGACTGGTTTGGATGCGTCCTTGTCATTATCTCTAAGTCGCGAAAGTATTCTCGGAGTCAGTCTCCTAGATGTCCTCCTGTTTCATCGTGCGCAAAGGGATAACTACTTTTTCCATTTCGTTGTAATTTTGGCTCATGCTGGTTCTCGTAAGGTAACTTTCATGTTCGAGGGTTTCTCAACCCTTCTCCCGAGATCTCGTTGGTAATTCTCCTCACTGTCTGCGTTACAATTCTTATGATGTTAGTTCGGAGAATTTAGTATTTGATAAACGTATAAACCTCTAACAGGTAGTTTTCTTTATTCTCATCACTTTTCTGCTTAATATTGTATTAATACTGAAATGAGAAATTTTGTCTTGATCACACATGTACGTGTAGCCTCCGCTTGGTAATTTAGTTCATTCCTTGTGAAGATTGTTTGGTCTCCGTAGTTTCTGTCTGGATCTATTCTGACAATCAGCTTTGATTCATGTATAGATAGTTCCCTGTCATAGAACTAGCGCTTTTACGAATTTCTTTGTGCGCGTGAACAAAGTAAAGTGAGCTTTCAAATTATACATTACATGGAAAAAATTCGGAATCCTTGTGAATCCATGAAAAAGCATAACTGGTCCAACAAAGTATCCAACTATTGCTTCTGAAAGTAAGCGCTCTTTTCTGTCAATATAGTAGGTGGTTTTTATACCCAATTCGTCCTTTAGATTTAAGTGAAGTGCCGTAGGGCCCTCAATCTATTTTTGTTATTGTGATCTTCCATTTTTTACAAATATCCCACGCATGAGAATCCTCGTGTTTTAGCTAGTAGAATTTTCTTCAAGCCTCAATTGAGCCTTCTGTACTTCCGGTAGCTAGTTCTTTTCGGCTTTGTAATTTTATGCGTTTGTTATTTTTTCGTGAAATCCTTTAAATTCTATTCGAGTAAGTATATTTTTCCTCCTTTTATAATAGTGCCGACATTAGCCGCTACTTTGTATTAGGCTCGTTAGCCTTCTTTGTCGATATTGTTATTAATCTGTGCTGCGGAAAATTTTACCATAGAAAACTAAGTTCGTCTTTCAGCTTTTTAGGGTGTAATTGATATACTCTCAGCGAATGAAATGCAGAACTGTTTGAAAGTGTGTTATTTAAACTTAAGTTACATTTGACGGCGTTTGACTTTAAATTACGGAAATTACCGTCCCAGTGATTCAACAAAGCTTATATTTGGAACTAAATCCATGTAAGTATGTTCACTATTTGTATTTTATTGTTCAAACCTTTTTTCGCCGATCGTTTTTATCGTGTTTTTGCATTTTTTTTTTGTTAGGGATCCTTATTTTAAACAGTACGATTAGTTGATTGCGACTATTTTGCGATTTTCGCTTTTTCGATGGCGTTGAATCTTTCCATATTTGCTCAGTGCTTTACCTCTTTTTTTTTTTTTTTGCACTGAAACCTTAATGAATATTTGTGGCTAAGCTCGAGGTCAGATGCACTTCGTAAAATAACGAATTGTTTTTTTTACGGTTGTATCTCCCACCGTGCCATTGTCCATCTCGTCATTACATAAAATATTGATGGTTACAAAGTTCAACTTATTACTTTAACATTGCACTCATTGTAAAATGTGACACGCATTTAATAAGAATATAGCTTAAAAACATTTTCCGGTAGAACCTAGCTTCAGTCAAAGACTATTTGCACTAATTTTTACTGATTCAAGAATCGCTTTCATAAACCTTCGTCTTCATGTCGGACCACAGTTTAACTGTCTGGCTAAATTTACATTTGGAGCTGGCCTGAATCTCACTCGAATCCAACGCTCATATTGATAATGAACTAAAATTTAATGTGTTGCGTTGATAAATGTAAAAGCCTAAGTGATCATGAAATGATGCATGCGAAAAAAAGGAAACTAAACGATGGTTGCCAGATGGGTTATAAAAGTCAGTCAACCAGCTGGGTGTTTACATTCTCAACAAATCTCTCTTAAAAATTTACCACAAACAACTGGCTTAGCTTCACAGGCTTTTATCTCACCTATGTGGGAAATAGCATCTCTGTATCATTGAAGCCGAGGTGTCGTCAGCTTATAATCGCGAATAGTATTTTGGTTGAGTTCGTTAATATTAATTACAATTATTATAGAAGTATAAAAGCTTTTCCTGTTTCGAGAGATGTGCATTGCATCTTAATAGAGCTGGCTCTACCTTTGACAGAAATGTTCATACCACTTTAAAACACCGGTGACATTTGACGCTTGGAGCATTTGTGAGATTAAAGACTTCCTATCATCACCGGAGTTAAAAATCTTTTGGCAAAGATAAGCTTCTAAAGATGAGTGACACAAATAATATTTCATGGTAAACTGGATTTCTCTTAAGCTGCATTTACTAAAGAGACTTGAGTGTTGTAGTAAGCGCTATGCAAATAGAAAGGTCGAAATTTAACGATGCTCTCTGAAAAAAGAAGGTAAGAGATTTTTTCTCTTAAACGCATTTTTTTTTTCATTACATCTCTTTCCCTAGCAAGGGAAAGGAACCCCATGAGGTGATCTTTCGCTTGACCTATTGGTTCAGTACCCAGATTTGGTCCCCAAGAATTCTACATCTCACGCTAGTCAAAGTTACGTGTGTTTAACTTGTCCTTTTTACATTATTTACCTCATTTTACATTTATTCTTAAAGTAAATATTAAATAAAGAACAAGATATATTGAAATTTATGAAATACAAGAATGACACGATAAACTTCAATTCGATATAAATGTCCTATGCATTGAATTAACCTTAGAATTAACTTGAAGCTATATAAATCCTTGGCGACCGTGACGACGGAAAAAGATGAGCGCATAGTTTAAACTTCTTGCCTGGTAAAAATTTAAATAACTATGAAAAGAACGCATTGAGCTTTTACTTGCTGTAACAACCTATCAGTGCACTTTATCAGGCAAGTCTCACGTTTCTGTTTGTTCTTTTGCAAATGAATTTGAAGGCGAGTTTTTTATTATACGATCCTTGTTATCTTTGTAATGTATTTTCAATCATCTGTCATAGCTTTTGAGAATGAACTCAATGGGAGTTTCTCAATAAAACTTCATTTCCTGCGTATGGACAATGGATATGATAAACAACAATTTTTACTTTGAACGCAAATATGTTAATGAGCGGCAAAAGAGGATTCGATATACTGCAGTTGTAAAGCTGTTGTCACAGTAAGCTCTTCATGCAAACGGATTTCGAGTTGGATGGTCAGAAATCTCAAGTGCACTTTGGAGTTTACTTAAGCGCTATATACGATAAGCTAACCTGAACGCGAGAGACAAAAATCAGGTAACATAGTGTTTGTGAGTCGCATAATTTGAGAACCTTTTTTTTTTTTCAAAAAGTGTTTAAATCAACACCAGATAATCATACAGTGGATCAACTGAAATGGATTACCTCTCACACGGTTTTAATCTTAGTCATTAATGTCACTGACTCTTAGACGTGTTTTACTTCGCAATTTAGGGTCGAAAATTCAACGCCTTTTTGATATTTCTATATAAGATCCTTATGATGTATAATCAGTCCTAGAATATTTGACTAGACGCGATTTTTTAAATTCTACTGGCATTTTTTTCCTTGGACGTCTTCTAAGCGTTAAATTCCCTGTTAAGTACACACACTTTCTTCTTTGGAAACATAAAATCAATAACCTTGAGGAAAGGCTAGTGTATATTAATTTGAATTCTGAGAAGGAATTAACTGTTATAATTCTACCGAAGGAAGTCCTGATTTCAAGTAAACAGCACTCCGTGTACGTGTGAAAAGTTCTCTTCCAGCATATGTATTTCGATTCATGTCCATACAGCAGTTATGAGAATGGAGCGGAGAGCTAGAAAGGAGTCATAATGACTCGATCGAACAGAAATCATTTACAAGATGAGCGCTGATAATTTTTGATAACTTGCAAGCTAAGATGATCTCGATTGTTAAACCTTTGTATTGCTTCATTGTCTCCGAGTTGAGATTAGAGGGAAGAGTGAACGCAACAGAAGAAATCAGATTTTCGATAGGTGAGAAAATTTTGTCATGTCACCTCGTGGAAGTATTAATTGCCTGACGATTCTCGCAGAAGAAAAAAAACTCAAATTTGTGGGATGAGTTTCGGGGAACAACAAAGACGCCATCTTCTACGCGTGCTCTTTGCAAGCGTGAAATGTTACTCTGAGTGGTTACTAGTGGGAAAAACTGTTTGTAACAGCGGCTATTCTACAAGTTTTATACGAACGCGAACCATACAAAGCTGCTATGAGTTGGATCGGGTTCACTTTAACCACTTCATGGTTTTTCCATTTATTTTTGATTTCCTTTTCATACCATCACCTGAGCACCAAAAAAAAAAAAAAAAAACAGAGTTAATAGCCGTCCTTAGAAAAAAAGGTGTTAGCGCTCAACAAGGCTGTAAATTCCATATCACATCCAAGGTTAACTCTTAAATATACTTATTGTATCAAGCAGAACTTTCTTACCTTGCAGTTAAAAGCAGCGGAAGTCCTGTGCTTGCACTTTGTAAGGGCTTAAAACGTTACTGATCAATTATCTGAGGGTGTAGTTGGTCGTTGGCCAGTCAGAGAAAGGCTGTAAATATTTCCGGCTTTCTTCCGCTGTGTTGCATGTTACACCCTTTGAATGCCAAGAGGAACTGATCACGAGATTGACTTGTTTCCAAACACCGGCAAAGAACTTATAATTTCTTTTTTACTTCAAAGTTCGTAAGTATAAAGTGTTACATAAGAGGAAGAAAGTGATTATAATGATTAATATTAATAATTAGCACTAACAATTTTTCAAACCCTTGCTATATTGAAACAAACTCGAAAAATGTTTTGAGGCTTCTAGGCGACTGAGGCGCACAAGGTATAATTTTTGTAACTTAAAATCACAATTGAAAATCGTCTTTTCTGGCACCTATTGTTTTCTTTTAGATGCCACCCCTTATAGTTCGGCGGCTCTTTTTGACTCAAATCGTGACACAAAACAAAAATCCACAAAAACCGCCCATCTGCGGGACGTTATCGATTAAAACAATTATAATCAACTTTTGATCAGCTTTTTGTCGCAAGCCACAGAGGCGAGCCCCAAGTAATTAGGCACCTTCAGCCTTTTATTTATATATTTTCTCTGATTGACATCACATGTAAAGTAATGTTTTTCATTGCGTTTCACTTCTTTCTTTTATTTAGATTTTGTTTTCTGAATAATCAACCCGGCAAAGCGATTATGTTTTGGCGATCTTCTTTAATTTCGTTGATGAACGTCTGGCGCCAGATTAAACCTTAATTGGAGAAAAGTTTAAGATTCACGTCTTGGTAATTGTTGCTCTCATTCAAATAACGTGTCATCTCTGAAGGCTAGAACGCGTGTTTTACTCTGCTGTCAATGAAGTAGGATTGCGCTTCAGATTAGAAGTAAGTTTAAGTTGCAACGTTTTGACAGTCATCTGCTACTGCTTGCCTTTCAGTTGATTTAGAGCACTGGTTTCTAAAAGAAGAATAGATTGTGAATTTTGGAGAAATGTCACTAGTACTGAAAATTGCCGGTGATAACGAAAGGCTGAGATGTTGAGAAAAAACCTAGAGCGTTAGGCTATAAACATGTGCTTATTTTGCATGAGCTCATGAAAAATAAACACAAACAAAAATCCGAATGCAGACATTAGAGTGTGCAAAATGAATTCTTGCAGCTGGTAGACATAGAGAAAAACTAGCCCTTTGTAGAACGATCAAAACCTATTTATCTGATGGAAATGCAAATGAACCCTGGTGCCTTCTTGTAAAAGGCAGTTTTATTAGGAAATCACATTCAATTACACTTTCGCATGCTCATTGTCAATATTATCCGTCTCTGCAAACGAGATATTACATTTGGGTTTGAAAAAAAGTCGCTGAAGCTCACTCAAAGTGGAATACTGTCCAGATCTTGTTTCCAATCAGTTTATCTTTTCGAGCCTGAAACACAAGAAATACAACTCATTAAAAACTGCAGACAACATTCTCATTCGCTGTTTCATTATTTCTTTCCTCGCGTTTTCGTCAAATGTACATAACATCTGTTTCTCGAATCTCGATACATCTTGGCATGACTGACACAAATGAAAACAAATTTTAATTTAACGGTGGTGAGCGGACTAGAAATTTAAGATGATAAATGGCCTCTTAAATTTTGTGTTTGGGACCACTTTACGCCGAGTGAAAGAGTATTTTTAAAATAAGCAAAAGGCAAGTAGTATTGGGCGTTCTTTTTTTGGCTTAATTATTGTAATTATGACATTCCAGGCATAGGTTAATATGGACTGGACCATTGGACCATGGTAAAAATTGGACTATTTTTGGACCATTTTTAAACCATTTCTTTAACCCTTTTTTGGACCTTTTTATGAACCAATTTTTAGACCATTTTATCGGGGGGAGTGAAACCATTAATACTTAGGGAGGGGTGGGATGTAGTCCATCAATACTCAGAGAGGGGTAGTAAGCAGACAGCTAGGGGTGGAGGACGAACTATTAGTACGCGAGGAGGGCTGGGCGGTTGTTGTATTAGCAAATAAATGTAAATTTTGTTTTTTGTCGTCCGATAAGATCAATGACAGAAGGAAGATGGCTAAATTTAATGATCTATTGTATACACAAAGGGAAACGTGAAGCAACTGATGGATGATTCACACTAACCGTGAGTATCATTTAGCACTGGCAGTTGAGGATCGAAAACGGACGATATCTTCGATAACAATTTAGTCTAGTGTTTGGGTGCCAGTTTTGCATTCGCATGAAAAAAAAATATGGAAACACTACGGCCCAGCGCAAAAATTTGACAAAAATATTCAGTCGAAAAACCGCTCAAAATAAGTAACATGATCCTAGGAAAACTCCATTAATCAGTAGCATTTACTAATAAAACAAACTCCCACCCCTCCTTGCGTATTGATAGTTTGTCCTTCACCCCCCTCAGTGACAACAATCTGCTTACCGCACCTCCCTGAGTACTGATAGATTGCATCCCGCCCCTCCCTTAGTGCCAACGGTCTGCCTTCCCCCTGAAAAATTGTCCTTAAAAAATGGTCCAAAAAAAAGGTCCAAAAATTGGTCCAAAAAATGGTCTAAAAAATAGTCCAAAAAACGGTCCAAGGGTCCAATGGTCCAATCCTTATTTTACCCTATACCATACTTTTGCATGCATTGCAAGTAATCTTAGTTTGGTTTGTGAGCAGCTATCACTAGTTACATTTGAAATAAGTCATTATTTTTTTCCTTACTAAGTAACTTTTCGTAAGTCATCAGGTTAATCAGTGACAATTGCGGCTTTAGAACTGTGAGCAATTGTTCATGGTTTAAGTGTAAATTCATTCTCTTTATCAACACTTTATGGGTTTAATCAATGAAGAAAACAAAAACAAAAATCTGAATGGACCACAAGCAACCTCTAAGGGGCCGAATGCAGATAACATTACAGTTAGGATATTTTTCTATTTGTCGGTTGGCCGAAGAAAAGACCCTCGCTATACACAGTCATTTTTAACAATGAGTATAAGGCTTCGAGTCGCGTATGATGAGTTGCTTCTTCCCACCAAAATAGGGAACTTATATTCAGTCACTTAAGACAAGAAAGATATTGAGATAATTATATATACACATACCTTTGTTTGCTGTGAGAGCTTCAAATGCTAAGGCATTTCCGATTTATTGCTCTCAAGCATACTTTCATTATTTACACAACTGTCAATTAGGTTAAATACTACAATGCTACTCGGGGGAGGTACTCCTTGTGATTCCTGTTTGGCCTGTGCTGTCCGGGTCTCCAACATTTCCGACTTGACCTCTTTACTCCATAACATACTCATTATACCCTCAGTATCACTTTCCACTGCATTGTGCGATTACCACCTCCTCCCCCTTTCTTGGGGAAAACACTGAAACACTTACGTTTATTGGCACTTCAGTCTTTTAACTTAACGTATGTCTAACTGGTATAACATGCTTCGCTCTCTTAGTATTTGGATGTAGAGGTTTTCAAGGCCAAGAAATCAATTGAAAGGGAAGACAGAAGGCAAAGATATTTGAATGGCGCAGCGGAACTCTGTACAAGTTATTATGACAAATGCCTCCTTCGAAGACAACGAAACAGGACAGCACAACAAGACGGTGGTGTTTTTTTCATTTTTAGGTTTAATGTCAATTTTTATTGTTGCTATCAACTGCTTCGTCGTGTTCTTGGTTTGGAAAAAAAAGGTTCTTCGTACACCGGCGAACATTTTTTTGACAAGCCTTGCATGCGCCGATTTCTTTTCAGGATCTTGTGCGATTCCACTGATCATAGCCTGCCAGCTTTTGGAAACACGTCATTCGTGGAGTGGACCCCTTTGCCTGAGCATGGATCTTATAAGCAGAATGTTGTCAATATCCTCCATTCTACACTTACTAGTTATCGCTGTAGAGAGGTACGTCGTTATAGTACGCCATGTTAAACCAGACGACTTTGTCAGCTGCAAGAAATACGCTGTCATCGTGTCTGCTTTGTGGCTTATTCCTTTATCTGCGTCTTTCATACAACTAACGTGGATTCATATCAAAGATGGCGTCCCACAGTTGCGAGGTATCTCGAAATCCGAAATCATTTACGACCTTGTTTGCATCTTCGGATTCGTCGTTTTTCCTTTGACGATCATTGTTATCGCTTACAGCAAAGTTTTTTCTGTTTTGCGAAGGCACGCTAAAGAAATAGACAAACAGACAGCCCTTTTTATGGCATCTTCCAGGAATCAAAGTCATAAACTAAAGGAAAAGCGAGCCACATTTATCTACGCATCAATGATCGTCTTTTACGTAATTGGGTGGTTTCCTTACTTTCTACTATCTTTGTCTTATGACCTGGATGTTGAGGAAGTGCTCACTATCCCCTATTGGACTGACACTCTTTTCATGTTTTTAAGATTTCTGAGTCCGCTGGTCAATCCTTTATTATACACATTCTTTAAACAGGATTTCAAAGATGTGATTTTTTCTATGAGAGGGGGATCTAAAGCGCACGCTGACACACTGTTGGAGAACTCTTCCCAGTTTGATACGATTCAGTTGCGATATCTGGGAGATTCAGCGACATCAAGTGAACCTCTGTGAATAAAATGGTGGGTAAATATTTTCACAAATGCATGTCGAGGTTTTCGTTTATCTTGAAGGTACGGTAAACTGAAAGTAAGATAAAAACCAAACAATTTGTTGCAAAGAATCTCAGGCTGTACTTCTGGCATCTTTTATTGTGAGTACGAAGTACAAAAAAAATCAGTAACAAATACGTCTCAGAATTTCTGTGTTAATCATGATTAAGCAAATTTCACTTATCAAAACACCTTCTAGAAAAGACGTTTGAATGATTATATGGTTTTCTTCCCCTTTTTGTTGGTGCCAGACTGTAGATTTTAGTTTGAGATATAAGAGGCCGTCACCTTTGGCACAATTAACTCTGCTTTCCAGATTGTCTTAGATAATGCCCTCTAAGCCATTGGGACAATTACGTGAAAGTCATGCCAAATAATAATTTATGATCGAACACGATTGTCAATGTAGAATCGCGTATTTGTGCATGATCGTTCAGGTCATCGAAATCGTCTCGGTAATCTAAGGTGAACTCGGAAAATCGGATCGTTTCGATTAACTGGGAACCAGGTTTCAGAAACAGGCTGATATTATGGATCAATTTCACCTAGTCAGTTTAAGAATTTCCTTGAAATACTTTCGTTACAATGTATTTTCAGGTGCTTTGATTGTTATGCCATCCCACTATAGTGAACTTAGCGCGTATATAGAACTAATTCAACTTTTTAATTTGTGCCATGAGCTAAAGCCGACGGTAGTCATGATTGACGAAATAACTGAACCACACTGCAGCTGGATATTGACACTTTTTAATTTTGACACGGGTTAAAAATAATGCTTTTGTAAAACGTATGAAGCATAAGGAGTAAAGGCTTCAATCTTTGCCCTTCTTATTAAACGATAGGCTATTAGACTGAACCTGATCGGCCTACAGACCGCTGACAAGGAGCAAACAGTGACCCTGGGCTCGAGATTGGATATTCAATGGCTCTTAAAAAGATGGGCAGTTCAGACTGCATATGGCTACTCATATAGCAGAAGTTTTTATAGCATTGAAAAGAACCTGGGGTTGTATGATGATGCTAGAAGGTAGCGCTGCAGAAGATTTGTCTCGCATGCAAAACAGAAAATCTGCCGCATCCCACATACTTATGAGAGCCCTGTTCCACAAGAGAAAGAAGATTCAAGAATACAGTGAATAATTGACACTCAACCACTAATTAGAAGGTAACACATAATAATATTAACGATAACAACATAACAAAGATAATAATGATGATGATGACAAAAGTAATAGTAATGATAGATTATAGAGGCTAGCTCAAAAACCTCACTGTTCCTCCATCGGTCTATCCCTAGGCTTCAATAATGATTAGGCTAGCCTTCTTTTAATTTTGATCTGCCTGTTAATTATAAACCATTTTCTCATTTCATTGCAATTCCACTTTTGTGAAACTTTTGTTCATTCAACAAGGCATTCTGCGTTGTAGAATATTCCGCCATTCCGCTATTCCATCGTTCCATCATTCAACCATTCAACCATTCTACCATTCTACAAGTCTCCCTTTCCACCATTCCACCATCCCACCATCCCACCATTCCACCATCCCACCATCCCACCATCCCACCATTCCACCATCCCACCATTCCACCATTCCACCATCCCACCATTCCACCATCCCACCATTCCACCATCCTACCATTTCACCATCCCACCATTCCACCATTCTACCATTCTACCATTCTACCATTCCACCATTCTACCATTCCACCATTCTACCATTCCACCATTCTACCATTCTACCATTCCACCATTCTACCATTCCACCATTCTACCATTCCACCATTCTACCATTCCACCATTCCGCCATTCTACCATACTGCCATTCTACCATACTGCCATTCTACCATTCCACCATTCCACCATTTCACCATTCTACCATTTCACCATTCTACCATTCTACCATTCTACCATTCCACCATTCCACCATTCTACCATTCCACCATTCCACCATTCCACCATTCAACCATTTCATTGTTTCATGCTTCGCAAATTTATCGGCTCTACTAAGCATTTGTCGCTGATTAAAACGGTAAAATGATCTCTTTTCGAATAAATTGAAATTTTCCTTCAAAGTTTTCACCAATTTAGATATTTCTGCAAGGAAATAGCCTTTTTTTCAATAACGTGCAGGAGAGCCACAGTGGAATTATTTTGAAATGTTTATCATCTATTGTAGTGTCACGGTTGGAACTGGAAACATTACACCTTCGGATCTACTGGGAATAATTCGCTGATTAAAGCGGTAAAATTCTCTGTCTTAAAGGAAAAAATTTTTCCTCCTAATATTCATGATACGCCGATCACTCCTTGTAGATATTTCTGCGAGGTAAAACTTTCTTTTTTCACGCGCCATTCTTAAATGATTGTGAGATGTTTATCGTCTTCTGTAGTACACTACGAGACAAACAATAAGAAGCACCGAAAAATAGTGTGATTACCTGCTAATACTCCGTGTAACAATCGAAGCGATTCGAAGAAATCGTCACCAAACGCTGAACGACCGAAGATGTTCCGAAACAAACAAAAGCCAAGAGCGAAGAATATCGTGTAAAACTCGGCAGACTTCGTTGTGGACTAAAAGGTTGTTCGTATTTTATCGTTACTCTAAATTAATCACCAAACAGTATAACAAGAACGCGAGACGCCATTTTGAAATGTCACTAGATGTTCGAATCACGTCTCTTTTGTTAAAACCTCAAAATATTCTTAATATGTGCCATGTGATGGCCTTAAATCTATTAACAATCGATTGGACGTACCTCGTGCTGATATCGAATCGTTAAAAGAGGGAAAAATCAACCTAACCTAACATTTTCATATCTGCGATTCGCAGCCATCGTTTGGTCACGTCACGAACGCGTGACCGTGACGTGACCAAACGTTTCTGTAACGCATTGCGTGATAAGACTATGCTAGAAATATAAGTCATCGTTCTGAATGAAACAAAAATTGCAAGGGCCTTTACAAAAGTGCAAGGGTTTTTTAATCACAATTGTTGATATCTACAGTCGTTTAAACATTTCTTTTAAGTACACTTTATTAACGTTTTCATTTAAATAAACATGGTACATTCATACAAAACTGGGAAATTTTTTAAATAAAAAAAATGTGCAATTCAAATAGCTTTTCTTCTTCAACAGTCTTAAAATCTCATATTGTCAAGCGCAGTCACATCATTCGAATTAAATAATGATGGAATTCGATGGAGCCATGAATCATTCATTCAAAGGAGTACGTTCTCTTCATCGCGGAGACTTACGTCAACAAATTCGTCTCTCTACTACGTTTTTAAAAAACCCCTTCATATTGCTCTATCATAAAGATGCTTAAGTTTTGAAATAAGCGAAAAATGTCATTATCAAATATATTTTCAGTTACTTAAAATACAAAAATCCAACTAGAAAATTTCTTATACCTGGTTTCTGAAACCGTATGTACAACGATCGATTAAGATCATTTTCAGCATCTTTGCTCTATTAAGAACCTTTTCAGCCTTTTTTTCAAATCAGAAGTTAATTTTATTTTATTCAGAGGCTTGGAAAATCCCTTAACTTTCATTATTGAACATTACTTAAAAATTTTCGGCTTTTGTAGTAATTATACCACACACTACATACTAAATAGTTTTTATTGTTAGATTAATGCTGCATTCGGCAGCCTGTTCTAGACGTTCAGTTAGTAAAACGATGCGCGTTGAAAAGACCGTGCGATAGAGGCGAAGGAGTAAAACCAAGAAGGCTTGGAACGGGTTGCGACTCGACCCAAAATTCCCTCGTTTTCGCTCTATTATTGCGCTGTTTATTACTTCGCCCCGTGTTACTAACTGAACCCCTGAAAAGAGTATGGAAGCTATTTTCTTAACAACTAGTGGACTTCATCATACTACAACAACTATTGAATACTGTTCCAGTTATCACTAGTTTCGGTGAGCGGGAAATTTTGTTCCCTTCACTTTTGGATGTTTCCCTGTGGGATACAACATTTATGTAGAGACGATTACTTTGAATGGTGTGAATGCAAATTTTGTTATAAATAGCTTGGCTTGAGTTGTGCTCCTCCTACGAGGGGACGGGAACCCAATTAGCCTCGTAACTAGTCAGTTAAACAAGTAGGTAGTCATTGAATTAGGACGACTTCTTCCTTTCTGGTCTGCGGCTCCGTAAGAGAAATGATGGGCTGACAAACGACCGACTGCGGGCTCCGTCGATGAACTGAACGGTGACCACCAGGCGGAACTGGTTACGTCTCTCCGCATCTACAGTGGAAAGCTTGTAAACTGGTGTACCTTTTTCAGACATGTAAACTGAATCGAGATCAACGGAAAGGTATTGCTGAGAAAAATAAACAGATAAATAAAGCATTTAGACGGAATAAATCGAAGAGCTCGTGCGATTGTTGTTCTATCTTTTTTCTTTAGGCGTCAATTTTTTTTACCTTATTGACATTTTGCGAGCCCATTTTAACCTTCAACGGCACCTTGCCAGTGACGTCACCACAGAGAGTTGTTGCCATTGGCGTTCGCTCCACCTGAACTTCAATGTTTCCAATTTGTGCATCAGCCGTCACCATTATGCGGACTTTTCCGTCTGTCAGTCGCTGCCTTGATTTACGGTTTATACGACTTTGGACTTTCTCATACTCCTAAAAAGAGGAATAACAAAAGCAATAATGATTAGAAAAATTAATTCTTACGAAGGAAAAAAAAAAAAAAAGATTAAACCTGGCGGTCTCTGATGGGGAGTGTTGTATGTTGTTTGTTGTAATCTCGTTATCACTTTTGATGGGTTGTGGTAAGGCATTTCCTTTATTTAAAGTGACCAAGTGGCCTTGATTTGTCGCTTGGGGGGTGGGAGGATTTTTTTTCCTTTGTTGGGGGGGAATCATGTAGTATTCAGGTGGATTGTAAGGGGGATCATGATCAGTCGTCGTCTACAGAGTATATGAGTGGGAACAATAGAAAATTGACAATCTATCTACTGCCAGTGGAGGGGGGGGGGGAGAGCGGGGGTGGTGGCGGTCACACGAATATTACAGAGATTTATGGGGAGATCAGGTAAATTCGGTAATATCGTGACACAACCAAATCCCCCTCCCCCTCCCCCTCCCCCTCGCAAACACGGCGATAAATGACTGGTCCAGAGGAGAGAGCCTTTCATCAGAGAGAAATTGTTATTATCATTTCGAGAATATCTATCAACATTTTCTACTGACCTTTTTGAGACCCAGAAAATGAACTTTAACTTCTACCTCCCTGGTTATGAACAGTGGTTTAAAGTATGTGTTCCTGATCGGAACTACGGCGTCGTCTTCATCTTCATCTTCCTTGATGCATTGGGGCCTTACCAGCATGTCTTCCTGATTCAATTCTACTTTTGTTTTACTCCGTGAAAAATTGATAAAATCTGCCGATTCATCAAACAGTCCACATTCTGTAGATAGAGTAGGAAAAGAATAGCGGCCGTTTAGTACTGAACAGCGTCTGACCTACTTTGATATTGAGCTTGTTAAAAATTGTTGCAGCAGGGGTTGATTGTATGGGGCAACTTACGCAGGGAATGAGGGATTGCGATTGTCACTCCAGCCACAAGGTAAGGGTTGAGTGCAGATAGTTTTCACTGATATTAGAGGATTAAAAGTTTTTTTGTACCCACGCCTAAGGAAGAACATTTTCTTATATCGCTGTTGTTCACCTTAGGTTTTATTCAGCGTATGGGCGTAGCCTCGAGGATCAATTGCACCCTCAGTGAATAGGGAAACTTATCTTAAAAATAAAGAAATAAAATCGTGGTAATTTTTAGGCTATCTATGATTGTCTTTAAAATTTTCATTACCTTTTAAGGTTTTTCATTTTATGTACGGTCATTTAACGAATACCTCGGGCCCTAATAGATCGGAAAGTATTAGCGGACGTATAAGCCTCGCGTCGCCCGCCTAGCATCGTAGCTCTTTCGGTCTGCCAATTATCTAGGAAAACCATGATCATCGTGTGTAATTTAGACTTCATTAAAATAGCCGAATCCTGGCTTGTTGTTCCTGGACCTGGGAAGTATTAACAATGAAGATCGAAAACCAAACCGTAGACCAGGAAGTAAGGGCCTTTACTTCCTTATTATAGAATGATGTTCTAGTTTTTTCTAATTAAATCGCTTTTAATTTTCTGGTCTGTTGCAAGCTGAAAGTTTTTTTTTTTTTTTTTGACATAACGGTCATTTTGCTAGCCACAAATTATTGCTCAGGATATTTAGTCGAGTCGTGCGCATTACTTCACATCTGACTGACACGTGACCTTAAGTGGTGTTGCCAATCACAACCTGCCAACGACGTTGAAAGCAATGACCACCGACTCTTCTGTGATCACCAAGGCCTTTTTTGTTTATTTAAGGATTAGGCAAGGAAATAAACAGTACAGATCAAAAGGGAAGATTTTTTTCTTATTTGTAACTTTTTTCAAATTTTATGAGACATTCTTCTGTTAGGAAAAAAAAAAAGAATTTATTTAAAATTTTCTCTGAAGAGTGATTTTTTGATCAGTTATTTAAACAAAAGCAATTTTTTTTTGCCTCCAAGCCACAGCTGTGATAAACAAGACTGTTGCCAGGCAACCACATCAAGAGTTTATTTCTATTGCCCGTTGTGCTACAGCCGCGTTGTACGTCACCTTACTTTATCATTTTGTTCTATTTATTTTTTATTCCACCTATAAATTCTCAAGTATTATCTTAAATTACTATTCCCTGTTTTTGAATCTATTAAAATGGCATATCACAATTTTCCATTACCTTTGTTGACAGTGTACCTTGGGAAGCCCCCTCAATCAAAAATACGGAAAACATGAAAGAAAGAACAGGATTTGACAATTACGTACCTTCCAGGTAGTCGCCGTCCGCTAAAAGATATCTTAGCCAGTCATGATTGCAATTTAAGTCTTCCTCCATATCCATTATGTTTAGATAAGCAGCTATTCTTGATCTGTTCCAAGACTTAAGCCGAGCTGACGTCCTTACGTCTTGACTGCGAGAAGTGCACTGAATCAACGTGCCTCTGAGTTTGAGCCATGTACTTCAATTTTACTTCCGCTATGCTAATAACGCGAGACACGTGCAGACACGCGGAAGCGTCTAAAAAAATTGTCCAATTACAGTTCACCGAGTATTTCTGCTGTTACCGAGCTGTCTATGGAAGCACGTAGAAGATTTTCTGTGTTTTTCGCGATCACCGTTCTGCCCTGTTAATTAATCTTTGTTATTCACCAGAGGTGCTGCTAGGGAAGTGAATGTTTGGTCTTTAGTGGGACAACATTTGTGGGTGTTATTTATCAGCCAAAGCGAACAGAAAGCCTTAACGCTTTCACCCAGTTTTCGAAATGATTTCCATTAAAAACTGAAGTTTTTCAGGCTTCGAATTTATCGAGCTTTGAATATTTTTGGCGGGCAAATATTTTAAACCACAGAAAACGTGACTTCGCATTCACCCCCGCCACCACTATCAATCATAACATCTCACGGCTTGTCTGAATTCGATCACATGCTTCGAATGTTTAGTCTACTCTTTCGAGTTTTTATTTGGCAAGTTTCACCGAGCACACATTGGCCTGCAAATATATTCCTATCGGAGTGAAACGAAATATTTTTTTTGATGTGTTAATTTTTGACACATGTTTATCGAATATTAGCACGCGGCCTGATGATTTTGAACATTTGTGTCGGTTTTAAAAGGCTACAAAAGCCATAAGGTTGTATTTACGAACTGGTGAGAAACATCTGACCGGAAGCCGTCGCAGCTTTTGTCTTTTGTGGCTATGCAAATTAGTTGTTGTTATGATGCAAAGTATGCTTTGTTCTCACGAGACGAAAATAAATTTCTTTTGTATGTTTTTCAAAATCGCAAGAAAAAACTTTCAATTACTCTAATGCATCGACAAATTTGACGCATGGATTCTAGTATTTTAGAAATACACTCCGGTCGAAAGTCGGCTCGGTTTAAACGTGTAGTCAGAAAGTAATTCACAGATTCGCACTGCTAAGCTGATTTATTAGAGATTAAGAATATCTATTTGAGAAGATCACGACTGACCCAATTTTAAAAAGGTTTCTCTCACTTTGAAATGAAAACTTTGGGCGAGCCATAGCTTTTCGATGTCTTGATAAATCAGGTTTTAAGCTATAGTGTGCATAATGCTAACGCAGCCGCTTGAAAGTGCTTTTATTCGATGCAAGTGACTATTAGGAATTTGTAAGAGCTAATGTCACTCACTACTGTAGCCAGCGCCGATACCGGTTTGGTTTTCAGAACGAGAAGTAAACTAAATGAAAAGAATTTCATATAAGATATCATTCTCTTATGTTTTCAATGGTGAGTATCTAAAACAGGCTCTCCATGATTCGATATATTTTTAGACTTAACAACGCAATGTCGTCAGAGCAAGTCACACGTGAAAGATTTGCTAAAATATATGCTCTGTTCTGACTTTACTATTTTGGGAATGAAAATTGGCTGGTTTTTTTGAGGTTTTGCAAGCGTTTGATTTATGCTGACATTCTGAGAAAAGAAGATTTGTTGTGATTGTGGGAAATGTATTTTTACATATTTTTTGACGATATGCAAAACAGCGCGCGTCACGCAAACCACCAACAGATAATTACAGTTTGACAAGGATCATTATCATGGAAAACAGGTTATGTGAAGATGATATGAGCTTTAAAGGATTACGATTATTGTCATCACGATCAATATTCCTCTTTTTATGTGTATTTGAAATAAATTGTCCCTCCCGAGGGAACAAAGCCTCAAACAATTTAAATATTCAAAGTGTATTTTAAATCATCAGAAATTACTTCAATCGGCAACACAAATTTTTTCGTAATATTCCTGATGTTTAACATTCCACCAGGAAATAATCTCATCTACTCTACTTTAAAGTTTTCTACTTTCGGTTTCTTTTTCCTGGATTTCTTAGAATAACCGGCAAGACCTTTTACCGGAAGTACAATACATTCGTGGCAAACAATCCACGTGACAAGTTGGTCAGACATTCAACCAGGAGCAAATATAATGAGTCACGGTTTGTTGTTGATAAATATTGCAAACCAGCGCATGACTAAGGCCAACGGCGAAAATAGTACGAACACATCTAAGCTGTTTCAAATATTTCTCTTTCTTCTGAATCAAAATCTAGTTTTTTTTTTATAACTATATTTACGGCCAGGCGTATACTTCAATGAGAAACACTGTAACTTGGAAAGTTTGTAGCTGTCTACGTGACGTACGTGCCGTTTGACCGGGAAGCTGAGTGTTTTGTTTTTGTGTTTCATTTTCGGTCAGGTACCTCGGTTGCTGTCTGGGATTTTGATAATTTCGTCCTGTTTACCATCGACATTGGTCACGTTTCCCAGACTTTCCTTCTTAAATTAAGTTATTTAAAACAGAACAAGACTTAAATATTTAATTCATGCTCACGTATACTTGGGTACGACTTTAACCATATAGTAAAACTGTAATATGAATATCAAAAATTTTTGTTTGATCTGTTTTTTTGTTTAGATCAAAAATTATTTTACCGCCTGATCTGAAGGAATCAAGTGTCCTACTGATAAACTTCCTTATAGCAATGCAGGATCGTTCAGCTAATTCGAAACCATTGAGGTCCTCTCACTTCCAGTTAAAAGCTTCTCCCGGTTTTGGAGAATTGAAGGGAGTCTAATGTTGGCTTGTGAAGCTCAAGTTTGACGCATTGTTTTTCCTAGTGTTATTTCTGTAAGCCACCATTAAGATAGAAGAGAAATAACACGACGCTAAAATGCGAGTCAACATCTTGTATGTTAGTCAACAAATTGATTTGTCTGCTTCGCTGCCTTGCTTTAGTATAAAACGCAACGCTCCGTTGCGTGACATTCGAAGGGCGGTTGAGGAGGAAAGCAAGGATGAAGGAGACTGAAAAACGGATTGTAATGCTTAAAATTTGATATCTGTACACTCTGTCGATTGGAAACATGCAAGAGTTGAGCATGTTTGGTCACCATATCCTGCCTCACGGAGTGTGTGGCAATGTTTACATGTCACTCATTAAAAATTTTCAGACAGATTCTAACTGAAATACAAAGCGTCAAATGAAAATAAACCGAATTAAGCGGAGGTATCAATTCCGAAGAAAAAAATACGCAAACCGTAAAACGTATCTATACACTGATTACAGTATTTTGAATGGTTTCTGAACGACTTGCAAAACCATCCTTTAAACCTGGAGACTTCAAGTTAATGATGTAATAAAAAGATAACACTATAGAGGCAATACTGAACTAATAAAGAGCAAGGATGGAGGAGATTGACAACAGATTTAATTGGAATAATTATTTAAGATAGACAAAGTGTGACTCAACAGCTCCTTTGCGGAAATGAATTTTCTAAAAGCATGTATAAAGGAAGAAAGGATTCCGGTATTCTTTTCAGTTTTCGTTTTTTTTTCCCAACCAATTCTTGCACCAAAGAAGACAGGGGCGAAATCAGCAGGTGCACTTTTTAGCCGGTTTCGGCGCTGCCATCATAAATTTACGATTTGTAGTCCCCAAAACTAATGTGATGAGTCACTTTGTATTAAATTTGTTCAAACATTATGTCGGTAATTGACACAGATTTCTCCGAGTACAAACGTTTCCTTAACTTCGTCGCACTAAACAAGGATGCCCAAACAAAGAGATTGGCATACTAACCCTACCCTGTAAGGAATTTTTCTATAACCTTTAGGGGAAAAATTATTTCTAACGAAGCTATGTCAGTCATGACCGATTAATCACGCGTAAGGCACAGCAGCCTCGGCAACGCTTAGTATTATTAAGGCGTCGGAGGTGAAATCTTTCTGTTTTGTCTGGCAGAACTGTTATTACATGCAAGATTTCCTCAAACGATAAAACGATCATTGTAATACTGAGTCGTGCATGATGAAACATTTTGACAAGAAGCTAAGTACATGTGGCATGTTCGGTTTCCAGTTGTGATTTCATCGTACCAGGAAGTAATGGATGTCGGTAGCATCTGGACCACGAAAAAAATCAGGTTCCGGCCTGTAAAGGAATGTATGTCTTCCCTTTTTTTTTTTTTTTTAATACCCTTATTATTAATGAGAAATCTTTGTTATTTTGCACACGGTCTGTTTGCTGAAACTTATTTTGAATGTACGGAGGTTTTGGCTGTATTGCTGAAGCAGTCTATTTTTGATGGTGCTGTCAGTATGAGTCATCATCTCGCACCTCAGAAGGCCAAGAAAAACCAGTATATCATGGATCAAGAATCCCAAAAATTTTAACTGATCACTGTACTTCTGATTCCAAAGTGTTATCTTGTCTGTATGCATGAAAGATGATCGATCTTACGCACTTTCATTACTTGTATATTTTTTCATAATTTTATTTCAGCAACTAGTTAGATGTATGTCGCAGCTTTAATCGTAGACTGAAAGATTAGAGTTCGCTTTGCCAAGAACTGAGGCTTTTTTAATGGCAGACAGGGTGTCAGGATTCCCCTGGTGCGGTTGTTCAAAGCCCTGTAGTATGAGTTTTGTGATGAAGTCACTGATGTTTTCTTTCGGCGCAGTTGACCTGGAAGTCAGAACTTCTGAGGCCCAAACCACAATGATGCGTTTTCGTTTGAAAACGGTGGCATCCGTTATGTTTTGATCCGTTTTCGCCAATCGCCCACACTAAGACGTGTGACATTTTTCGAATTTTTGATATTGCAGACTTACAATGGAAATGTCAAAATTGAGTGATGACGAATCGTGTTGAAAACAGTTTCTTGTGTTGAAAGGTTAAATCGGATGGTTTTTAAAACACTGAGTCTAGTAAAAAGGCGTCTGTATGCTTTCGATTTCTTAACCGTTTAACTTCTAGGCGTTTTTATGTGGATGATAGCGAAGAAACATCAAGAAATGTTCTAAATATAAGGCGTTTTGATGTGGAGAGCTAAAAGTAACACGAAAACACTTGTGTGAATGGAATATTGTCTTAAGGCAAAAACGGATATTTGCCGGTAAACCTATTTTTGTGGTAAACAACTACATGTCTTTTAAAAGGGAAAAGAACAGATTTGCGTGGGTCTCTTATCTTAAATTAGCATATCGGTAGGTGACATTTTGCAATGGACCGTGGAAATTCCACAAAATTCGGAAATATTATGGTCGTGGCGTTCCAAAGTGAAGACATGTCTGGAATCCCACAACAAACAAGACCACACAGTTCCTTCATATAGCAGTTTTGATACATTAAGCTTAGTGGAATTCAGCTATTTACTGTAGGGGAAAGAAGAACAGCAAACAGTACGTGTGGTAAAGCTGCTATGAAGGCTAAGGATTAACGCGGGTTCTGCATTAGTAAGCTCTTAATTAACTGTTAATTTACAGACAACTTACTTTAGTTCTGCTCATGTAGGATTTCATCTACATGTACAGAATGGTACATTCATTACGCTTTTCAAAAGCAATTCTTTCAAATACGGCTGTTTTAAAATGAATACAAACTTGACCAGTTAATTATTTAATGAGGGTTAAGTAAATTCCAAAATACCCATGTCAATTCTGTAACTCAGGTCACAAACTCGCCCACGTATGTGGTGACCGGAAGATGCTAGACCTTATTTGCTAATCTTGGTTTATTTTCTCGAAGACTCATTTTCTTGATCGAATATTTCACCTAGGGAAAATTTGCTGCAAGCAGGTAAAAAAAAATATTAAAACTGTCCAAATAGGGTCAAGGAAAGCAGCTTTCAGTTACATATATTAAGAAGGAAACTGTCGTCTTCCTTGAGAGAAGATCACGTCCGAAACCATTGGACAGACCATCTTCCTGTTTCGGTGAGAACAACTGAACCATGTCATTACATTTGCACACGTTTTGCAAGTGAGATATTTGTGGCCGTTACTAAATGTCTCTCGTCAATTCCTGAAGCAGGCTATTTATGGTAACATGCAGTCTGTATTTAGTATCACCGGTAGTTATGAAAGCAACATTCTCCAAACCTCCTCACCACTGCCATTTAAAATGATTTTACCTCTTTATTTGCAACAAAATCCTTTAATAAGAGATAAATGAAAAAGACTTTTGGAACGCTGATCCTCATTGTTTAATGTGCAGTTATTTTGACTAGATATTTATGTTGACAAGTTGATCACTTGCCTAAGAGTCCCGCCATATTACAAAATTTCAAATTAGGCTTGCAGGAAAATTCATGAGTCGAATTAAAACACACTAAGAGACATGGAATTAGGTGGTCTTTTTGTCGTATCAGTGAAGTTTAGGCCATACACACCAAGGGACACTTAACTTGAAAAGACGGAAACGGTGGTCTTTCGTGATACGTACTCGAGCGGTAAGGGATTTACATATAACATACATAAACACATACACTTTATTGAGACTCCCTTCATCAGGGCTTTCAGTCACAATGTTAACCATTACATAATACTGGTAATTAAGAAAACTTGTTTACAGTAATTTAACTAAATTCAAAATATATTCAAAATTATTTCTATATGAAATATATATATTATTAAAAAATTATCTGCTTAAAATTATCAATTTCTTTTTTAATTAGTTTTCGTAATATTGTCAGCTAGCCCATTCCTTTCCCTTGGATCTCGAAAGAAAAATGCCCTTCGTCCCATTGAAAACATATCAGGGGACCACAAAATTGTTTCATCCCCTTGTATTCTTGTTGTGAACTGCTGAACGTTTAACAAAATATTTACCTAAATAATCTGGAGCTAAGCCATTTACACATTTAAATGCTAAAACTAAGTCATTAAATGAAACCTTCTCTGTAACATCTAACCATCTAAGAGATCTCCTTCTCTGGGAGATGTAGTCAAACTTCCCAACCCCTAATACAACTCTGGTAGCAAAATTTTGTACTAGCTGCAGTTTGTGTATATTACGTTTTGATGTGTTCCCCTACACTGATGAACAATAGAATAGTTTACTAAAAACAAAGCTATTTGTAAGTAATAAAAGTGTTTTCTTGTCTAAAAGGTGTTCAATTCTACTTTTCGGTACTAACTGGTTCATGCAACCAGAGGCTGGTTTAGTGATATGTACATTATAGGTAAGATATTGATCAATATATACCCTGAGATCCTTAGCAAACGAAACTAGTGTGATAGTTTTGTCCTAACAGGGATAAGGAGATATGAAGTAGCCTCCTAATAAGTTGTCTAATTTTGTCTTCTCAGGGTCTATAAGTAGAGAACTCTCTGTACACCATTTACTCATGTTCCTAAGATCTTGGTTTACAGCTGCCATAGCACTTGGTGAGTCTCTTACAGAATATTTAAAGTATAATTTACTATCATCAACATACGTAGTGGGTTGACTGTGGGTAATGGCACAGGACCCAAGATTGATCCCTGAGGTACTCCATTTGTTAAGGGTCACAATTCTGAGACTTAATATTTGTATTGTACTCTTTGATATCTACTGGATATATAGGTAGCTATACTAAACCGGGAAGTTAGAGAAGCTTTGAGGCCCAGTTTTCGTAATTTTTTGGACAACAGATTATAATTAAGGTTGTCGAAAGCTTTTGACATATCAAACAGCACTGGTAACAAGGCTGATTTTTCATCAATTGCTTTCAAAATGTTGTCTGTAACATTTATGAGGGCAGTTTCTGTCAAATGCATTTTCTTGTTGTCACTTTGATAAGTCTTTTACCATGTTTTGTCAAAAAATTCCACAAATTGTTTGTGTGCCAGACTTTCACTTACTTTTGATAGGATGGATAACAATGAAATCGGCCTGTAGTTGGCTATTTCTTCTGAGTTTCCTTCTTTGGGTACGGGTGTCACCTAAGCAATTTTCCATGCTTTAGGAAAAGCAGCCATCTTAAAATGAATTGTTCACCAGTCTGGAAATCACTGCTGCGATGCTCTCACAACTGTCTTTCAGGACTTGTGCAGAGATTTTATCATATCTTGGTGCTTTTTTCAGCAGCTAAATTCACTCTTAATGACAGACTTGATGTCAATTTCTTTTGCATCTTGAAACTCAAATCCTTCTGTTTCAGCGTGCAGGCCAGTGTCAATAATTCTCTCTCCAAGATCACATTCTTTATCCAAACCGTGTTCCCTTGTTATCAAGTTCGCCTTATGGGTAGTAAGTCCTCCTTCTGATAAAAAGTACTGTTGAATTTATTTGCCTAAGTCTCATGGTCCTTCAAAGTGCTTGGACATTTGGCTATACCACGAGACTTACAATTGATTTAAGATCTTCCAAGTGGCATTTGTATTTCCTCTGCTAGCTGTTATCTGGTATTTTGGATTTGCATTGAGGAAGTCATGATGTACAGCTGTTAGAATGAAATATTCTGATTTTGGCTTAGGAATGTTTCGTTATTTTGTAAGCCATCTTATGAAAGTCTTAAACTAAATTCTACTAGGTTTTAATTTCACCCTTAAGTTTGTATGCCTTTCCTGAACATCTGATCAGACAGCCAGCATGATTTACTTGAAATAGTTGTAAGTTGAGCTTGGAAACATATAATTTCATGGACACAATCTTTGAATAAACTTCTCCCCATCTATAATAAGCCTCAATCCTCCCCCTAAAACTATTTTTCCAGTTAAAAACACAGGGCAGCCTGATAATGCTATGCAAATGGTTTATTTTATAGTATTGTTAACTTTATATTTAGGTTAAGCAGCATTGCAGTTCGAAATATGCTTGTTTTAAAGACTTAAATACTTGTTACCATTCAAAAAATATTTACTGTGGGGTTGTGAGATGAAGAAATGCATACTGTAGATAACTTTCCTTAAAGCTGTGAAAAATTTCATTAATATGGGAAAGTTATAACATGTGTAGGGGTTCCCAGTGAGCTCTTAATATTAATGATAAGCTCCCTGCTCTCTTGGCCTATATATCTCCAACAAGGCCCCCCTCTCCCTTATCAGGAGGAGTCAAATGTAATAAACTCCTCCTCTAATATGATCATTAGAGCATTTGCATTAAATCTAAAGCAGTGTCTGAAATGCTGTTTGTCATGTTACTGCTATGACATGGGAGAATTAGAGTGAGAGGGGTACAACAGATACTAGTGTAAAAGGGCCCTCATGGTGATAGGAAATGGGGGAAAGCTAAATGTGATTAAAGTGAAAATAACACAACTCGTGTTATATTATTGTGTTTTAATTATTATTGCTTTTCAAAATTACCAATATTCTGCGGCTCCTTCTTCTCTATAGTTTTAATCAAAATGAAACTCCTACACTCTATAGCCTTCAACCTTTTTACGTACTGTCAGTGACTTGTAGATTTTTGAATATAGGTGTAAACCATGATAACTCTAACTTCACTTCACAAGTCTCCTACTATGCTTTTGAAAAAGTTCATACTTAGATTTAAATAACAATAATATAAGGTCAGTCTGAAGTTTTGATGGTATCTAGCTTTACCTGCAGAGAAAATTCGTAGGGAGATATTTGGCTTTCTTTTGAGATATAGCTCTCATACAAAATAACTAGTTAAATAAATCTTGTTCAAGATAAATGTTGAATGTATTGCCAGGAATATTTAATTAATAGAGAAAACGCCACCTTATTTCCTGAACATTTGTTTAATTAAAGTCCATTTAAAAATCATAAATTTAGATCATAAAAAAATGCATTGCAAGTGTGTGATTTAGTTAAAAATAAATGCAGTTTTCACTTGACTGTCAAAAACTAGACTTAATGAAAGTACCAGGGCCATATATTATAACTAAGGTAATCATTGTAAGCCAATGAGAACTCAGTGAGAAATAACCAAAGCTAAGGAAAGTGCTGGTTATAATTTTTTTGTTTAGCATCTGATTGTTTAATGGGATAGAGCAAGTTTGTAAGACTAATCACAGGGTGAAATAAAGCAATCCTGTGTAGCCTTAACACTCCATTGCAAGTAGCTAAACTATTTATAATTAAAGGAGAATAGGATTGGAATGTCTGTGGTATATTTTACATAAACTTAAGCTTTAAACCAAGAAAATTTGTGTCTGCAAGATGGGTATTGAACTGATGGCCTCCTGGAAGCTAATAAGGCATTACTCTTTTGATCCACATCCTGAGGTCAAGAGAAAACTTCATCTTAATCATAAAATCTACTGGTAATTCCTACCATGATATGTGAATTCGTAAGAGTAGCACAGTATGGTAGTTATATTGAACATTTGAAATCCAGCTTAAAAGGAAGACTTGAAAATCATATTGTTACTCAAAACAAATATCAGGTCATCAAGGTTTTAAACTTGTTTGGTTTGAATTTCTATCTGTTCTAGATACATTACTTTACCCCTGAATTTATTTCAACCTAGAATCAGTTTAAAGTCCAACATTTTTTCAAGCTTTCCTGGTGTTAGCATTCATTTCCATCCTTTTGAAGTGTGAACATGAGAACAATTGACCTTTTACTCCCAGAAAGGGATTTTATTAAGAAGAGGGAGTTTATGCATAAAAAGAATGTTACCTGTTTTTGCAAAATTAAATCACATTTAGCAAACAACTCATGAATAAAAGTTAACTTAGTCACAGTGAGGATTTGAGGTGCTCTTATGGTTTAACAAAAATTTCTTCTAATGAATTTACAAGAAAAGGTATGGAAGCTTCTGGGGAGAACTTTATATTAGGACTTGGGAATAAGAGATTTACAACAACAGCTTTGTAGACTTCTAAAACCTTGTTACATGGCTATGGTAGACGGTCATAGCCTCCTTTGCTTTAGTTGGCAGTATCAACATTTCATTCCATTAAATTCACTTTGCAATTATTTGTTTACGGTTCATTAAAAGTTTTATGTAATTTAAGTGCTTAAATTCAGTTTAAGTAGGAAGAAGATATGGAAAAATCAAGGTATATTTGTGATGACTTCATAGAAATGATATCATATGCAAAGAAAGGATTTTTCCCGGACTCAGTAAGTAAATTAACTTCACATATTTGTAGTTCAAATTTTATGATAGTTACAATTGTTTTTTTCTACCTGGTGTGTAACATCTGTGTTGTAAACAGTTTCTTGCTCTACAATCCCTGATGCTTGTAATTACTGAAATGCAAGCTCATTCGCAATTTTTTTGCGTAATTGGAAACGAACGAAACAGAGCACTAGCGTTAAACGATAGTTACGGCTCCATCAGTTTTTTTTTTTACCTCCTCTTACCCCATTTTTCGCGCGTCCGCTTTTTCCTCCCTTCCGTGTTTCCTAGGGCGTGCATTAGGCTGGGTTTCGTCAGCTTGGGGCACACTTCTTCCTGTCAGGGGGAGAGGGGCTATCCCCTAGATTGGGCTCGTCCAATTGCGCACCTTGAAAAAACACTACGTTACGCACATCATTTTGATGATAGTCCAAATGTGGTTTGAATTCACCCATCACTTCTTTTTGTTCCACTCTGTAGCAGACTATGTAGTTAGTAAAAGGTAACGATTGAGTCGCGAAAGTGTGTTTCAATAATCCGCACGTTTTAAAGAGAAGACGCCATTTGTTGAGACTCGGCAAATGAGTTAGAAGAAAGGCCTGTTTTTCTGGTGGAAAACGAAGATGTAAATGTGGATCGACGATACCATCCAGTACGTTTTCTCGAAGAGCAAATTGATTTTCTGGCTCGCCGAAAATCCTGCTTGAGAAAGGTGTACAACAGTGGGTTTAGGAGACCAGTGCTAAACCTCAAAATCAATAAAATTACATCAGCCCATAATGGGATCCCTACCCTATTGCCTAAATCCTCTTGTAACGAATTGAAAAAATAGTTGAACCATCCCACGATGAAAACGCAAATCATTGCGCTGTAGATAAGCAGGGCTTTCCGTTCTTTTTTGGAGTTGTGTTGCGTGCACTGCGAAGAAATATGAGATACGTCGCGCTTTATTTGCTGGCAGTGTTTCCTTAGAGTGTAGAAAATATGGAAGTACGCCACTCCCATTATCACTAGAGGAACAACGGCTAGTACCGTCAGGCAAACAAAATCGTAGGTGATTTGGCTTTGGCTTGGTGCTTTCATTGGATCGCGCATGAATGAGATTTGGGAGAGTGAGACGCAGAGTGAGGTTAACCAGACTACCAACAGAATTGCCACGCAGGTTTTCTTGGAGATGACTGACGTAGTTCTCATGACCGAGAACACAATTGTAAAATATCTCTCCAATGTTATCAAGAGTAGGTGGAGCACGGTTGATATCGAGAGGAATCTTTGCCCCAAGTCCATAGCCACACAGATATAATAGTTATTATGGGTGGTACAGGCGATAATGAGTGGTACTGCATACAAACCCAATAACATATCGGATATCGCCAGGCTTGCCAGGCAGAAGTTGGTCACTGTCTTCAGATACTGTCTGGTACACACAAGATAAATGACGAAGCCGTTGATAACAATTATAGATAGCCCAATCGTGCACAAGATAACGAAGATAGCTATGATTACATCAAAGTCTTCTTGGGAATGAGAGTCCATTTCGTCATTTGAGGTGTAATTTACATTACTGTCGTTTGACATTGTTGCGTCAGAAAGCGCCATCGAAGCTGGTCTGCTTCTTTATTAGTTCTTGGGTTTCGTTCTTTTGAGGTTTTGCTCCCTGTTTCTGATGGGGTGGAAAAAGATTCCGAGTTAATTTTCACTTCTTCTGCTCTTTAACTGAGATAATAGCATTCACATCTTAAAGAAATGTGAAAAACAGTAATATTCTAATATTTATTTATTGTTGCACGCTAATTGGTCGCTCCTGGACAGCATATCAATCATAAGCCAATGTTAAGTGAGATCTTTCCTTTAATATTTTATCAGGTTGAACAAAAATAGGACGAGAGGTGACATTTTGTTTGCCTTTTTCATTGTACTCGCTCCTGGTACCTTAATTGTGGTTGGGTACTTTTGTGAAATCTTACATTTCCACAATTGTTGTCGAAAATCGTAAGAGGCAAGCGAACAAAACTGATACAAGTTATGACATTTCGATGCGATGAAATTGTGAACTAGGAAGGAAAGTAAAGTGACGGTTTTTAGCTGCGTCCTCTGATGAATGAGTGTTCCTTTCGAATAAATTAATTTCGCTCTATATGTAGAGCATTTACAATGATTTTAACCTAGGAAAATTTTTTAAGGTGACTACGAGAAGACGGATGAAAATTATTTTCATGGCTTATAATTTAATCTTCTCATTTTCGAAGCAATTTTCCGTTGCTTTTCTGGTTGCTTTTTGACTATAAGCAGTCCCTTCTTTTCGGCGAAGTCCGTTGCATGAGTTGAAAAAGTGAAAGAAAAATTGATGTTAGTGAGCCGTGGAGGGTTCTTAGATGACGTCGATGCGTCGTGGGAGCTCTATAAGTCAGGCGCCTCACACATGGAGCTCCCGTGGCGCATCGAGGTAACTTCAAGAGGCCCTCTTCTATCAATTTTTTTCACCGGTTTATTTTTTTACTCGCGCCAGGGACTTCGCCGAAAAGGATGGATTGCTCGCAGTCTACGTTGTTTTGTAAGCAAAGCAACAAGCAGTTAGGATGATAACCATTTCTAAACTGAAACGGTTTAATTTTGGCTGATTTTTTTAACTTGTAAGTAGCCGCCTCTTCCGTTGGCTTCCACACGGTTTATTTTGAAGCGTTCAAAAGGGTCAAACGAACGAACTAATCTCTACGAGGCCGATAAACGGGAGTTGTGATTAGTCTTCCGTTTTGCGGGTCACGGTAACTTTCGAAATAGGTGGCCATCTCTACGGAGAATTAATCAATGAATATAAAGGCTTTCGAAAGGTGCTTTTACCTCAAAATGTTATAATGATTTCTAAGCAATGATAAGAAAGAAGTCGATCTCCGCGAAGTGATCACGTGCTGAAGTCATCACATGCTCACCATTTTTGGAGCAATGGGTGTTTCGCAGTGCGCCAGAACTTGTCCGCTCAGACTAGCACCTGATCCCAGCCGTCTACTTAGGGTATAAGTTGTTACAATTGGTTCATTTTCAAACGATTCGTTAAACCGCCAACAAACACATTTTAACAAAAGCCCATTCAAATGACCTTCTTAATAACTCTCATCGTACTGATTTTTTTTTACCTCAGAGGTAACAAATCAATAAGACGAGTCATGATTCTAAGTGTTTATGTTTGTTGATGATCCTAGCAGCATGCAAGACGCGTGTCATATGAACTTCGCAATAAACCTCGCTCACCGTGGAGTCTCTGTAGCTCAGTGGTAGAGTATCGGAGTTCTGAGGTTCGAGTCCTCATGGGGACTCAAAATTTTTTCGCTTTCCCATGCTCGTGACGAAAAAAAGATCTTTCTCTGTTTATGTTTGTGTTAGGTTTAACTGTTTGAGTCGTATGATTTGTTTATGGATATAAAAACGTATAGGTTACTTATAAAGGAAATACTAATCGCTTAATATAAATCATGTTTCGGTTAGAAAGCTCTCCAAGGACTGCCCATGTTTATCAATCAGAGCCAAGATTTTTTTATGACCCAGTGTTTATATTGGATGCAGTGACGGCTCACAATGATATCTTTTGTAAGGTAACTTTGACCAAAGAATGTACGAATGAACTTCTGTCTGTTTAAGCCTGTAAAGTGAATTCGCTGTTATTGAATTTTCTGTTTGTTTTACAAGCAAGTCTTGAGAAATTGCCACAGCTCGGTATTACTTAACCATAAGATAATTTGGTTTTATCAACTGAGTTGGTAATGTGAATTGGCCATTGTGAAGAGTTTCTAGAGCTGATGTTTCGAGCGCCGGCGTTAGCCCTTCGTCACAGCGTTCAAAACGCTGCACCACAATTTCTTAAGTGGCTTACCTCCTTTATTACTTGATAATAGTCTGGGCAACGATGAAAATAACGATCTTAATCACGAGTTAATTGCAGTTTCTGGATATTTGCACAGCGGTGTTTTCTTTTCATTAGAGGAGACGACTAGGCGGGTGGCAAGTTGCACCTCTGGAGAAGACACTCATCAAGATTTTACCACGCACAAGCTTGAAATGATTCCATTTTTAAGCATTTTCTTGAGAAATAACACTTAGAGAGTTCGGAAACAGGTTTATGTTTGTTTTTCTTGTGGTGCTAAATAAAGTTGACCAATCACGAATAAACGCCTATCATTGTTCTAAGGAAGAAAACACGATAAACACCGTGGCGCAAAATCTTTAGTTTCTCTGTCTAGTACTTCAGCCTCAGTGATTTTATCAAGTGCGTCTCTGATTGGTTGGAAGGGGCAGCCAACTGTTTAGTTCGTTAGTGAAATGGATTTTCTTTAGTTGCTTAGTGTGGAGGTGGCAACCATGTGCGAATGACATCAAGAGGTGGAAAGTGGTGCACTAAACATATTGTTCCCAATTGAAATGCGATTTCGTGATTTCTTTTACTGTCACTTCCAGAGGACAAAAAGTGCGCATTTTCAAAAATTTTTTTTTCTCTGAAAAATAATTTTTACCTTCTCTTGTATTCAGAAACTGCGGCAGTTGCGCAATCAAAACTGAAAGTAATAAATAAGACAATGCTGTTTTTTTCATCGGAACTTTGCTCACTGAAGCACAATGCAAATATATGACGCCGAGATTATTTTCTTCTTCCATATTTGAGTGCAAGCAAATATTAACAGTTGGCACTATATAACTTGATAGCTTTTACACAAATGGGACTAAGGCTTTCCCTTAATTGTGAATGCTGAAATCATTTAGGTATTTACTGGAAAGACATCAGAACATTGCTCATTTACCTCATATATTCACCTCCCAGTGACTACTAGCATTTTTTGGCTTTATAAACAAGTAATACACTTGAGAGTTACTTTTAACTAAAGCTTCTGGGTTTGATGAGGATTGGGCCTCTTTTTGGCCTCATGAACAGGGGACTCCCTTGTAAATTGATGTAAATTTGAGGTTATTTCTTTTTACTAGAGCTTTCGAGCAATTTGCCTGTTTTGTCAAAAGTACTCTTCAGCGAAATTTGGAAATGCAGACATGCGATGCATGCATGGTAATTAACTTTAAAAAAATTGAAATACTTTTGTGTGGTAATTTCAAATAGGAAAAGTATTGAGGTATAACGATTGCATGGTCAATTGTCATTTTATGGAAATAGTACAGAAAATAGTACAATCCACTCAATTGTAACAAGAGCCATGACTGATCTAACTGAGGAAAAAATAACTTTGTAGAAATATGTATGATTATAAGCTGTAAACGCTCTTAAATTTGTAACGTGTTTACTGACCTTAAAACGAGGGATGCCTTTTTAATGTGTTGAGTCTGTCGCTGGCTTAGCGTAGTCCATATTCAATGAGGTATAGTCAGTGACAATGCGTTGCTGGGATTCAGAACGTATCACTGGTAATGATAAAGGTGTAAATTGTTCTTTTTCGTTGTTTTTCGTTTGTAATGCATTCATCCTTTGTTATTTTAATTCAAAGCGAAAAGGTCTTGAGCTTATCGACTCTTATTGATTTCTTTTTGATATGTTAATGAAATGAATGTTGAAAAACTCAGAATGCTTATGTGAATCTCTCCTAGTTCATACAATTTTTTTCTATTTTAGTGATTGAAAAACCAACGGGAAAATCAAGAATGAAAATCGATGGGAATTGTTTTGCGTTTACAGCTTTAGTGCTCGAGTTTTTTCGCTACGTTACAAAACCCTGATTGTTTTATTCAAAGAATCATCTGTTTGTCCTTACCAAGCCGGTGTGCTTTTGCAGCGTTATCTTAAGAGTGTGAAAAATAGAGCTTTCTTTATACCCGTGAAATGTCCGCAGCCGGCAATCGTAAACGACTCTACTTAGTTTGAATTGTTAAGTAATGATACCTTGAACGTAGATGCTTTACTCCGGAGTAGTGGCATGGTCTAAAATTATCACTAGTAATGATGTAGAGTGGATTCCGATCCAATGGGATCCATAATAATAGGGAAAGTTAACAAAATCAGACGACCGCGAAGCAGGAGTCCGTTTTGTTCAACACTGATATGAATGAACGTGAAATAATGGAAAGATAACGAAATTAGTTCTTCTCTTGAAAAAAACTTATGTAGATATCTAACCTTTTGGAATATATCCTGATAGGTCGTGGTGCGCAGAAATCAGTTTATATGTTGTGTTTTCGTCTTGTTGTGATGATGTGGAAGAACAATGCAAGATTTTGAGTTCAAGAGCCACTAATAAAATCATTGTTGACCGAAAACAAATTAAATGCTGAATTGTACTTACATCACTAACTGGGAGAAAGTAATTAAAAAATGTATTATTCTTAGACTTTTTAGCACCTTTGTGTTGAAATTCTATTTTAATGATTTTGACATTGCTTGAATTGTTTTCCAAAGTAGGTCGGTGCATTTATGCAATGGAACGAACCCCTCCTAAGATCAGTTAGAACTGAGTCTTAAATATATAGTGACAAACTTTCATTATCGAATACCCGGCCTTCACAACGAAAACGGTCGCTAAAGTGCTTGAACCTCATCGTTTCCTACAACAGCCAGTATGGTGAATCGTCTACCGAAGAGTAGTCTGGCAACCTTGCTCAGGCAGTCA